AACGGTGCTCTTCGATACTGTTAATATAGTGCCCCGGTTTCCTCCCTAGGTTCCTGAACTCCACCCAATTGTGCTTCTATCGACGGTATGTTTGCCATCTCTCCTTCATAGGAAATTTGGAAAAAAATATAATAATAATATAATTTATACTGGAAAATCTTTGAAATAAAATTACTGTAGGTATTTATAACAATTGTAAACATATCAATTTCAGTCATTGAACTTTGATAAACAATGATTTTCCGTTACGATTATCAAAGAAATTAAAGTGAAGGTCGCATCGTGTTTATAATATATCAATGCTATCTTTAACAATATTAAATCATTATACAAAATAAAGAGGTCAAGCTTATTACTTGAACTACTTTCTTTCACTTTATTTCATTACTTATTCAAACCCGTCGTATTCAAACTGCCAAAAGAAAAAGATAAAATTTACGTTGGTTTAGACACCTAGTACTCATATTTCTGTTTTGAGGTAAAAAATTTATAAAAGACTAGCGGCCCGTCCCGGCGTCGCACGGGTGGACATTTTTACATTTTAAAAAGTGGCCATTAAGGCTGTACACGCGACCGAAGCTTAAAAATGGAGTAACTTCTCCCGTTTTCCAAACATTTCCCTTCACTGCTCTGCTCCTATTGATAGTAGCGTGATGAAAAGTATACTACAACCTGCCCAGGAGTATGAAGAATAATTGTGCCAAGTTTCGTTAAAATCCGTCGACTAGGTTTTGTTTCTATAACGAACATACAGACAGAAAGACAGACAAAAATTTTAATGATTGCATTTTTGGCATCAGTATCGATCACTAAACACCCCCGATAGTTATTTTCGAAATATATTTCATGTACAGAATTGATCTCTCTACAGATTTATTATAAGTATAGATAGAAGATATTTTAAGTTATGAACTTGAAATTTATTTATTTAAAATTAATTGGATTATAAATTTATGGCAACAGTAGAGACACTATTTTTATATTCTTATATAGATATCCCCTAAAGGTTGAACACAGGAGAAAAGGGAATTTCAGGGGCTATCGATATTCCTGAATAACATTTTTTTTTTTTATTTTCCTACAAATATACATTGATAACACTAATTCTTCTATCATGTAATAGGCGATTTTTTATAAAGAATAGTTATTTCAGTTCTAAGCTTTAACTCTATATTTTCGTATATAGATCCAATATAGATTGTGGTAGTTTTTTTTTACAACGCAGGGGGCAAACGAGCATGCGGCTCACCTGATGGTAAGTGACTACCGCCGCCCATGATCACCCACAACACCAGCGGCATTGCAGGTGTGCTGCCGGCCTTTTAAAAAGGAATATACTCTTTTCTTGAAGGTTATGTTGTTGTATCGGTTCGGAAATAGTTGTGGTAGTTTAATATAATAAACCTTTAAAGAATTCTCTAACACTGAATCCCGATCCTTTTTATTTTATTTTTCCCACTAAGCCTTACTATAAATAAAGAACTTTCTTGAATTTGTTAAGCTCCTTGCTGGTCGCTGGTTTTGCTATAGGTAAATTTGGCAGGAAATTTGAGTGAGAAGAATAAAATTAGATAAAAATAAAAATGCCGTGTATAGACGTGCATGTATTGTGATGTAATGAGAAAAACAATAGATTCCATGAAAACAAAAGAAAAACAAGTATTTTACTTGTAAAAACAAGTAATTATGAAGTAGTTTATATTACAATATTCTTTTATATTTATGACCTCAAATGCTTTGCAGGGCGTCAGTGGAGGCAGGTGGTTCAGGACCGTTCTTTATGGCAGTCTATGGGGGAGGCCTATGTCCAGCGGTTAACGGATAATGGCTGAAATGATGATGATGATGATGACAATATTCTTGTTCGTATTGAACAGAATTTATATTGTAAATGGAATGTCAGTACATAGCATTTTCCTCTATTGAAAATTGTACAGACATTTTTTAAGAAATTTAAAAAGAAGGTCCTTTGTTAATCTAAATGTTTGTATATTACGCGATATTATAACTAATTTTGAATCTATTTTTTCTTATATTTATTCATTATTCTTTTTGTAGTCGGTATGATTTACTTCCATATTATATATAAGACGACTGATGCCGCAAATTTTTTGCGGGGCGTGATATTAAATTATTATTTACCAATGTCGGAAGCTTCAAAGGGATGCACATATAAAAACGCGATCATAGACATAAATATACAGTAACTATTTTTTTTTACAAATTTAGCTAATAATATGCATTTTACATAATTTAATTAATTATAGTACTTTTATAGTTACATACAAATTTTCTTTTAATTTTAAATACAGTTACTATTTTCTTTTCTACTATAGTTTGGAGTCCGCAATATGTAGAAAACTATGTCACAGAAGTATTGTAATCATTCGTAAATAAATAGTCAAAGGGTCACGGTCCCCAAATTATCCACTTGGGTCCAAGCGGGCAATTTAAGTAACAGATACCTACATGTGTTCTTTGTGTTGACATGCTGGGCATTATATACATTGGTTTCAGGGCCATGTACATAAAGGAATTTATAATATAAATAGCCGTGTAATATCACACTTGATCCGTCGTTAATTCAAAAATACACAAAAAAAATATTTTCAAGGTCACGCGACGTCGTTCTAAATTCAATTCAGAAATTTACACCAACAAGAATATATCACATATTATTATCTGTGGTATAAATAAAAATATAATATAATATGTTCCAAACTGAGTAACATGTAATTTTCACTTGTTATTCTGATTCTCTCATTCCAGACAACTTGCTCAATTTTGTATTGTTTAATGTAGATAGTAGTAATGTAATTAATGTATATATATGTCCATATATGATATCATTATTGTTATGTAAATTGTTGTTTCTAAATATTTGACTTATTTGAGTATTATACACTATAGTGGTTTAATAATGCTAATCAATAATGTATTTGTCTGCAATTTATAATAAGATAATATACATATATATATATATATATATATATATATATATATATATATATATATATATATATATATATATATATATATATATATATATATATATATATATATATATATATATATATATACACACTATTACTATTTGACTACAGAACCCTAATAAACCGATCATATCATTAACAGCGATGGTCAAATAATCACTCGGTAACAACATGTTACTTTGTTCAAGACATATGAGCGATCGTTGATAAAGTATATTTAGATAATACCTTTTGTATACCACTGAAGTGGCAAACAAGCATACGGACCACCTGATGGTAAGTGGTTACCGTATCCTATAAACGCCTGCAATACCAGGGGGATTTCGCGCGCGTTGTCGTCCCTGAAGAAACCTACGCCCCTTTTGAAGAACTCCATGCTGTAATCTCTTGGGAAAAACCTCGGCAGGAAGTTCATTCCATAACTTTATTTTTTATGCAGTTAAAAATATTTGGAGGATAACTTTTTGGGTAATTTTATTAAAATTAAAGCAATTCTTTTGTATGAAAACTTATTTTATTAATTACTATTTGACTACAGAACCCTAACCTTATCATTAACAGTGATTATCAAATAATTATCATTCAGTTACAACATGTTACTTTGTTCAAGACATATCGTCATAGTCGTAGAATACTGACGGATCTATATATGTAATATTCGTCAGATCCGTCAGTATTCTACGACTATGACGATATGAGCGATCGTCGAATAAATATACTTAGATAATACTGTAGCTTTTTAATTTAATTAAACATATACCTACCGTTATGTACTTCACTTATCTGCCAAATTAAATTTTTATAATATCATAGTAACTACACTGTAGGTAACAAAAATATTGTATCCTCTTTAATTACTTCGATATCAATTCTAAACCGTCTTATTTAGATTTCAAAATATGTTTACTTATGTCATGTAAGTGATGTGCCGGTGGATTATTATGTCAACGTACAGTTATCGTATTGCTTAACAATAGATACCTTAATTTGTGAGCTATTTATATGGTAGATAGGTACATTATTAACTTATGAGATATTTTTCTCTGTTTTCTCTTTTCTTTGTATGAAATTTTTTTCCCTAAGTGTGATTATTTATATCATACTTGGGGAGAAAAAATTTAAAATTGTTTATGGTAAGCATTTGTACCAAAACTGACAAAGCATATTATTCTTACTCATTAAAAAATCTTACTAATGTAATAAAATTTAAACTATTGTGATTGTAGAAGTTGTATGTGTTTATTTTACAAATAAACACGAAAGATAAGACAAATACATGTAAAAAAAATATTTATAGAAATTTTGTCTGTCTGCTTGTTGTTCTTGTATCACACGAAAACTACTGTACGAAATTGAATGCGGTTTTCACTGTTGTATTTCTGTAGGTTCAACTTAAAAACTGCTATATGTTTTATTTTAATGTGCCATCTAATAATCTGATATAGGTCTATTTGATTTTTTTACTTCTGAAATCCGCGCATAGGATGTAGTGAGCAAAAATCCAGTATAATTGGAGAAAGATTTGTACAAAAAATTATTTGCTTTGTTACCTCTACCCCCTCCCCCCACCCGGGCCATTCATGTTTCTGTAATGACGCAGCGACACTGGCATGGCTGTGTTTTAATTTGAAGGGCGGAATATAGCGGTGAAATTATAAGATACAAAAACATAACATTATAGTTTTCAAGAAAAGGAACGTATGAAGGACGTCGAGGGCCTCACACTGTATTCTGTGTCATTACTAAAAATATATTTTTACTCCTTCACCTTACGGATACAGACTCATATTGTATTTTTCATATTGAATTAATTGCGCGGTTTGTGTGAGGAATCAGTTTGTTTATACTTATAGCATATATTTCCCAGTGTCATATCAAAAACCTCAGCTTAGTTCGAATCGTCGACGCGTAAAACAGCGTTATCAGTATTACGTAGAAAAATAGTAAAAGACCTTATTATCTGTACATAATGAGTATCGATACAATAGTGTATATAAACACAGACACCAGTGTATAGTCGGCATGAGCGCGTTCAAATCGCAAAGGGAACACGCGCAGAAACATCGTTCCGTCAGTGTGCGACGTCACGGCGCGGGAGGCAGTGATAATGCAATTACATGTAGTAATCTCTACTCGCGTACTGTACCGTCTGGTCGCACTCTAACAACAGCCATGCGTGGAAGCACAGCTGGACTGGCCGACACTCTCGCGAGTGGTTCCAGAGCTCACGCCGTCCTCCTAGAGACCGCCGATGCCCTCTTCGCGAGTGTCGTGGTCGCGCCAGCGGTCGTCACGTACTGGCAGTCGACATGGACCCTAATGGACCTTTACGTGTTGCCCGACAACCCTGTGATGAGCGCAGCCGCTTGCGCAGCCTTCGGATTGTTCTATGACATATTCGTGTGTGTTTTTCAATCGCAGTTACACAAATTCCTCAATCCAGATACGGGGAGACTGACTTATTATGTATTCTCGAGATTGTACACGTGTTTGGCGGCTGTCGCGTGTGTGGGAGCTTGGAGGGGAGTTTGGAATCTTCTCAATGAGTGCACAGGAAACAGTGCGAGGACGCTGCTTTCCACGACGGCGGCTGCGACGTTGTCTTTGGCCGCACTGAGGGCCCTGAGGAACATATGCGCAGCGCCGTTCGCTGTCGCCGTCGACTCTCCCCAGGATTACTTCGACGTTCCCACAATGTTCCGAACCACAATGTTTCGCACGGTTAGTATACAGTGTGACTTCAATACATTCCGCGCAGTTATTTCTCCTATCTCGTATTGTATCCATCCTGTCCGAGTTATTCTTGTGGTCGTTTATCCTATTAGTGGTAATGGCATCTTTTGCTTGTTGCCGGTAAAAAGGTTTAAACGACTGATGAACTCATGTTTATCAAGTCAATGTCAAGTATATTCAGTTTAGAGTAGATGATGATATAACTTACTTTATCCATTCATTCATCTACAGGTACCAACAGGACGTGAGTATATTACACTAGTTATTATTAAATACTCAAAGTGTACGGATCTCGAATGTAATGTTTGCAAACGATTTCAATATAATTTTAAGTGTAGGAAATTTGAAGAAACTAAAAATTTTAAAATGTTATAAAGAAATATCTAATATATAAAATTCTCGTGTCACGGTGTTTGTTACCAAACTCCTCCGAAACGGCTTTATCGATTTTTATGAAATTTTGTGTGCATATTGGGTAGGTCTGAGAATCGGCCAACATCTATTTTTCATACCCCTCAATGATAAGGGTGACCCTCCCCAAAAATTATTTTTTATTATTTTGACAAAATTTTCAATTTTTATTTTATAAATTATTTAAAAATACATACATTCTCAAATTTTTACCGTTTTACGATCAACCCCTGTTTTTTAATCGCGATTTTTATATGCTGCAATAATGTTGCAAGATGGCAATCCAATATAATTGTAGTAGGATAAATTTTCACGTATAGTTCTAAAAATAATGTAAATGGTAAAACAACGTTTGCCGAGTCAGCTAGTTTATCTATACTAAGGGTGTGAAAGAGAATATGGCCAGAATGGGAGTGAAGGTAAAAGTGACTGCGAATGGAGAAGAATGGAAGAGAAAAACATATTACGTTGAGTCCAAATAATAATTGGGATAAGGGTAGGAAGATGAAGATAACCAGGAGAAACTCAATTTCATGGGGTTATTTCTAAATTTAAATAGATATTTTATTAAATATGAAAGAATTATAGAATTACACAATCAAAGATATATAATATGTATTTAGACCTTTTTAGTTTTAACTGATTAAAAAAATGTTTCTCAATTCAAATATTTTATCAATTCTGCAGCCAATATCAATTAATTTCTTTTGCCATAGATAAAGTTTACTGTAAGAACGGTAGGCTCTTACATCAACTGTAAATTTTCTAATATTAATCTACGTTATTCTAATTAATCTGCATTTTTAATAAAAAAAAATCCAAATTATGGTACTAGCTGTAATCTACGGATTACAGCTAGTACCATAATTTGGATTGCTTTGTTCATGTGACATAATATTAAAAGTAATGTATATTAATTCAAAAAAGTTCTGAATATTTGTTTGTACTTACATAAGTAAACTAGACAGGGCGGGGAAAAATATTCAACTATAGAAAATTAATATTTTAAATGCTCAGTTATTGTTCTGTTTACAAATATATATTACGTAATTCGCAGATTTTAATATCACTTTAACATACCTTTTCACTGCTGAACATAGGCCTATCCTTTGGTGGGTTTTGCCAATAGTTGCAACGCTTGGTAGACTGATTGGTATCCATAGTTTTTTTTTGATGGGTGAAAATGGTATGGTAACTCCGCCTGCGCTAACAGGATACGCTGGCAGAGCACCAGTGAAGGGTGATAGATGAGAATGAAAACAGGCAAGTTAGCCCATCATGATGAATTCATCGGGAATTAACCATGATAGTTTCCAGGGAGAACCGCGAGGAGGTCGACCTGGTTGGGTATATTGCTAGCAATGAGATTCTCAGTCTCCATTACTAATAATCCCTTTCCCTCCGGTAACCATAGTTAGCCTTCAGTGATGTCTTAAGAGAGACGTTTCCGCCTATCCCTCAACCAATAAATTCCCTTAGTCGCCTCTTACGACACCCATGGGAAAGAAAGTGGAAGACTCTAATATAATATTAATTTTAGTTAGTAATATCCTGATTTATAAAATATTGAAATCTATTCAGTTATTTTTTACGATCACAACAATACTTAAACAACTAATAATTTACACAACTAAAACAATAATAATAATTTTATAGAACAAATAATAATTTAATAGCAAAATCTACTTAAAGTCCTTATTAATTCAAGTATTTTCAGTCTACTGTGTCGACGACAAATCTCGTAATTTCCTGCTGTATGCATACTGACAATTTCATATTCAAGTTTGTCAAATTTGGATGTAGAAATATTTTAAATGATTAAAAAGTCATCATTAGGGGATCATGAAATCATGGCAGTGTTCTAAAGAAGTGTTTAGATTGAATTTCACCATCGTACAACCGCCACAAACTAAAGTTCCATCTCAACCATCTGACTGAGTAGCGGTCTTCCACGGTGCACATTTCGGAATCAATTTTCCGAACTGATACGACATCGTAATCTTCAAAAAAAAAATATTCCTTTCAAAAGGCAAGTACACTTGCAATGTCTACGGCGTTGCGGGTGCTCAAAGGCGGCGGTAATCACTTACCATCAGATGAACTAAATGTTCGTTTGCTCCCTGTTTTATAAAGAAAAACTGTTTATGCGTGGCTGAGTAACAAAAATCCAAACAAACTTTCACATTTATAGTAAATACCTACGATTTAACGATGACAAAGTGATATCTTGAATATTGATAATAATCATCTATCATGCTAAATGATGTCATACAAACTAATCGATGTCATGCAAAACTAATTGAAGACATTAGTAAAAATGTATTTACATGATTTATTGATAAGGTAATATTTTATTTAACTGTATATTTGTTTATGTATTAATAGTTGTAGCACTTCAGCTGCCCGCTAACGAAATGCTTTCTTACTGTACCGGGTTGAATGGAAGAGATCTCTGTCAGAGATAAGTCCACCCTTGCTCACAATATTTATAAATACATTATTTTATATGTAACTTACAATTGCAATAAAGAATATATATTATATTATAATGTAAATGCGAATTTTGCATTTATAATTATTGAAATGCAGCACCCGCGGTAGATTGCGGTAATACACGGTCGACAAACTACCAACTCTACAGAATGACAGGTAGATTTGGTCTTACAGAAAAAAAAAACCTACGTCAACTGTACCAAAATCGGTTATTTTAATTTAAAAACCAAATTACTAAACCAGTTCTGATGAAATTTCTATAGGACCAATCTGAAAGTATCATGTCGTACTCTTTCAAATGAAAAAAGTTTTTCTAAATCGATTTATAACTGATGGTGTTCTAAGGTAACGAACATAAAAAATGCAACTTGATTTGAGAACTTTCTTTTTTGACGTTGATTAAATATATTGAAACCACAGTCTCAGCGCTTTTATGGACCATAATTTCTCTTTGATACTAATTTCATTTCATTCATAAGGATAAAAAACACCAAGCAAAAGATTTTTAAACTTATACGCAGAACGAATACATTTATTTTTGCAAAAAATAAAATTCAATCGCATACACACATACACAAATAAACAACACACACACACACACACGTGCGCGCGCACGCACGCACGCACACACACACACACGCACGCACGCACGCACGCACACATGCATACACGCACACACGCACGCGCACACGCACACACGCACACACGCAACAACCCCAACACGCACACACGCACACACGCATACACACGCTGCACGCACAAACAAATTCTTATTCAAACTGATATGAGGACCTCCTTTTAAATATCCTTTAAAGAGAAAGAATATTTTTTATACATTTTTACGGTATAAGAAAATTACGCTTAAATGTAATTAAGATTGTATTCCAAAGAAGAAGCCGACTTCAGTTGTGGGAAAAATCAATTACATTGTTTTATATACTAATGAATACATTTTGATAAAATTTCTATGAGGCTATCCTATACTTACTATAGTTTTTCCACTAAAAGAAAAATCCAAATCGATTTAAAATTCAATCAGATTGAGAACCTCCTTCTTTTTGAAGTCGGCTAAAAATGTCGATTTATAGCAATAAATGTTCGATAAAAGTATTTTAGCTAACGTTTATCTTTATTTATATACTAACTTTTACCCGCGAGTTAATCCGCGTGACCAGGATATGTTTACTGACGTAATAACAAATAGCCTATATCCTTCATGTACTAAGCGTAAACGAAATTTCCTAGTGATTTGTTAAACCGTTGATATACGGTAATAAAGTAACAAATAAATTGACTTTCATATATTTTTGAATATTAATAAGGATTAGTCATTCTGTGATGACTTATGGAACCGATACATAGTCCTACACGCAAAACGAAGCTTTTGCATACAGGCACGCTGCCTGTATGCAAAAGCTTCTAATTGCTCAGCGGGCTATGGAGAGGGCTATGCTTGGAGTCTCTTTACGTGATACAATCCGAAACTAAGATCAGCAAAAAATCCAAAGTAACCGACATAGCCCGAAGGATAAGCAGTTGGTCAGATTGCTCGAAGAATTGACAACCGATGGGAAAGAAAAATTCTTGAGTGGCGATTCCGTACGAGCGAACGCAGTATAAGACGACCTCCCACTTAAATATATTGCAGGGAGTCGGAGAATGTAGGTGGCTCAGAACTGTTCCTTATAGCTGTCTATGTGGGAGACCTATGTTGAGCAGTGGACAGGTAATGGCTGAAATGATGAGTCATGCTGTACTGTCGGTTATCAATGGATTAGCCCAATTTAACCAGTCAATAGTATTTCCTGATAATATTTTGCTATTATGATTGCTGTTGATAAGTGCGTATCTTATTACGCACGTCGGGATTTATAGTAATGATTGTCAGTATGATAATTATTATATTTTATCCAATCTTTAGTCGGAACAGATTTTATTAAAGGGGTCGAACAAGTAGGCCTGTGTGTATGTGTGCGTTTGTGTATATATAATTATGTATGTATTTGTGTGTGTACAACATATATGAGGTCTGCTGTTATCTCTTTTTAGACTTGTAGGGAGTCAAGACGTAGAATTTATAGTGAATTTATAGAGTACAGAGGAATTCTGAGTCTTCAGGAATGGCAACGCATGGGGGGTATCATGGGCGAAACAGTATACTCTGTTATGTCCATGGTACTGCTCATGTCTATAGGCGACGGTTACCACTTTCCATCAGGTAGGCCGTCAACTTGTTTGCCATTCTAAGTTACATAAAAAAACATAGTAAAGATTTTGGCGTACCCGTCGCTTGGTATGCAACTTCTTCCTTCCAGTCAAATCCCAGTTTAATGTAAATGATTTTGATGCTGCTTCATTGATTTACTTATGAGAGTGCAGCGTGAAGTTTAAGACCTTATTTATCAATTTTAATTTGGCTCTAATACATTGCGTTGCGTCGTGTAGGTTCCGGTATAGAATGGAGGAGTGGCCCACTCCTTCCTGTCCTGTAGGTGTCATAAGAGGGAACTAAGAGAACTTACAGTCAAAACTCCCCTTATGGGGATAGCCTATGTTCCTCAATGGAAAGTTAACAGCTGATATGATGATGAAGATACTGTTTAAACTTAAAAAAAAAATACCTTAACAATTCTATTACACAGAACATTGTTCTGGGTTTAATATATTGACACAAGTATTTGTATAAATATTAATTTAAAATAATTTAAAATTAGAATGTTAATCAATGTTAATTATATTAAAATTATAATGTAACGGATTCATTATGTTTGATGGATACTACCTATAAACATTTGCATTTTATTAAGAGTAAATATGGCAAAACATACTGAATATTAAAAAACAAAACATCATATTATCTATGATTTTGGCAAAAAAATTATTATTGGCGTGAATTTACTGGGTACAGAGGAATAACACCTGAGTCCTCAGGAATAGGGAGTCAAGACGTAGAATTTATAGTGAATTTATAGAGTACAGAGGAATTCTGAGTCCTCAGGAATGGCAATGCATGTGGAGTATCATCGGCGAAACAGTATACTCTGTTATGTCCGTGGTACTGCTCATATCTATAGGCGACGCTTACCACTTTCCATCAGGTGGGCCGTCAGCTTGTTTGCCATTCTAAGTTGTATAAAAAAATAAACATTATTATTGAGATTTTCACAAATCACGGTGGAAGGTACTGCACTGATTAATTTAATGACCTTGACCTATTTAACATAGGTGCAATTTGACCTTGCCCTAAAATGTCTGAAAATAGGCAAAACTGACTAGACAAAAAATTATTTTATGTACAGATAGTACAGAGGAATGACACCTTAGTCCTCAGGAAATGCAACGCATGGGGAGTATCATGGGCGAAACATTATACTCTGTTATGTCTATGGTACTGCTCATGTATTTAGCGACGATTACTACTTTCAATCAGGTGGACTGTCAGCTTGTTTGCCATTCTAAGTTGCCTAAAAAAATTTTAAGTTCCTATCCAGAAGGTGAACTTTCAATTTAACTGAGGGCTCTTTTACACGTATATATGTACTTATTAGCATGTTTGGCACTTCAAATCATATTTTGTTTTTGTTCTATATTGGCTTAAAAAATCGCAATGAAATTTAGTATAGAACTATTGGAAAGAGAAGGACATAAACTGCTTTTCCCCCGTCAATTAATATATCCCGGTCACGTGCTCGAAATCGCGGGTGAAACCTAGTGTAATATTTTTTTGTTTTTCTCATTTCATTATCTGCAATTGGTTCTTCCATATCAGCCATAATCAGATAGTATCTTGTATGAAAATTTGCGTTTTAAGGAGAGGTCCACTGACAGCTGTCTCTGAATGACTTTGTAAAGCTGTTCAAGCTATAGTGTCAAGATTTAATACAAGCTATCATGTCAGCCTTGTAGATTGCTTTTATTATGCAACTTAGAATAGCAAACATGATGCCCCACCTGATGGAAAGTGGTAACCGTTGCCTATAGACATGAGCAGTACCGTGGACATAACAGAGTATACTGTTTCGTCCATGTTACCCCTTTTGTTGTGTTGTGAGTAATAGCCAGGCTCCAGCCAGGACATTTGTATGATTTATATTTATATTTCCTTATCTCTTCTTCAACAGTATCAGTATTGTTTTGCAGATAGTTATGAGTGTTTCCCTCTGTAAACCATCTAGATATTTTTTATGGATTCGTCTCTATGGATCAACCGATCTGCTTTTATTTTCATGTATAAACTGGTACTTGTGCCCCGTCAACATACGAGTATACCGATAACGCAGGTGGGGTAAAAATTCCTTTACCACTAAAAAACGTCCGTCTTTGTTACATTACCATTTCTATTTTCACTTGTTGATTACATTGATATTTTGCAGCTGGTCGTGGGTTCAATTCCTTCACAATATGTGTATATATATACCATATGTGTGTGTGTGTGTGTGTGTGTAATAATAAATGTGAAAGTTTATAAAGGTGTTTGAATATTTATACGTATGTTTATATGTTTATTAGTCAGTTATACTTAAACGAATTATTATTTATTTATTTATTTAACTCTTTATTGCACCATAAATAAAAATATACAATGACAAGTGAATAATTCAAGTGAAATACAGTAATATAAATACAGATTAAAATATACACATAAAGGTACAAAAGGCGGCCTTATCGCTAGGGTACACACAAGGAAATATGACAAATCTAGTCCAAAAATTACAAAGGAATGGAAAAGAGTAACTACAGTGAAAGAAAATTTAATATGACTTGTCCTTTAAACGAAGCCAAGGATTGAGCACTCCGTATAGACGGTGGCAGCGAGTTCCATAGGCGCACTGCCTGAACGGAAAAGGATTTGGTGTAGTACTCGGAGGTATGTGCTGGGGTTTTTAAACGAATGCTGTTTATTCGTTTGGATAAAGTTTGGTACATGAGTAGGTTACATACTAACTTAACATACTTATTATATAGATTCACGCAGGCAAAGCTGCAGGGAACAGTTAGTACAAAATGTAGAAAAGATAGTTTGTAGGATGGCCATGTTGCTAGTAACAGCAGGTATGTAACATGGCTGTTATTATTTACAGAGCAGCAGAGAGACGATGTTGTACGTTCTGGACTGCATCTTCTCAGTCACCGTGGTGGGCTCTCTGGTGGTGTTCGTCTGGAGAGGCTCCTGGGCGTTGCTCGACATCTTCCTCTACCCTGACGATAAGGTCACGTCGTGCTGTACATCACTGGTGAGTTTCCTTGACCTCTTTGACAAAATAAATTTTTTTATAAACAAACCATATCGTAGTGGTTTGGATTTGCAAAAAAAATCATAATTATTTAAATTCAAGTTTTTGAAAAAAAAAAAACAACAGCTGAGTTTCTTCTTGGCCGTTTTTAAAACGTAAAATCTTCGATAAACATAGAATTGCCTTAGTTCAGTTACGCGTTGTGATAATATCAAATTACGTTACAATAAAATATGGTGGTCTATTCTTGCCATATAGTCCCGGCATAGAATAGGCTGTCGTAAGAAACAACTAAGGGAGGCCGAAGGATGGGCAGCAGCCTTCCTCTTTAAATATCTCCAAAGCCTAACTGCGGTTGCCAACCCGCCTACAAAGCGTGGCAACTACTGGCAAAACCTCTCAAGGGGGAGACTTATATTTAGCGGTGGATAGTTACATAAAGGCAAATGTTAAAGATAGTTACATAAAGTATCATGATGAGTATAATAAATATAATTCATATAAAAAATCAATATAATGAATATAAAAAATAAAAAATAAAATTGCATGAATGGCTAGTTGAATCGTGTTTTTACTCTGTTAGGGATTTTATATCGGATTGAAAGGGTGGAGATTTGTACGTATTATCGTTATATTTGTGACATATTCTACTTATTGACTTCTTTATTTTTATTAGTACATCTCATTTTTATTGTTGACCATCTGATATCCAATTGTTATTTATTTTTACTATTTAAACTAGTCGACCGAATAAATTTAATTGTATTATTCTTAATATTTTAATTAATGTTATTTTATTATTATATTATTTCGTAATGTTTAAATATTACAAAAAAATTTAAAACTAAATTATTGTAATATTTGCACGCTTGATCTAAATAGATATTGTAAGCTTTTGAATTTATAAGATCAAATGTTTTATACCCAAATCGTTCATCATCAATTCATTCAATCATGCCAAAATCATTGCAAAAATAATAATAATAATGTGCCAACTTTCGTGTTCACAACGGTTTCGCTTCAGTTTTCATGAATAATTCTTTTATGAACATTGAATAGGCATACAGAGATCGTATTTCTTATACTCGTATATATATATATAAAACAAAGGTGAAGTGGCAATGAGCTGGTCACATAGCTCGAAGGACCGACAACCGATGGGGATGAAAGGTTCTTGACTGGAGACCGCGTACGGGCAAACGCAGTGTAGGACGACCCCCCACTAGATGGAGTGACGACCTGAAATGTATTGCAGGAAGTCAGTGACTGCAGGTGGCTGAGGACTGTTCTTTATGGCAGTCTAAGGGGGAGGCTTATGTCCAGCAGTGGACGGATAATGGCTGAAATGATGATGATTGTTTCAAATTGTGCAAAAAAAGTGAATTAAAAATCTAACCCGTGCACTGCGGTGTTTTATTGTGAAACATAATCTTTCCGCATATATGTAGGTCATATGTACCGCGCATTGAGTCAGTGACCATTTATATTTGCCGCAATTGGTACTTCCTCTCGTTCGTCTTTATCCCCCAAGGTATACAGTAATACAACATCGCATACTAAATTATGGATAAATAGTTGTAATTTATAAATTAAATTATAAAGTTTATCTACGGTTGAACAAGATGTCACCTTATCATGTATAAATATAAATGAAGAGTAAAATTAGACCACTGTTTACATTTTACACTTCCTTTTATATATTTAATATAAACTATTAGAACAAGTTATATTATATTATGGGTGATACAAAACTGAGTTCATCACTTCATCGTGTAATCGAGACGTAATTAATTGAGACAAATATTAATCATATACTAATATGACCTTAAATCTTTTGAATACGCTTTTAACGGTTATTATTGAAGTCATTATGGAGTCAAAAGGTAAAAAAATATATTAAAAAAATACTTACTTATGAATGAATGAATGAATGAATATTTATTTGCAAGTAATATGGTAAATATACAGATAGATAAAATAATATTAAGTCTACATATTTCGCCACAATTAGGCATGCAAAATTTTAAATACTTAAATATTAAATTAACAATTCTTATAACAAAACAATATGTCAATTACAATTTCATGTCAATTAACTTACTTCATCTCATTTGATATTAGGTACTACGTATTAGTAGGTCTGTGATTAGTGTCAACAATATTATTATAATATTAATTAATTTACTCATTTCACTTTTATTTTCAAAAATTCATTAATTGAATAGAAACAATGGTCAATTAGTCATTTTTGTAATTGAATACTTAGAGGCGATAAATAACTATCAAATAGCAAAGGATTTAAAATAATTAAGTGGTAATTTTTTGAAGTGCTGGGGAATTTTATTATAAATTTTAATAGACATAAAATAGCAGTTCCTTTGATATAGAGAAGAGAATTATTGATTATAATATTAATAAAATTAATTTACATTATCATTATCTTATATTCGCATATGGGGTCAGCTAAGCCGTTGCATGTCGACCCATCGGGATCTTTTGTGCTTCCCCCTGCCTTATACCATCATTTCATAGATCCTATGTGTTACCTTAACGATATCCCGCTTGGCTCTGGATAACCCATTCTCAGTAGACTCATACGCATACTTACCTATAAATAATATCATTAACTATATTTTATATTCGTAAGCCATCATTTGGTGTTTTTTTTTTTTAACTTATTAATAAATCACATTAGCTGTAATTTTACCTAGTTATTGATTATTTGCATAAGTATCTTGCTATATTCATATCTAAAAGAAGATATTTTTAACGAAGCTGATGTAAAAAAATATATCGTAACGTTTTGAAACTTTATTTTAAATACATCTTACATCTCATACTAATTCCAAAAAGGTACAATTGGATGATATTTTCACTACATTTTGAAAACAAAGCATAACTTAATAACTACAAGACCTAGGACTATAAATTTTAGTGTTTTTGTTAGACAATAGGTCTCACTACCCCCCATAACCCTTTGGTCCACTACTGTTTACATTTATATAATTTATATAACATAACATTACAAACAATAAATTACTACACGGATTTTCCTGATTATTACAAATTATATATGATGCAATTATTAATATAATTTCGTAAATATTATCTATTTTTGATTAATGATGATATAAAAATATGTTTTTATTTTGATTACCATCAAATAATATTATCTAAATTTGAACACTCTGGGGCATTTATAATCAATTGTACTAGTATATATGTATGTATATATCTTTAATCAGACGTCAGATTAAAGAATGATTTTGTTTAATTATTACAAATTAGTCTAGAAGTACATATACTTTTTTTTAAGTAAATATTATAGTGTTTAATATTTATTATTAGATATTAGCAATGGCAACTTTGTGTCGTGTAGTCCTGCTATAGAATGGGCCACCCCTTCCTTTTCCGTGGGTGTCGTAAGAGGCTAATAATTTAACTTAATGGTCGAGGAAAAGGCAGTAATGTACGTATTAAAACAGCACCAAAGCCTTACTGACAACTCGGTAGTTAACGGCTGGTATAATATCATTAAAGAGAAAAAAAACAACAGATTTCATTTAACTAGAGGCATATTTTGTACAAAAGTCGATTGCTTGGGTACCTCTGTCGCATTCGTGTTTCTACCGTGAAGCAGTTGTTTGCATGGCTGTGTTTCGGTTTGAAAGGTGGGATATGACGTGAATTTATAGGGTACAGAGGAATAACACCTGAGTCCTCAATAGTAACGCATGGGGATATCATGGGCGAAACAGTATACTCTGTTATGTCCATGATACTGCTCATGTCTATAAGCGACGGTTACCACTTTCCATCAGGTAGGCCGTCAGCTTGTTTGCCATTCTAAGTTGTATAAAAAAAATCTCACAATACTAAATATTCACACATTCAGTATCATATAATGACATTGAAAGTGCACGTGGGACGCATTTACGGACAGACAAACATGCGGCACTATTAGTAAATACTGTGGTATGAAGCGTACTGATTATCTCATTGCCGTAGTTCCTAAACGGTGGACGGTCGCAGGATCTATTAGATCATTTGCAAACTATTTTTGAATACTGAAACAGCGTCTATGAACGTTTCACCAAAACATTCTTGTAGTTCTAGCTATGAAGTGACAACTGTTTTTTCCTTACAGCAAATGTATTAGAGTTCATTTTTGCAGTGATTTTGACGCTTTCGATCGATTTAATTTATAGGAGGTACTCATTTCATTTGTATTTTTTTTTTTGTGGATGATAATGGAATGGTAATGCTGTGCTAATGGTATACGCTGGCGGGGAACCAGTGAGAGATGATAGATGAGAAAGACAGGTCAGTTAACCCATCGTAATGAATAAATACATCTTGGAGGGGAGAAAGGGATTGTTAGCAATGGAGTTTGACAGCCCCATTACTAGCAATATACCCTATTAGGTCGACCTCCACGTGGTTCCCCCTGGAAACCATCGTGAACAATTCTTGTTGAATTCGTCACTATGGGCTAACTGACCTGCTTCATCTTCACCTAACATCCTTCACTGATGTCCCGCCGGTGTACACCGATAGCGCGGGTGGTGTTACCATTACATTATCACCCACTAAAAAAATACTATATTAGTGGATTTTTATGCAAATTATAATGGCAAACAGTCTTGCTTGCCATTCCAAGTTGCATAAAGAATCTGAGGGCCCGCCTGATGGAAAGTGGTGGGTATATAGGTAATATACCGATACTGTGGGGAAAGGGATTGTTAATAATGAAGTCTGATAGTCCCATTGCTAGCAATATACCTATCAGATCGACCTCCATGCGATTCCCATAGAAACCATTGTGGTTAATTATGTATTATTATGTATATCGTGGGAAATATGTATATTTGTTTATGTACTCTAAATATTAATAGTTGTAGCACTTTAGCTGCCCGCTAACAACATGCTTTCTAACTGCATAGAGTTCACTGGAAGAGATCTCTGTCAGAGATAAGTCCACCCTTGCTCACAATATTTATAAATGCATTAACAATGTAATTTACAAGTGCAATAAAGAATATATATAATTAAATTCATTACAAGGAATCAACTGAACAGAGGGCCTACCATGAAATGTTTTCCGAAATTTCGGAGCCAAACGAAACACAAATTTGTTGTTAAAATTACATAATACATGCCGATTGGATATATTAAAAATGTTAAAATATTGTTACTTTGTACTTTTATGATAGGATGTATAACGAAGAAAACGTTAAACTCTATTTATTGGTCCGATTTTGGTATAAATAAAAACACGAAATCGAGTCCGAATATTCGGAATTTCATTTCATGGTAGACCCGCTGTTTCCATCCTCACCTATCATCATTCACTGCTGCCCGACCAGCGTACATCGATAGCGCAAGCGATGTTACCATTTTATTCTCACTCATGAAAAAAAAATACCTATACTGTGATAGACGTCATGAACAATTATTTAATGAACATTATCAATGTTTATAATTGTCATATCTAATTAAAACACGTGTAACTATATTTAACGGACAGGTACATGAATCGTACAATAGTCCGGATTTCCTCCACAATATATCCACTTTGACTACAATAACCGAATCGTAATATCAAAGTATGGTTGATATTTTATGACAGGATTACATTGTTTGACCTATTCAAATTTTGTCTAGACTCAGACAGCGGATCTTTATCTTTTTAATTTGGTGGCGTATAAATACATATATGTTATTTCGGTTTATTCTCAGATTATAATATAATTATGCATTAGGTACTTATGTATACTTGTATATAGCAATGTACATATATGCGTAATAATCATAAACGAGTAAGTAATAAATTTACCTACCAGACTGGTATTTTAAGAAGTGATTATAAAGACCGACTTATATAGTTTATACTTACATTGTATTTTGTTTTTGATGGGTGAAAATGGTATGGTAACCCCGCCTGCGCTAATGGGATACGCTGGCGGAGCACCAGTGAAAGGTGATAGATGAGAATGAAAACAGGCCAGTTAGCCCATCATGATGAATTCATCAGGAATTACCATGATAGTTTCCAGGGAGAACTGCGAGGAGGTCGACCTGGTTGGGTATATTGCTAGCAAAGGGATTCTCAGTCTCCATTACTAACAATCCCTTTCCCCCTACTTACATTGTATTATAATTTAGTATGTTATGTATTTTACATTTTCATTATTAACGAAATAGTTCCTAAACTATTTCCTGAGCTATTTTAGTTTATAAAGATAAGCATGCCAATGTTGAGTTATTGTAAAGTCAAACTGGAATGAAGGCACATATTTTTATTTACAGACTTACATTGTTTTTTCTATTGTTTTTCTTTATATTGTAAGATAAAAAAAAATTAACAAAATACTGTATATTATGTAAATGTCCACGACTTAATACTAGGTGGGATAAACAGAGGTACCTATCACTTGTATAACAACAACTAGATCATCATCATATCGTCATAGTCGTAGAATACTGACGGATCTGACGAATGTTACATATAAAGATCCGTCAGTATTCTACGACTATGACGATATAAGCTATTAATTGTCCTCTGCCAAAATATAGGCCTCCCCTATAACGGGGTTTTTGCACTGCTTGCCTCGCCTGCCTAAGGTGGTAATTACTGAGTTGCCACGTTTGGCAGGCGGGTTGGCAACTAGTTAGTTACTAGGGTAGTTAGGTTTTTGGTGATATTCTAAGAGGGACGCTGCTGCCCATCCCTCGAATATTAACTTCCCTTAGTTATCTCTTACGACACCTACGGAAAAGAAAGGGAGCCAATCCTTTCTTTCTCTATGCCTTATACTCTATGCTTGGACCACACGGCGAACAATTAGACAATTAATAGATATTATTCTAATTTAGAAAGTAAAACTATGCAGTCAGTATTTAAATAGATTAACATATTATTATACGTTCACATAAACGCAATCTTTATTTGGTATCTCGAGCGGTCGTTTCCACGGCTATACAAATATGTTACATTTTGCTGCGTTGGTAAATAAATACTATCTTTAAATCTATGCAATTAAGGTTTTAATTTGTAAATCTTTTAATGATCATCCCTGTCGCCATAGAATAAACAATATAGATAAAGTAGTCGGTGAACGTTCGACTCGGTTTTTCCGTGTCGATTTGTTACAAAGGATCAAATTTTATCTTTGGTGTAGGTGTATTATTTAAAGATGGGCTGGGTTGGCCACGTCCATTCCAGTATTTCATCAAAGGAACACAAGTACTTGCAAACAATGTAGTGCCCCCTCTAACCGACCTCAAGTCGATTGCAGGAAATCAGTGGATGCAGGTGGCTCAGGACCGTTCCTTATATGACGTTACCAGTCTATGGGGTAGGCTTGTGTTCAGCAATGGACAGATAATGGCTGATATGATGATGATGATGATGTAGTTCCTTACATTATATGTTTAGAAATTATACAACAAAAGTTGGATTATTAAGTGTAAGTAATGTGCATATAGAAAAAAAGATCGAATAGTAACTAGTTCTTTAGGAATATTTTTGATTACTTACTACTTACTTGTTGGTTTAACTTTCGTTGTATGCTCTTTGTTTATTTAGTGTAAATCTACATTAAAAACAATTTATTTTACTCAAATTCATGTAAATCTACTTAATTCTTTGTTCTTGTTCAGTTTTCAATCGACCTCAAAAAGAATGCGGTTCTCAAATCGATTGTATTTTTTTGTTTGTTACCTCATAACACCGTCAGTTGTAAACCGACTTAGACAATTCTTTCTTTATCTGAAAGGATATGCTTACAGATTAGTTCCATAGGAATTTTATTAAAATCGGCTCAGTAGTTTAGTTTCCTAATTAAAATAACTGGGTTTGCCACAATTGAAGTTGGTTTTTTTTGGGGAACACAATTTATTTCTTTTAGTCAAACTTCCAGTCAACAACTCAAATTCGATCATTCAGTATCTAATCATTCATATCTGAATACGTTAATCTTTACACTTTAATACATAACATTATAGCACGCTCATGTAATATTATTTGTAACCTTATGTGACCATGTTTATGGTCGATACTGACCCTTAGGATCTTAAATTCTTTGGCGCTTGATTCTTTCTATCGAGACCTGACGTGAAGACCAATATATTTAAATACTCACTAGTCATTCTCCTACTATTAAACCCCTCAGTAGTTGCCTAAATGTTCCAACTTTTCCAACAGATCACTGGTTGAAAGCATGGCAGAAATGAAACCAGAAAATGTCTCTTCTCCAACAGATAGTCGGTTATGCGATGGTGGTGATCACGTTTGCTCTACAAGCCCCCATTCGTTGGGCGGCTGCGAGGCTCCACGGTGCCCCCAGGCTGCTGCTGGCTGACGTATACCACCTCGTCTCCTTCATCGCTACTGTCAACGTATGGCGTGGCGTTTGGGGCCTGCTCGATGTATATTTCTTTCCTGGTAAGTTATTTCTTTAAAATTATGTTTAAATAAAGCAATTTTTTTATGTTAAAATGATCAGTAATTTAGTTCTAGTTAAACAGAACAGATTACTAAAGATTTCTTATTATTTACTTTTAAAACCTATAAAAGAAGACCATATTTTCAATAGACTTGAAAAAAGGAGGTCTTAATTCTGTAGTATTGTTATGTCTGTTACCTTGTAAGTTTTAAACCGACTTGTAAATTTTTTATTTCTTAATCTGAATTCTTAAAATCGGTTAAGTAGTTTAGTTTTTAGATCAAAATAACTGGTTTTGTTAAAATTAATGTCGATTTTATCTTTAATTATTCTTGTTACATTAACTTTATAAAATGGGTTATTAATTTTTTTTATAACCAAACGTAACTTCTTTTCGTAACCAAAACTGAAATCCTAACACTAACCTTTTGCCAATATAGAAATAGTAGGCAAAAACATTTCTCTTAAAAACTTTATAAAAAGAGAAAAAGAAATAGAGTCATCACATACCCAACTATTATTTGACCATTTAACTATAACATGTTATAACATTTTCTAACGCAGAAACGCCAAAACTCAGCAATTGGTGTTCCCACATCATCAGTCTCACTTTACTGATCCTCCTCAACTGCTCCAACTCGATTCTCGTGAGGGGAGTATACATAGATGCGGAGGAGCCTGCTGGTGAATGCGTAGTCTTCCCCTGCCATTACCTTAGACTCTACTTCCATAAAGAGCGAACGAAAAAAAGACATCGCAGGGCGCTCGCTGCTGCAGCCGCTGCATCTGCTAAGAGACCAGAGGATGCTAGCTTGCCCCTACAGCTGCCGGAAGAGAAGGTTTAGCCTCGAATTATTTGCTAGTGATACACTGTAGACTTTTGTAGCATATCGTTTAGTTGTATAAAATCTCCCAGTGATATTTGGTATTATTAAGTCCTAATTTCGATTGTCTTTCTTTGTCATCACGCAAACTCAATCTTCTAAATTATTTAAACACGAAACTCACTTTCAACACAGTAATATTATCAGGTACATACAATAATAATTACTGTATGTACTTAATGATATGTCTGTAATTATGTACAATGAAAAATTGGCAACATTTTGTTAATATGATAATATTTATGTAAACTTTTTGCTGTTAGCTTCATGTTCACATTATTTATTGTAAAACAAACAATTTAAAATATAAATTTAAATACTGTTTAGATAAGCGACCGATTTGTCGAAAAATATTAATAGAGACATACATTTTATAAGCGAAGCAAATGTTCCTTTGAGTGATTTATAGATATATATCGAAAACACGTGTGTATTTTAGAAATATAAGGTTTACACTATGGAAATTTTAGGGACATAATTATGGCCAAATAACAATTTAGGTCAGGGATTGCTCTTGTCAGACTTATAGCCCGAGCTAGACGAACCAAATATATTAAATGGTAATTTTAATTTCTAACAATATTATTCTGTCTACACTCACCAGAAATGAGATTTATACTAAATACTATGGAACTAAGCCATTAGCGTAGCTACCGGAGGGCTAGCGGGGCAGTGCAGTGCCCATGGTGAGAATGTTTTTTTCTAAGTACGTATATTAAGATTTTTTTCTTTATTTGAGATTCTCTGTCAAGCTTTTGTCTCAATTATTATTTTATATTTTATTTTTTGCGGTATTTAGTTCCCATTTCCATACAGACCTATTCTTTACTCATAACCGACTCTTTACAAACTATAAATTGAATTAAACAATTTCTCTCACATTCTAAATATAAATAAATCAGATTTGTTTAAATGTAACTACATATTTATATTTGGTTTAATGTCATTTTTACTGTATTAATACAATTTTAACAGATTTGTACGATGACCGTGTTCCTGTCTTGATGTATATGTACAGGGTTTAAGGTCACGTGGTGAAGTAGATGAAGCATTCATCGTTGATATTTTACGACCATGGCCGTCAGAAAAAAAGAGTAAAATACGCAGTAATCTTCGTAATGAACCGACACTTATAACAGCATATTCAAAAGAAAAAAATGTTCGAGGGTAGCCACTAACGAAGATATTCTACACGCTTTTATATACCTCTGACCCATACATAACAAGTTTAAGAAAACCTTCCAATAAAAAATTGAACTTTTTGATGATTCCAGAAAAAGAGTAAAATACACAAAGCATACATAATTTAAAAATTGCATATATATTTTGTTTGATAACAAAGATTATCCATTATACAAGATTCGTGAAAAAAAAAAATCATGTTGATTCATTGTGAAAGTCTTTTTTCTGTCTTGCCTCTTGGGCAACTTTCAGAAAAATGCTCAAGAGTCACGGAACAAAGACTATAAACAGTTCGTCGTGTAAGTCTACAAAATTTATATTTCTTGTATTCCTATATTATTTATAACTATTAGAAATAAATTTTTACTCACAAAGCATACATAATTTAAAAGCATATATATTTAAGATTATCAGAAAAAAAAAATCATGTACATATCTTTATTAATACGGAAGTTATAGATTTATGAGATGAAAAGGAGTCAAAGTTCCCACTGTGCAGTGCCCCGGTGCTCCCAAGCTCAGGGGGCCCCTCAGACTCTTTACAAACTATAAATTGAATTAAAATTTCTCTCACATTCTAAATATAAATAAATCAGATTTGTTTAAATGTAACTACATATTTATATTTTCATTTGTATTAATACAATTTTAAAGATTTGTTCCGTGTTCGTCGTGTACCGAACTTGACATACTCCAGATTTGTCGTAACCCAGAATCGTCGTACTCTAGATTGGTCGTAAAACGTATAGTCGGACAAGAAAGTAGTGTTATTGGTTTAAAAATCTCTACTTAATTATAATTCCGTTTCCAAGGGGTGCTCAACGGGCCCTATTAACGTGTCTCCGCTGTCAGTGTGTCTGTTACAGGACTGTATTTTTTGGTATATTATTATATTTTCATACAATAATTTTAATTTGTTTAATAAGATAAGTTACAATTTGTATTTGGTTTTTAATTTTATTATGGAGTCGACTGTATTACTACAAATCTGGACTACGACGAATCTAGATTACGACAAATCTGGAATACGTCGAATTTGGAACACGACGAATACGGAACAAACGTTTTTAAATAGTTTAGTTGGGGCCCTAGTTTTTTTGTTCCAAAACCATTGGTTACCAAGCTACGCCATTGAACTAAATACATAAAATTTATGTAAATATTGTAATATTAACATGGTTAATAAAAATACAGTACATACAGTTAATCCACATTATATTTATTTAATGACACTCTTTAACATGTGAGACTTTACTTTTGTTACTTTTTTACTTATTTAAATGTTAATAATTCTTTAGCATTGATATAATATTTAATGGACACTAAAAATTTAGGTTCAACTAACATTGTCTCTCTGATTTTTTAAATGTTTTTACAGAGTTGTCAGTGAAATAATATTCATGAAGGAGTGTTGCGAGAAATTGAATTATTCGATCACTAATTATTTCTCTGTCTAGCTTCCTTGCTTTCATTTAAAAAAAATGCTCTTCAAGCTATTTCTGGATAAATGTTATTACTCAGTAAATGAGTTCTTAAATGACAAAAAAAATTATAAATGATAATTAGATATGTCTTCACTTTGTTACAGCCTTTATAATTAATTGTGTATATTTTTAATGAATTTATATTATAATGAATTGACATGGCTAGATAAGTAGTATATAAATGTACAAAAAGTGACAAAATTTTATTTCAATATGTATATGTTATTATGATGAAATTATTTTTATTTTTTGTATAATAAATTTTAATATTTGTACGTCTACATTATGGCACAATAAGATTGTATTAATTTTATTCTAATGTAACATTTATAACAATATACCTTATTCCAGCAAATAAATGAATTCAAATTCATACGTCAAGTATTTTTGAGCTAATACGAATCGTTATTATTTTTGCAGTGGCCTATAATTTCTGAAAAATAACAAATTCCTCCAAATGTACAAATCGACTAGGACGAATCATTGTGACTATTAAATAATTATGTGTAGACATCTTTTTATTAATTTTTATACTACTTATCGACTAGTGGCGTTGTTTTATTTTGTTTATAGTATACGTACATTTGATACACACACATTTTTATAGGAGCCGGAATATGCATATAAAATAAATTCAGACCAATACAGTTCTCATATTTGTAATAATTCTCAACTAAAATATTTAGGAAACAGTAATCATTACATATTTAAAAAAAAATACAAATACAAAGTAAATTTTATTTCAAAATCAGAACGGCTACTAATTCAGGTGCTAGTGAGATGAAATCGATTACATATCATTACGAATGCTTATTCTTATATTAATAAATATATTATTATAATAAATCTTAACCCTTCTTTGCATAATGGTGGAAATTTCTATCATAACATTGAATGCCCAAAAATTATATTAAAGACCAAGTTCACTTTAAGTTGATCGTGTCTAGATACCTTTTTAATGTCCATTGCAGAAAAAAAAACATAGCTGTGTAATTTATTTTTTTGTCCTTTAATTTTGAACATGCATTATATCACCTTGATTTATTTCACCAATAAAAAAAATCATGCAAAGAAGGGTTAAATGGCAGATATGAGTGTGATCGGGACAGAAGTGATAAAAATTTAGAGGTGTTTAGTTTTGCTAATAACTTTATTACAACTTGAAGTATTTGAAAGACAACAATTTGTTAAATTTGTCAAAATAAAAATTGTATAAAATTAGCCTATAAGTATTCGTTCTAAGTCAAACTTCCATAAATGTATTAAATTACAATAATTAAGTTAATGTAAATATATTATATGTAAGTGCCTACATTATTGTATAATACTATCTCGTCACGGAAGTACATAATAAATTGATCTTACATATTCTACTGTTTTTCATTCACGAACTATTATTCTAATAATCTTAAGGTAAGTACATAAGTAGACTTTGTACAAAAGTTGTTTGCTTGGACACCTCTGTCCTATTCGTGTCTCTACCGTGAAGCAGTTGTGTTTGCATGGCTTAGTTTCGGTTCGAAGGGTGGGATATGGCAGTGAATTTACATGGTACAGAAGAATAACACTGGGGCAAAACAGTATAATCTGTTATGTCCATAGTACTGCTCATGTACTGCTCATGACGGTTACCGCTTTCCATCAAGTGGGCCGTCACATTGTTTGCCATTCTAAAGTGCATTAAAAACATACTTGAAAATTTCCCTGTAACAATCTTAGGTACTGCTAGAATTTCTTATTTGGATTCGATTTATTCTAATATCGATTTTTGTATTATGATTTTGATTTTTGAGACGATCTTTTTAAAATAGGTAAGATTTGTAAGAAAGACAAGTTAATAAGGATCGAGATCTATCTATTCCACTCTATATAATTATGCGTCATTCTCTTTGTATTTTCCTTTTTAGAAAATGAATATTACTTGCCTAATTTGCAGTTTTTATAGAATATTGTCATCCATTATAGAACTGTGTGACCTTTTATTTTTAATATAATTTCTCTGCATTATTTTCCTTTTATTAGACGTCAACATATACATGATATAGTTGTAATCTTTTGGAGGAAACAATAAAGAGTATCTATCTATTTGTAAATTAATTTTTAGGGGACTGATCTTTCAATTTTATTTTATTTTCTTAAGAATCAATCTGAAATGAAAAACTAAAAAAAAATCATACTATAAATACAATAATTAAACAATAAATTGAACCAAATCTCACTATTATCAGTTGTACCTACTTAATTTCATTGTATTATATCTCAGACTTCTTCTTCGAAACTATTGGTCCAATCAAACATCAGATAATAAATACAGACTGTCAAATAATCATAGATAATTTAGTCCTTATCATTATAAAGTTAAATGTTAAGTATATAAATTATTTATTCCTTTATCTTACATAAATTTATATTAAAAGTAAGCATGGCATTATAAACCACCTGGTTTCATGTCAATACCATGTTTAATTTTTAAAAAGTTATGTATTTATAGAAAACTTCATTCTACACTGAATATAATCGAAAATCCATCTACAATGCTATATATGTATTTGTACGATAAAATACAATGTAATTAATTTAATTTTGGCTGTTTAAAAATTGTTTAAAAATTCCGCTGACATTGATGCTCCTTTCCACTTTGGGTTTGCTGGAAGAAAACTCTATCAGAGTTAAGCTCGCCTTTGTACTTTTGTTTACCTCTGTCATATTTTTATAACTAATGTGTACAATAAAGTATTAAATAAATAAACAAATGCTAGGTAAGAATTCTGAATCGTATTGTAATAAATGTAGACTTTATTCAGCTTAATTTAAAGTAAAAATTGAGATGCAAATTAAATGCAGATGTGGTATATTTAAATCCAAATCTATAAATAGGTCGGACAGAGACGATAAGATTCATTTTGTTAGAACATGACACTCAAGTGCGATATAAGTACACTGAATCAATTAACTACAATGAAATAACCAGACGCGACTTAAGTTTAAAAACAATACACTTAATTAAACAAAACAATTACAGACATGGCACCAATAATAGAATATATTTACAATTATCTGGAATAAAACCAGAGTTCCTTGCCCTGGATAATATATTACATTAATTATTCTTTACAAGTTTACATCTTTATTACATTGCGTTAAGGTTTGGATTCGAATGTCTAGTGATGGTAGGAAAGTTTGTTACTTCATTGAGACAACGCAGAGAGATAATACTATCGTGTGAATTACGCGTGCCTTATCGTGAAATTAAATAATACATTAACTAGATATCCTTACTGCTGCTTAAATGTGCTATATATTTTGCATCTAATAAATAACTGACGATTATCACTAGCATTATGTCTCAGAGCCCACGGAAAGCCATTTCAGAGTTTTTTTTTTTTATTAAAGAAAAACCAACAGCTAGAAAATTTCACAATAAAAAAAAAGTAAAGACAAAAATACAATTACAGATTAATAAAGCCAACTACAGTGTAATTATAGCACACAAGAGACATAACTCCTCAGTTTAAGAACCGGCGGCCATTTCCTTCTGGTATTTGTAGTAATACAATACTGGGGGGAAAGGGATTATTAGTAATGGAGACTGATAATCCCATTGATAGCAATATATCCAACCAGGTTGACCTCCTCGCGGTTCCCCCTGGAAACTATCATGGTTAATTCCTGATGAATTTATCATGGTAACTGGCCTGGTTTCATTCTCATCTATCACCCTTCACTGGTGCTCCGCCAGCGTATCCTATTAGCGCAGGCGGAGTTACCATTACCGGAGTTAACATTTTCACCCATAAAAAAAATTGATACAATACTCCTTCTGAGGTTGTCAAAAGAAATATATAAAAATTATTCTCACATATGCCACACAGAGATAATAAAATACATTAATATAATATATGTAGTCGCCACGCTTGGCAAGTAGGCAGACAACCGCAGTTAGTCTTTGGTGACGTTTTAAAAGGGACGCTGCTGCCCATCCCTTGACTATTAAGTTCCCATAGCCATCTCTTACGACATCCACGGAAACAAAAGGGGTGGTCCATTCTACGCCGGGACCATACGGAAATCTACACGATGTAGATTAAATTCACTAGTAATAATTACGTAAAAAATTTACTAATGGCTGAGATAAAATCTTATTTTTATTGTACAATCAAATACATAATAGGCAGAGAAAATGCTTTATTAATAAAAGTGTCGTAAGTAAGAGTAAGCTCGATTAGTTTAAGGATCATTCGAGACCCTTAGTCTTAAACGGCTGTGACGTGCGAGCCTGACTGCGCATCTCGAGCCGCCGAACACGAGTTGTTGTCATTCGCGGCACCTTAACATAAAAAAGATGGAGTTCGGAGGTCTTCGGGTATAAACGGCTGGGCTCCGTGGTCTATTATTCGCCTGCCCTGTAATTGTTTTTAACCGTGTTGGTACTCCGTCGTGTACATACAGTACTCACAGTATCATCTTTCAATTCGACATATAAAACATGATGAATGTGAAAGAAGCGAAAGAGGTTTGTTTGAATCGAAGCATTTGGCGTTCCATTGTTTTTGCCTACCCTAATGGGAGACAGGCATGACAGATATGTATGTATGTATGTATGTATATTCAACATTGAGCATGGGTAAAGCATGGAGAAGCGGCGGCCAAGCACTCGGAAGTATCTATCCTTGGTCTCTATTAGAACGCGACGACTTATTTCAACAGCCTTTTTTATTATATACAATATTTTAAGTCGATCTGTGTATGGTTGAATATTATATTTATTATTATTTCAGCCGTCAGCAGTTAACTGTCCACTGCTGGACATAAGCTTTCCCCATAAAAAGAGTTTTGCCAGTAGTTACCACGCTTGGCAGGTGGGTGGATAACCGCAATTAGGTTTTAGAGATGTTTTAGTTTGAAGATAACTTCGATTAACTGCTGATAGATCCGTTACGATGGGCTAAGCTAATTGACTTCATCCTCATCTTTCATTACACACTGGTGCTCTGCTAGTGCTACGTGCAGGTAAAGTTTTTTTTTTTTTTATTTAACATATGACGTGCTCAATGACAAGCAGTACACTATCTGTTTAGAAAGAAGAAAGAAATAATGAAAGAAAACATTTATTGCCAACAACAAAAAAGTTACATAGTTTACGCTAGCTATTTTTTTTTATTTGTGATAGTGGAATGATAACCCCGCCTGCGCTATCGGTATACACTGGAAAGACATCAGTGAGGGATAATAGGTGAGGATGAAGCAGGTCAGTTAGACCATAGGTGTTCATAGGCTACGGTAACCACTTACCATCAGGTAGGCCGTATGCTTGTTTGTCACCTCAGTGGTATAAGAAAAAAAAAACCATCGTGACAAATTCAACAAGAATTAGCCGCGATGGTTTCCAGGAGGAACTGTGTGGAGGTCGACCTGATAGGATATATTGTTAGCAATGGGGCTGTCCTACCCTATTATTAAATTTTTTTTTGCCCCAACTATTTATCACCATGTTTATGATGGTTTAATACTAAAACGATTTGAGTCATCATCATAGCCTTGGCTTTTTGTTATTCCTCTGTACCCTGTAAATTCACTGCCTTATTCCACTGTTCAAACCGAAACATAGCCATGCAAACACAACTGCTTCACGGTAGAAATACGAATGGGACAGAGGTGGCCAAGCAAACAACTTATGTACAAAGTCTTTCTCTGGTAAAATTACTAGAACCAGGCACGATATACCAGTAAAACAGTAAGGTAATCAGAAATAGGCTTGATTTAGAATTTACCTACTGTTTCTACACCAAGGCGCTTTGGCTATAATAGGATCATAATACTCGTATTATTAGAAGAAACCCGTGCCCTTCAGTAAAGTAGCTAATGGTATTTCTAGGGTATTGTTTGAATAAACAAATCTAGGTAATTGACTCTGGCAAAATTTTTATTTCCAGTTCTTACTTAAAATTCATGTTGAAACAAGGTTTTTTTTATGCAACTTGGAATGGCAAACAAGGGGATAAATAAAAAAGAAATAAATTTATAGCTTTATTATAAAAATATTTATTTAAAAAAAAATTCATTTTTATATTTATACATAATTGATTAATGGCAATAGAAACATAATACATATTATAATAAAGTAAATTCATTAAACACTCAAGTAAACTAATATATAAATAAATAATTATACTAGTCATCATTTAGTTGTTGATGTATATAAGTAACGACTATTTACCAATCTACGTGTTTTTGCCAATGATATAATTAAATACAAGATTATTGACTTAATGATAGTAAAATCCTAAGTATAAAAATATTTAACACGAGTATATCTTTAAGAACAATAAATAACAAAAATATAATTGCAAATTTATGATTATTTATGATTTGTTTTTTTATTTTATTATACGTATTGTTTCTTTTACTTGTGCCATAATAATAATATTTTTATAAAAATGTAATATAAATATAAAATATAAATATAAATTCTATAGTACAAATACTGTAGAATCCTTTTTACCCAACTTAGCAATTTCTTTACACTAAATTTTAAGATTCTAGAACTAGAAATTAGTTTAGGTAACGGCATTTTTTCCAGAACGTTGAAATTTAGAGGGAAAATACTAGCAAGGCGAAATGTGACATAATCAAATTAGGATTAAATAGAAATCACGACAAATAAACGACAAATATAAGGTAAAGTCTCGTTTCTCGTTATTTTTTTCTATTTTCATTCTTTTGCATATATTTATTTGACCTTACTGTATTATGGTACCCAAAATGTAACTTTTTGATCTTGATGGACTAGGCAAGGTGATAAGATGCTATTTGAAAATCAGTGTTGCTGCTTCTGCAGAAATTTTAAGCTGAATTGGCATTCTTTTTCATTTTAGTTTCAAAGACTAGTTGCATTTCGGTTAGTGTGATTGAAATTCAACTAGTCATTGTTATGATATTTTTGTAAACGTTTTACTTTGTTATATAAAGTTGTTACTACTTGTACCCTAAGTATATGTATAATAATAATAATACCACAAAATACATACATCACAATGCAAAAAGTCGTATCGTGCGCAAATTCCTACAAGAAGATACTCCCAATTATTAATTTACAGAATCTCTTAGACTTGGTGTAACAAACCCGTAAGTTTAAGTTGTTAAAACTGAAACGTATATTTCGAGAATAAAGAAGTAAAAATAATAATAATATTTTTTTTTTATTTTCAGACTACAATTTTAGTTCATTTTGTTGACAACAATTTCCTTATAAAATATGTTAGTAAAAACAAAAAAGTATACATTAAACTAAAGCAATTCACTCAAATGTGACCTAGCCGACTAGATCAACATCTGAATGAAATGCCTAATTATAAGCGACTTATATTTCTCGCCTATTACTTTCTGAATGCTGTTGGTGTATAGATTATGGACTTAGATTATATAGATAGAGCATCAAGCCTCAAAAATAGGTCAACTTTTTGTCAGCTAATTTTCAAATTAGCTGACTCGTATTTTATCAGTGTTCTATATACTTACGTACACAATGTACCTTGACGTATCTATTTTTAATTATTTAATAAATGAGTTTTTACACATTAAAAAGGTGCAGAATTTATAAGACAAAATAAATATAGAAGTTATAAAGGAATCACTGATAACTATTTATCACGCAAAATTGTACGAAAAAGTTGACCCGCTGTTCTCGAAGCATTTGTATGGAGACATTCTATCTATATATTCTAAAGTTATGGATTATTGAAATAAATTGTCATTCATTCATTCAAATATATTCGATGCGAATTCAATTTGATTAATTTGCTAAATTTTAGCTCACAGGATAATTAGAAATTTCACTTTGATCGCTCTAGCCTCTGGAGCTCTAACTTTGGAGAGAAAACTTGTTAGACAAGCAATGATACAGATTTTGTTTTTAAAATTTCGGGTATAGAAAATAATATATACCTTTTACTTATCGTAATATATATGTTTAGAAACGTATGCTAAAATCCCTATAGTCAGGTCTTACGAGGTACTCCCAGTTGGTGAGGTCGCATTTCTCAATTTTGCAACCCGGCGAGCCCGTGGTGCTGAGCCAGTCGACCCTGTAAGAAATAACCAGAGAAGTGCAAAATAGTTCAGTAAAAGTATTTAAATTTATAAGTGTACCCGAAAGTGCCCACTGAAAAACATTAGTTGCTACGTTTGGCAGGCGGATTGATAATTGCAAGGATCACACGGCTAAGATTCTCAATACTATTATTGTCTGTGTCTATTTATGTATGTTTTGTGTGCTGTGTATATATATGTATGTATGCATATACATGAATATACATAATTGTGTAAGCAACATTCTTCTTTATTATTTACTAGCGACCCACCCTTGCTTCGCACGGGTTCACATTACATCACATCACAGAAACCTCTAAAATTATCAGTGTTTCTCTAAAATATTATGCATGTATTATACATATAAACCTTTCTCTTGAATTACTCTATCTATTAAAAAAACGCATCAAAATCCATTGCGTAGTTTTAAAGATTTAAGCATAATAGGGACGGACAGACGGAAAGCAACTTTGTTTTATACTATGTAGTAATGTCCCATTTCAGTATTCATTATTTATTTTTTGTTTCTTACTATCATAGTTCGTAATATCATGCTGAGAAATATCAATGGTGTTGCAAATAATTTGCTGCTTTCTTTTACTATTGTTAATAAGTGTAACTCTTTTTGTTGTTGGCAATAAATATTTTCTTTCTTTCTTTTTCTTTCCTTATTTCTTTTTTTCATTAAGTCTGTCTTTTGTATCATACATGTTTTTGTAATATGGTTAATAAAGACTAAATAAATTTATATTTAATAAATAAATATTAACCAGTCCGTGGAAACTAATGGCAAAGCTTAAAGAGATTAGTAAATTTTTCCTGTTTAATTAACTATTTAAAAATAAGTAAGAAAATATTGGACTTCAAACTAATTATCTATGAACACCCACGTTAATATCCATATAATGTATATCAAAGTACAAAAGATAAATGGTATTAAAGTTATTGTTAATAAATAGCAACTATATACATATGGTTGCAAAAATATTTGTTTAAGTATAAATTTGTACGCAAATTTTTCAAGATTATGTAATCTAGATGAATTTGCGTAGAATTTTAATCTATTACTAATAAACAATGGAAATATTTTCTCAAATTCTAAAACTGTTCCTTATTGCATGTTTGTGAACTTATTTCATAATATAATAAAAAATTCCGCAACATTATACAATTTTGTATCGAATTGTTTATTTCCTGTTACGAAATACGAGATCAACCGTAATTAAACTTTAACAATATATGTATATATGTATATATATATATATATATATATATATATATATATATATATATATATATATATATATATATATATATATATATATATATATATATATATATATATATATATATATATATATATATATATATATATATACTGTATACTGTACAAAATAAATCGATATTTCCTAAGTGTTAAACGTTGTCGCATTAGATAAAACCTCTAATGGCATCGTTGTCATAAATGAGTAAATATGTAAGTAATATCGAAATTTTGCGATTTTATTATAATAAAAAATAGGTATATCATTTCGAATAAGCTCTAGAATGTTACTACTGTCTAATTTGTTGGTAGTTTTATAATTTTAACACACTTTGTTAATCTTATACAATTTTTGTGTATATTTCAATTAAGACAAATATTCTAAAAGACTGTGTATTCTAATATGGGTATCAACCACTTAAAATAGAAAACAGATTAAAAAATTAAAAAAAATGTAATGCAACGTCACGCTACGAGATGTCGCCACTAACCAGTCAAGTGTGGGAAGCCAAGCGCGCCTGCATCCACAGCCACCATCACATGCCAAGCCAACATAGTAATGGCGCTAAAGCCAAGCCATATACTAGTGAAATATTAAATGTGTTAAATATAGACTATATTGAGACGAGCCTATTTCTAACAAAAAAAATGCTATCACCATATAATCTATTGTGTTTCAAAATATTACATAAAATTTTCCCAAAAAAATAATTTTAAATAAATTTCGTATTATTTTTGCACCATATATGTGATGTTTTATATACAAACCCTATAGACACTTTCTCCTTTGGGGTTCTCTCAAGGATATCCTTTTAAGGGATAAGTCCGCCTATGTATATTTTTGTTATAACCTAATATCTCTACTGGGGGGAAAGGGATTGTTAGCAATGGAGTTTGACAGCCCCATTGCTAGCAATATACCCTATTAGGTCGACTTCCACGTGTTTCCTCCTGGAAACCATCGTGAACAATTCTTGTTGAATTCGTCACTATGGGCTAACTAACCTGCTTCATCCTCACCTATCATCCTTCACTGGTGCACCGCCGGTGTATACCGATAGCGCGGGTGGGGTTACCATTCCATTATCATCCATAAAAAAAAATCTCTACTATAAGTGAACGTACATATGCATTTAAATATATAAATAATATTTCACAATAAACACCTTAAAATGTTACTAGTCTAAGGATTAAATACATTAGTTAATTAGTCTGTCTGAATAGATATATGAAGAATACGCGACACGGATAATAAATACATCGATTAAAAACGATGATTATCTGGAAATGATTTAATCAATCAAAAAGAATACAGTCAATATCACAATACATTTGAATGAATCATATATGTATTTCTATGGAAATATAAGAACTATCCATCATTGATTTGTCACAACCAAAGTATAAAACATAGCAGTTGCATTGTTATATCAAAATTTGGAATCGCAAACCGATATAGAATTATGATAAACTATAATTGTCACGTGTAATATTTATTTATATATTTATAAATTACTCACCACACAGTATCCCAACGTTTAGTGACCTATGGCTCGGTTTATTTTACAAACTTAAACATTTTAAACAATATCCAAAAAATATATCTAATTTGTCATTAAAATATATATATAAATATATATATATATATATATATATATATATATAACTAGCTGACCCCATAAACGTTGTTTTACCACTTATTGCGAAATATAAAAATCGCAAAATACAGGGGTTGATCGTGAAACGACGAAAATTTAAAGTTGTATGTATTTTTCAATGCTTAATCATAATAAAATAAAAATGGAAAAGTTTGTCAAAAAAATAAAAATTTGTGGAGGGTCACCCTTATTATTTAGGGGTGTGAAAAATAGATGTTAGCCGATTCTCAGACCTACTCAATATGCACACAAAATTTCATAAAAATCGGTAGAGCCGTTTCGGAGGAGTTTGGTAACAAACACCGTGACACGAGAATTTTATATATAAGATATTGAGAGAATATCTGTGAATTGATTTGATTACCTACATTATACCTACGAATTTGGGTGAGAGGGATTGTTAGTAAGGAAAACGTTAATTCCCATCGCTAGATATAACTCGTAAGGTCGATCTCCACGCGGTCAATCTAACCGCGGAGTTTCGGAGGGAAAGGAATTATTAGTAATGGGGTCTAACTGACCCATTGCTAGCAACACACTCTATCAGGTCGACCTCCACACGGTTTCTCTTGGAAAACATAGTGGTTAATTCTAGTGGAATTCGTCACAAGGGGCTAACTGGCCTGCTTTCATCGTCACCTATCATTCCTCACTGGTGCCCCACCAGCGTATATCAATAGCGCAGGCGAGATTACTGTTCCATTATCACCCATTAAAAAAAGAAACCGCGGAATTTTATATGCCCCGCCAACGTATACGGCGGGGCACTAGTGAGGGGTTACGATTCTATTATCATCCATTTAGAATATATGTACAAATATAGGTATAATTAAATTATATAAAAAAAAAGATCCAAATTCAATTTTGAATCTTATTAAATAATAAAATTATTTAAAAGAGCAACACGCAAGTTTCTTGCTCGTTCTTCTTGTGATGAGACAGCTTTCCGAACGAGCGGTAGATTAAAAAAAATGTAATGACTTTTCAAAAGTGCTTCAATGTAAGTTTATTTGAATAAATGATTTTCTATTCTATTCTATTCTATTCTATTACTAGCAACTGTTAAAAGCGCGTTTTGTTTTGATTTAAACGAAAATAAGCTGACTAAATCTTGACACGTTTTAAATATCGATGCTCTATCTATTTAATCTAAATGTATCTTTTGTTTATGCTAATAAAGATGATTAGTATTACGTTATCAGTGCCTGTGGGCAGTCTGATAAGCTAGGCGAAAGTATCACAAGCACTTGAAAAGCCGTAGTTTCCTTTGGACGGTCATGCTGGTCAGCGGTGAAATTTCTATATCTATGTATTGTAGGTCTTTTCCTCTAAAACCGCAATATATGCAGTAATTTAAGTATTGAGCGTGAATTCTCTATTTTAAGTATTTTTTCCGCTAAGTAACGATACGCGCTTTGTTATATTTTAGTATAATGAGTAACATAAGGGTAATGTGTCATCTCTGTAACGAAAGTAATTATACCCTAGTTCTTAAGTTGCCAATGCCTGAGAGGTGGCACAGCATATTTTTTAATCTCCGTTATGAACTGACTCCAAAAAAGGAGAAGGTTCTATATTATACTTTTTTTATGTTTGTTATTTGAGTTATATACTCTGTCAGTTATATACCGATTTGAAAAATTTATTTTTTATCTAAAAATACTTTCTGATTGGTTTCGTAGAAATTTTATCAAAATTCTTTTTTATTGAACACAAATCTTGACTTATGTTTGCATTAATTTATTTATTTATTTACACTTTTGCACACATTAAATAATATAATATTAAAAAAGAAAAAGAAAAATATTTATTTGACGCATATCAATTACAATTACAACTAAATCGTTAACAATTATAAACTTAAAGAAAAAGGAAATACAAAAAAAACTTATACCTAATTAGAAATTATGCGACCAAAATGGCTATCACTCAGCCTAGTATAGTATTATATTATCTGTGACTCAGCTAAGTGTTTGGGCATTCATACGTAATGCATAAACGCTGATTTTCTGTGTAACCAATGGGAATGGTAGATGGCACTATACACATATATATATTTTAAACGTGTGTTATATTAATATTTATTTATTTATTTATTTATTTAACTCTTTATTGCACCATAAATAAAAATATACAATGACAAGTGAATAATTCAAATGAAATACAGTAACATAAATACAGATTTAAATATACACATAAAGGTACAAAAGGCGGTCTTATCGCTAGGGCAATCTCTTACAGACAACCTTTAGTTAAGGGAGAACAGATAGAAAAGGGCAGGTGGCGCAAGAGTGAATCAACAATTTTCGTGCACAAAATACAAAAACATGTAATGCACAAAAATATCAAATACATATAATTTATTAAACTACTTACTATAACAATATATATACATACATACATACACATACACATACATATATATATACATACATATACACATATAACATACATACAAAATACATAAACATACACATATAAATACATACATAGCACACACAAGGAAATATGACAAATCTAGTCCAAAAATTACAAAGGAGTGGAAAAGAGTAACTACAGTGAAAGAAAATGTGATTTGACTTGTCCTTTAAACGAAGCCAAGGATTGCGCACTCTGTATAGACGGTGGCAGCGAGTTCCATAGGCGCACTGCCTGAACGGAAAAGGATTTGGTGTAGTACACGGAGGTATGTGCTGGGGTTTTTAAACGGAGACTATTTGAGGTACGCGATAATAAACGTGTTCAAGCAGATATCTGCGTTTTTCTATTATATTCTGGAAATATAACAAAATATTTTAACCCTAAAAATACTAACATGTGATCCATGGATACTTTAGTGCCCTGTATTTTGCCAACAATCGTTCCTTTCTTGGTGTTTTTCACCCATCCACCGATATTTAGCTGCTCAGCTAGTTCCTTGCAGTATTTCGTGAAGTAGCAGCCTGCAAACAACAACGAAAAATACTGAGAAGACTACAGAATATAAAATATATATATTCAAATAAAAAAAATAATATAAAATGTTATATAATTTAGAGGTTAAAAAAGATTTTTTTTTTCGCCAAAAAATACTTAATCGGAACGCGGAAAGTAATGTCTACTTATTAATTTGTAAACTGGGTATGGCTTTATCATTTTTCCGTTATTTCAACTACTGAGTTTCTATAATGCCAGTACGGAAACGGAACTCTCAACTTTCACTAGAACCTATGATAGCTTGCTTGGCGACAGAAATATTCAGGTAAGTCAGTGGTACTACCCAGGCGCGTCACACAATCAGTTAATATATGATAATGATTAATTAACAATAATTTAAAATCATCGGATGACAACAAACTAAGCATCAAATCCGCGATAATATTGATTGATGAATACTCAATATCTATAAATAGATTATTTGAATTATTAATAAAAATGTATCAAAAATATCCGATAAATATACTTTGACCATTAGTGTCTCGTTACTTTTACAGAAGTCACAGAATACATTGAGAGACCATTGGTATTAGAGATGAGTAATATCCGATATATATATATTGAGGTCTTCTGGATATTGATGATCATCCATTGCGATTTCGCCTCGTCGGATATTTTAAATATCTTTTCGATATTTTATATTGGATAACCGATAGTTAATATGTCTGTTATTGAACCAATGTATAATGTATATATATACAATATATAGATATTGAAACTATAATTTATAGATATTACTATATATTACCCGCTTTTAATTGGTACCCCTGATGTGTTGCCATTCCCGAAAACTAAGGTGTTTTTTTTTTTTATGTATGATAATGGAATGGTAACCCCGCCTGCACTAACGGTATACGCTGGCGGGGCACCAGTGATAGATGATAGGTGAGGATGAAAAGGCAGGTCAGTTAGCCCATCGTGATGAATACACTTAGAATTCAGCACGATAGTTTCCAGGGGAGACCACGGGGAGGTCGACCTGTTACGGTATATTATTAGCAATGGAACTGATAATCCGCATTGCTAACAATCCCTTGTCCCCCAAAACTAAGGTGGTTAAATCGGTAATTCCTTCTTAGGAAATTGTATAATATTGTATAATAAACTGCCAAAATACGTCCTAGATCTACCCGAAAAATATTTAGAAACTGTCCTAAATAAAATCTTCGCTCATTACAGGATATACGAATATATTAATGACAAAAATGCATGGATGAAGTAAACGCAAATTAAACTAAATTTCTATAAGCACAGAGAAGTTACTGACATTATTTATTTATTAAAATGTTGACATTTTTATTTTTATTATTTCAATAATGAGAAATTCTTTATTATTGACACAAATTTATTAAATTAATTAAATAAATATAAATAACATTTTAATTATAATTGAGTTTGTATAAAGATTGTTACATTCAATTTAGTATCAATATTTTTAATGTTATCTCTTAATTTGAAATAAGTCATGCTCGCTATAATGTTTACTCGTAGACTGGTGGCGATGTAGTAAACCGGATCGTTGGGCTACCTATAATATGAACACAACGATGACTGGTTCATCCGTCATACTCGTGAACGAATGCCTCTAGTCTTGATTTGTCTATTAAAGAGTACTGTAATTGGTTGTGGCTTTTTATCAATATCAAGTTTACGATAGTCATTTTATCCATTTACATTTTTTATAAACTAAAATTTTATTTGAAAACAGCTGAGTTTCTTCTCCATTTTTTTAATTGAACTGGGAGGTAGATCAATAAAAAAAATACTATTTAAAACATTTTTTTACTTTATGACACTGTACTTTGTAATTTTACTGTCATTTTAAAACGAAACATAGACATAAGCACAGCTGCTTGGCGGCAGAAATATGAGTGGGACAGTGGCACTCAAACTGAAGATATTTGTGCAAAATCACAAGTGAGGTTGAGGTATAAAATAATACCCAAATTATTCATTCTTATAATAGCGGTCATCATCATCATATCAACTTTTAACTGTTCACTGTTGAACATATGTAAGCCTTCCCCTTGAGGGGGTTTGCCAGTAGTTACCACGCTTGGCAGGCGGATTGGCAACCGCAGTTAAGCTTTAACGATGTTTTAAAATTTATCTATCTAAGAGGGACACTGCTGCCCATCCCTCTTAGTCGCCTCTTACAACACCCACGGGAAAGGAAGGGCTGGCCTGTTCTATGCCGGAACCTACACATCAAATGATAATGCTTCTGTGTAATTTTTGTACAAAATTGAATGCAATCAATATCTACCGACTTGGTTCTAATAAATAAATTTGCAATATTTTTTTTTATACAACTTAGAATGGCAAACAAGCTGACGGCCCACCTGATGGAAAGTGGTAACCGTCGCCTATAGACATGAGCAGTACCATGGACATAACAGAGTATACTGTTTCGCCCATGATACCCCCATGCGCTGCCATTCCTGAGGACTCAGGTGTTATTCCTCTGTACCTTGTAAATTCACGCCATATCCCACCTTTCAAACCGAAACACAACTGTCTCACTGTTGAAACACGAATGTGACAGAGGTACCCAAGCAATCGACTTTTGTACAGTCTCCCTCTGGTAATGTTTTAAACTGTTTTAAAAAGTAGGATGTATGTACATCCACAGCCATAAAGCAATTAGCATATTAATGCTTATTGCTTTATGGCTATGTTAAGCAACATTTTCGTAAATTATAAATAGAAATTTATAAATTGATATAATTAATTTCCATTTTGGTCTTATTTACCTAATTTATATAATTGGTGGTACTGTTTTTATCGTCCAAATCACTGAACAGGTTAATATTAAAAAAAATCATTATAAAAAAAGTTCGCTAACATTGTATCATATCAATATCTATAAAAAGGTCAACAGCCTTTATGAAAAATGTGTGTCACACACAAAAAAAAAATTTTGATGTGATATGAAAAGTTTGAGAAGCGCTGATTGATCAATCCAAATTGCCTATTGACATCGACCCAGATGCGACCGGCGCGGCTAAATATAACGCAAGTGATGATCACCGGGTCGAAACTAGATAGGTATACGAATAAAAATCCATCGATAGATAATTTGCAAACATTTTCAAAAAGGAGGTGGTATCTCATATTGATAAAAAAATATCAAAATTTTATTTGTTTGTAGCATCGTTCACTCGCAAATAGATAAATCGGTTTTCTGTTTTTTTTTTTTATTCTTTATTTGAAATTCAAATCCAGTCCAGTTTAATCTAGATCTATTTTGGTAGCTTAAATTTTTGCCCGACTATGAATATGTCAAAATATTTATATTTTAACAGTACGTATGTTTTTTCTATCATTAACTTTTCACCTGTGTTTCATCGTAGCAAATAGACTAAGTTGTTTTGTTTATCAACTGAAATAAATATCAATTATAATAATAATTAATAAATTAATTATTAATATTAGTAGATGGTTTATGTGAAGTCTGCACAAAATCGGTCGAGCGGTTCTTCATTTATCACATTTTTTGTAAGCAGTTGTGTTTGCATAACTGTGTTTCGGTTTGAAGGGTGGGATATGGCGTGAATTTACTGGGTACAGAGGAATAACACCTAAGTCCTCAGGAATGGCAACGCATGGGGGATATCATGGGCGAAACAGTATACTCTGTTATGTCCATGGTACTAAAAATTATAAGAATGTATTTTTTATGTACAAAAAAGTATAAAGAAATAAAAGTAAATCAGTAAATATTATTTATACTTTACTATTATACATAACAGATATATATCTATTTTTTTTAATGGTTGATGATGGAACGGTAACCCCGCCTGCGCTAACGGTATACACTGGCGGGACACCAGTGGGGGATGATAGGTGAGGATGAAAAGACAGGTCAGTTAGCCCATCGTGATGGATACACTTGGAATTCAGCACGATGGTTTCCAGAGGAGACCACGTGGAGGTCAACCTGATAGGATATATTAATAGCAATGGGAGGGGGAGGGAAAGATTGTTGGCAATGGAGACTGACAGCCCTATTGCTAGCACCCCCTGGAAACTATCGTGAACAATTCTTGTTGAATTCGTCACGATGAGCTAACTGACCTGCTTCAACCTCACCTACCATCTTTCACTGGTGCCCCGCCGGTATATACCGATAGCGCGGATGGGGTCACCATTCCAGTATCATTCAATAAAAAAATAGCAATGGGGCCTTTAGCTTTTATCATTAACAATCCCCCCCCCCCCTATACGTACCTATTCTAAATATGTCTAACAAAAGCGGTATGTCGTACCTAAATCATCTTAATTTGTCACAAGACGAACGATGATTGACGTTCGAGAAATTTATGCCAACGTTATTTTCTACCTATATCCAGAACAAAATATCTATTACACTAACGAAATATAATATATTATGTGGTTGTATAGGTATGTATCTACTGGGAATTGGCTTCGATATTAATAATAATCTCAAGGTTAAGCAACATACGATACGGTCGGTTATAGGATGAATACGTAGGTACCTACTCGATTCTCAGCTTATAATATTTACGTCTAGTATTTTCACCGAATCGTTTCAATATCAATAAGTCCTTATTAAGTAAGTATATTTCTTTCAAAGAATTAAAGTTCTAATAAATGTAAAAATAAGTAAAAAAAAAAACAATTATTTTCAGTAATTATCCTTAGTTTGAGGACCAGACTTTTGGTGTGATTGTCTGACACTTATAGAATAGAATAGAATAGAATAGAAATGTATTATTTGACAAAAACATAAAGTTACAAACAAGATACAACGGGTCTCACACTAGGCGAACCTGCATCGTGGGCACCCGACAAAGATTAACAATTCACAATCTGTCAATTTTTTTTTTTTATTTAATTTATTTATATATTGAAATCATAAAAACTTTGTTATAAATTACAAAAGTAGGATAGTGTATGATAACAGCCACACTATTATTATTAATTATAGATAGTTGATACTAAATAACCAATTCAATTTTTTTTTATACAACTTAGAATGGCAAACAAGCTGACGGCCCACCTGATGGAAAGTGGTAACCGTTGCCTATAGACATGAGCAGTACTATGGACATAACGGAGTATACTGTTTCGCCCATGATACCCCCCACGCATTGCTATTCCTGAGAACTTAGGGGTTATTCCTCTGTAGCCTGTAAATTCACTGCCATATCCCACCCTCCAAACCGAAACACAACCATGCAAACACAACTGTTTCATGGTTGAAACACGAATGGGACAGAGGTACCCAAGCAATCGACTTTTGTACAAAGTCTCCCTCTGGTAAGTAAGTTTATCAAAAGAAGTTAAGAAAACGACTTTACAGTTATGATCCGTAGAGGCCTAAAATTATTTCTAAGTATAAAAATGAATAACTTTCATAACACTAAAAAGAGTTCTTGAAAAGAAAAATCAAAATTAGAAAAGTATTTGATTTTTTTTTGTCTAATTTACAATTATGTTTTTTTGTTGTTCCTTGTGTAAGCATAACCTACTTACACAAAATCGCTTCATTATAATAAAATTCAGTCACGCAACTAACTAGGATCCCTATAGAATTTTAAGTAGAAAATATTATTAAAAATCCAGGCTTTAAATGTATTAATTTTCTTTTTTTTATACAACTTAGAATGGCATACAAGCTGACGGCCCACCTGATGGAAAGTGGTAACCGTCGCCTATAGACATGAGCAGTACCATGGACATACCCCCCATGCGTTGCCATTCCTGAGGACTCAGGTGTTATTCCTCTGTACCCTGTAAATTCACTATCATATCGCACACTTCAAACCGAAACGGTAGAAACACTAATGGGACAGAGATACCCAATCAAACGACTTTTATACAAAGTCTCCCTCTGGTACTCTAGTTTTTTGTCTAAAATAATAGATACCTATAACACTTCTTAAAGACATGAGTACGTAAAGTACACTACTAAATAACTATACTACATAAAAAAAATCTTCCAGGTATTTAATTAATTGTTTGTTTAACCAATATATAAACAATTCAGAGCTTAATCCGGTGAGTCTAGAGCAGTGATTCTCAACCACTGTGCCGCGGCACTTTTGTGTGCCGCCAAATTTTAAGTGTGCCGCCAAATTTTGCAAATACTTTAAAATTTTTTTTCATAAACTATTTATGCAGTGTGTTGTAGTGAGTAAATAATTTTTATCTTTTTCTTTGAGTGCCGCCAAATTTTGAAATCGCTAAATATGTGCCGCAACAAAAAAAAGGTTGAGAATCACTGGTCTAGAGTGACGGTGAAGTGTAAATATTGCGTTCACAAATAAGGACATAAGAGAGCATTAGAATTTTTTAAAAATTTATCATGTAAGGAAATTTAATAGGGGATGACAGTTCATGTGGTTATTGCTTATGATAAAACTCATCAGGTACTTAACTAATTTTGCAATTATTCTTTCACTAAGAGAGAAGGAATGGTAAGGAATTAAAATTAGGGACTCTGTTAATACCCAATAAGGTTTATTGCTAACAACGGGGACGTAATCATTTTGATATCACTTTTATTATCTCGAAACCATGATTATATGCTAGTGAATTCGCCATGATTGAGTAGCTGACGTGACTTCATCCTCACCTATCATCCCTTTCTAGTTCCCAGCCATCGGAAACCGATACCGTACAATCACAATTCCATTTATATCCAAAAAACGTTTTCCCTCAATTAATAGATACAATTCGCCAATCAATCAAGTTGACCTTCAATCATTTGAACCCGTGAGGACAATAATAGAGTCGTGTATATACCAACCTTGAACTTGCCCATAGACCTCAAACTCAACAGACGAAAGAGTATTCGGGTCTTCCGTGCCCATCGTCACTCACACTTGACCGTTTACCAAACGTTTTTTCGGGCGGCTATCGCCTAACGCGACCAAGAAGATCACTGTTGGAAAAGTGCCCCGCCAAAATGCCAATGTTACGTACGCCGTCCCGATTTATTTATGTATCTACTATGTACATATATAAAATTTACGATTGCAATAACATATCTTCTAATCTAATATAGTAACGTTTGTTTTGCAATGCCATATAGATACATTTTAAAATGGACAGCGTTCGAAATTTAGATAGTATTTATGATAAAATTTAACTGCTAAATTTTCGAAAAGAGAATGAAGTTTCAGTTGTCATATGTAGGTAATTGTTTCTTCAACAAAATATGTACATTGAGCAAACATGGAACTCAACTCAATTGATTGCAAAAAGCATTTCAGAAACCTGTTGATGAATAATTGACTTAGTAAACGTATGACTAACTCGTAAAATAATAACTAGTAATAAATGGTGCTCTTAGACGTATCTCCTTTACCGGCATTTGTTGTAAGTTTGATCTCGTTTATGATTGTTGGCTTTATATTATAAAAAAAAATACTGGCAACTTGAGAACCTCTTCCTTTTTTAAATTGCTTTGAAAAGTAGATCCTTTCTTATTTATTTTTTATATTACTAACAGATATTGTAGTTTGTCTATAAAAATTAATATACTTTCGTTTACCAGCGAATTTATCAACGTGACCGGGATATGTTTATTGACCGGGATAAAACGTAACCTATATCCTTCTCCAGCCCATATAGTACTCGTATGTGTATACCTAAGCCTTAACGGTTAAGGTTATATAAAATTATATACATATATATCGTCGACTTCAGATATACAAACAACTTCACCTACATTTGTGGTGACGTTACGAGCGGTTGATTAGGAAACAGTCGTTCAATCAGTGGTCAATCATATAATTGTAATTGCTGCACAGGAATCAGCCACTCCACGCTGGTCTGCTGGGGGACCTTCCTTCTGCAACATCCGTATAATTTGTGGGCCTTTTATTACATACTGGCTTTAAATAGTTATATAGTCTATTAGTTTTAAAATGCATTCACATTCATTTAAGTTTTAAAACGTTTGAATAACAAACATTGAAACATTTTTATACAGTTTATATATATATAATAGGCACCACAGAGCAAAATGATCACTAACAGGTACCTTTTTGGAGAATCTGAATGTTGAAAAATTGTTCAATTTCACCATAGATAATGTTAAAAAAAATAGTAATACTTTTTGAAAATGGAATGGCATTAATGGTATTTCCCTTAGCGTTATTGGTATTCACTGGCGGTGTAGCAGTAAGAAATGATACGTGAGGAAGAAGTCGAATCCGAATCCTACGCGAAGAGCTCTTAGTTATATTTAAGTCGACTTTTTATGGGTTAAAAATAAATAGTAACAGTTTTTGCCCTAAACATTTGTTAGTTAGTTAAATAAGGTTTCATTTAGTATAATACAAGTTCATTTCTATCGCTTAATTAAAAAGTAATGAGTCTCAATATAAAAACTAGTTCAACACTCATCGGTCTCCTCTACTATTTGAATTATGTTACTATTTGTATATGCAATGAAATAGTTATTAAGCTTATCCATTACAGACAAACAAATATTTCCTTTTTATAAAATCAAGTATACATTATAATAATACAGTGCTCAATTTATACTCGCAGGTATATTATATGCCCTTTTAGATAAGTATATGCTATATACCTATTACCAGAGGGACACTTTGTACAAAAGTCGATTGCTTGGGTACCTCTGTCCCATTCGTGTTTCAACCGTGAAGCAGTTGTGTTTGCATAGCTGTGTTTCGGTTTGAAGGGTGGGATATGGCATGAATCTACTGGGTACAGAGGAATAACACCTGAGTCCTCAGAAATGGCAACGCATGGGGGGTATCATGGGCGAAACAGTATACTCTGTTATGTCTATGGTACTGCTCATGTCTATAGGCGACGGTTACCACTTTCCATCAGGTGGGCCGTCAGCTTGTTTGCCATTCTAAGTAGTATAAATAAAAAAAAAACTTTCATTTTCCTGTTAATTGCTATGAAATTTATTATACACATACTATAGGATCCATCACCTCCTCAATAAAAGGACATAGGAATACGACTTTTTTATCCTGGTAAATAAACCCATCCTAAACTCAGACCACACGGGCCAAGTTTCGAGTAAAAGGTAATTAACAATAAGCGGATTAAAAAAATCCATATTATCGCATAGGTTTAAATTAAATTTAGAATTAATGAAGAATTAAATTTATTTGGAAAAAAATTATCGTATTTAGAGGACTTAAAATATATTTCGCACTAAATACATCAATATCAATTGTAATAAATACATATGGATAAAAGTTGTAATATAACTAATTAACAGATATTAATCGATTAATAGATAGATTATATTTTTTATATATTATTATTATCTTACTCATATACAGTGATGGATTTTCCTTAAGGCCCAGGAGGGCCGGGCGTAGGGCGGCCAGATATTAGGGGCGGCCAATCGTGACAAAAAATTCACTAATGATAACAAGAAATAACTAAAATAACTAAAAGAAACCTCGGAACATATTATAAACTAGCAGATATTATAATTAACTAAATTTATGAATCGATTTCGATAAAAGTTGGCAAAAAAGCACTCAGTATGATGGGTGCTGAGAAAGGGATGGCTGGTACTTAGTACATGGCCTAGGGCCTAAAGTGGCCAAGACTGCAAACCCGTCACTGTTGATATAATTTGTAAAATCGATATACGTTATATTTATTACTATAGAGCAGGGGATTCGGCTTTTAAAAAACCTCGTGGGTGCTCACGCTCTTTTGATAACTAGGTACATCATTAATTGTTCAGCTGAAAGACGGACACGGCAAGCAAACGCGACCTAAACAACAGATAATATGACGAGGATTATTTTAGTTATGTTATGATGTCTAGTGTGTGTCACGTGTGCTGTTACAATATTTACCTTTCATGGGTGCTGTTTTTTTTTTAAATAATGATAACGAATTGATAACCCAGCCTGCGTTATCAGTAAACACTGGTGGGACACCAGTGAGGGATGATTGGTGAGGATGAAAAGGCAATCAAAATAACTTGTTTCACCATAATTAAAGTAATTTTTACTGTGAAACATAATCTTTAGTTATTAATGAATTTTAACTCACTTGGAAATTAAGACAGACGTGACATGTTGTTGAAACGTATATATTTATATCACACATTCGATACTTTTCGAAAAGGACGTAGTGCCTAGTGTCGGTTGTACAAAGATTTATCACTTTTTACATTTATTTGGTAAGTTTGTATAAAAACTCGATTAGTCGCCTCATACGACACGCACGGAAAAGTAAGAAGTAGCCTGTTTTGTACCGTAACTACGTAACACAGTAATCTTCGAAATAAAACTGGGGGGAGGGGTGGGGGGAATGGATTGTTAGTTTATTTATTTCAAGTTACATAGACAGTATATATTCTTAGTGCTGCGAAACTGCATTGCAGTTTGTATGCAGTTTTGCGCTCTTGTACATACAGCTTTTTAAACAATTATAAACTTATATCCTATACCTATATACTAAACTTATATCTTTATACATACATATACACAGACATGTATATATACATATATACATATACATACAGACACATATGCATATACTAACACTAATACTAAGTAATGCAGATTATCAGTTCCACTGCTAGCAATATATCCTGTCAGATCGACCTTCACGTGGTTCCTTCTGGAAACCATAGTGCTAAATTCCTGGTGTATTCTTTTCAGTGGACTAACCGACCTGGCTTTTCATCTCATCTATCATACTCACTCGCTCGCTTCTCACTGGTGCTCCGCCACTGTATAACTATAGCGTAACCGAGATTACCATTCCATTGTCATCCATTAAAAATAACCGTCTGCGCTAACGGTATACGATGACGGGTACCGGTGTAGGACAATAAGTTGAGGCTGAAAAGACAGGTCAGTTGGCGCATCATGATAAATTCACCTGGAATTAAACATGATGGTTTTAAGGGGGGAGATCACGAGAAGGTCGACCTGGCAGGATTTGGTAGCAGTGGGGTTGCTAACTTTGCGGTTGCCAACCCGCCTGCCAAGCATAACAACTAGTAACAAAACCTTTCGTACGGAAAAGTTTTATGTCCATCAGTGGATGAATTTAGTTTCTCTATATAATGTAAATAAAAATCTAAAGCAATAGTTAACTTTAAATAAATTTAAGTATCAACTTCAACGTTTACCTAATGACATTATTATTATTAGGCAAAGCGCCTGCTCTTTTTCTTATACAAAAAATATACTGCGGAAATTTTAATCAGGCGTTTAGTTTTAAGGTATCGAATATATGATACTTACATTACTATAATGCACATTTATTATTCAGTATATGGCCGAGTTGACATTATGATGAATTAAAAAATTAAAAATAATATAAAACTTTTAAAATATATCTAACATAAAATTCTCGTGTCGCGGTGTTTGTTACCAAACTCCTCCGAAACGGCTCTACCGATTTTTATGAAATTTTGTGTGCATATCGGGTAGGTCTGAGAATCGGCCAACATCTATTTTTCATACCCCTCAATGATAAGGGTGACCCACCCCAAAATATATTTTATTTTTTTTATTTTTATTTTATTATAATTTAGCATTGAAAAATACATACTACTTTAAATTTTCATCGTTTTACGATCAACCCCTGTATTTTAATCGCGATTTTTATATGTCGCAATAGAGTTACAAGATATACCGAACATAATAATTATAGTCGGATACATTTTCATGTACAGTTCTCGAAATAATGTATATGGTAAAACAACGTTTGCCGAGTCAGCTAGTAGGTATATAAAAAACAAGATAAACGGTGGATCAAGATTTGTAAAGATGCTTATCTATATTGATTACTTTGATTTATTTCCAATTATAGACTTAAAACATGCTCTCTTTTTAAAATCATTAAAAATGGTCACTATTTTAATAAATAAATCTACATGAATTGGTAAGCAACACACACATATACATTTATAATGTATTAGAAAATATAGTCTCCATTCCAATACAAATTTTAGAAATCAACTATTTAATAATCTAAGAAACTTTTAATTCAATTACTTGCAACTTCAGATTTTAAACTTAGTACGGTATAAATATAATAAGTCTGTGCTTGCAACTTGCAAGATTAAAAAAGTTGTTTTTTTTTTTTTTTTTTTTTTGAACGTTGTTCAAATCTAAGAACAAGGAATTAAATAGAAGGAATAATGAAATAAAAGCTGTGAATTATATGGTTGCTTCCTTTTTCTTATGCAAATATAATTAGTAAAAAAGGACAAAAGATACACCGTCAGTCGTCATTTTTCTCAATTCATAGCAGGTCAGTGTATAGAAAATGTTCGATATGTCAATTATTTGTCAATAACAATCTTCACATTACTAGATTATATAGGTATTCGACACAGTTTATGTAGAAAGTATGCAAGCAGGTTGTATCTGAATTTGGTAGTGATATACGGTCGTATAATATAGTCAAATTGAATCAAACAAACGTGAATTTAGAAATTGTAAATGTAGGAAACTGAATTTTATTTTAAATACTGACCCATTTTTGACATTCGATACTCTATCTTTATAATCAAAATTCGACATTATAATAGTGAATTACGACTTCTAGTTTTAATTTTAGTGATATGTTTAGAAAATAGTGCTAAAGAATCAAACCCGCTGTCTGCAAGTGAAGAACTTAATACAAATTCAGATATAAAATTTAAGAATTTTTTCTTCTTTAATGGCACCACCAAAGTTTTTTTTCTCTTTACTTTCTTCATACATATTATCGTACCTTCAAGTTTATTATCAAAGTATATATAAGCCTTTCTCACAAAAATATAACAATCAGAAGAATTCATTATTATGTCTGTGACAAATCTAAGTGCCTATTTACTCTGTAGTTTTACAATTTTATATAATATGTCAACGCGTAAGTTAATCTATGTATGTCAATGTCAATTATTTTTAAAGAAATGTCAATCGAGTGACTGACTCGATTGACATTCATCTTCTAAACTTTTTCTTAGTATATTTTATTGTTTGTGTTTGCGACGAGTTGTTGTCATTTTGTGTTTTCATTGATTGCTTCACCAAAACTCTGATAATTAATTTATTTATTGATCGGAATATTTTTTCTTTCTCCTGTTTTTTATTTACACTAAATTTATCGTTAAACTTTAATTCTATATAATACGAGTTCGATATTTTAATGAAACTTTTAAGTGCACATTGTTAATATCGAACTTATTGCTGGAAATCTCGTCAAAATGGTCACATGCCAAAGTGGAGACCATAAATTGGATGTAGCTGTTAATAATTGGCTAAAGCACGACAAAGTAAGTAATCAATTAAACATAATTTCTAATTATAATATTTTACATTTGAATTAAAATTTCTATAAATTCTACTCAGCAATTTTTATAATTACCAAATATACACAATTTTATTGTCATTTATAAAAGAGTATCCCCTGACTAAAAGTGATTTTGTGTTTATTAGCTCATGGTGTTTTAACGTCTTACTCAGTCTTTTTTTTAATGAATGATAATGGAATGGTAGCCTCGTCTGCGTTATCGGTATACACTGGCGGGGCACCAGTGAGGGATGATTGGTGAGGATGAAAAGGCAGGTCAGTTAGCCTATCGGGACGAATTCAACTATAAATAGTCATGTTTTCAGTGGGAACCACATGGAGATTGATCTCATAGAGTATAATGATAGCAATGGAGACTAATTTCCCTATTACTAACAATCCCTTCTCCCCAACCGGTCCTCTTGAAATGTAAGACATAGTAATATAAATGACTAGTTACTGTGTATGACAAGAGTATAATTTGTTTGTGATTATAATTGTTACTTTAATAAATATTTTTAATGTTTCTAGTTGTTACACATACTCATTCTGTAATACAGTGTATAAGTATTATAATTATTGTATACAGAACCCAAAGACCATCCAAGAAGTAGAGGATGATATAGCCCATGCAAGATGGGACAAGCTAAGGAAGACAATGCTGCGTAGACAGAAATTCGGCACGGCGGGCCTGCGTGGGCGCATGGGCGCTGGCTATATGTGCATGAATGATGTAGTCATATTGCAGACTGCCCAAGTAAGTCTTTTATGTCTGCTGGAATGTGGTTGGAATACAACCTTAGATAGAAAATTCTAGGAGATATATTTTGTTTGTTCAACTAATTATATCAAACAAGCTATGGTGACAACTATGGTAATATAGACCATAAGCATTGCAATTCCTGAGAAATATGTTATTATGCTTCAGTACCTTATAATTCTGGCATACTTATTTCTAATGTTGCCTCAACAAAAATTAGAATCAAAAATGTTCTTGATTTTTTTTTAAATTGGTGCTTAAGTTGATAATTTATGTGCATACTCCCAAACTTCCCTTTGTAATTCATATATTAATTGTGATTATGGCTAGTCCACCTAGATGTGGCTAATTCAGTAGTTGTCACAAACATCTGAAACAAATGCTAATAAATTAGTTCTTAAACCAATATCTATATCTGTGGACTATTTTACCATATAATTTACTATAATATGGCACAGTATCATACAATCCTACTGTCACAATACTCATTTTTTGAGGACATTTAATTTCTATACAATAATAATAAATTTCTATCAATATCAGAGGCAGACTTTGTACAAAAGTCGTTTGCTTTGGTCCCATTCTTGTTTCTACTGCAAAGAAGTTGTGGTTGTGTTTCCGTTTGAAAGGTTGGATATGGCAGTGAATTTACAGGGTACAGAGAAATAACAGCTGAGTCCTTAAGAATGGAATGCATGGGGGGAATTATGGGTGAAACATTATACCCTGTTATGTCTATGATACTGCTCATGTCTATAGGCAACTGTTATCACTTTCCATCAGGTGGGCCCTCAGCTTATTTGCCATTGTAAATTGCATAAAAAGAAAAAAAATCATTTACAGTATTGATGATATTATGACATATTTTTTTAATATTTTGTATATCTATTGTAAAGCATATACAATACCACACTACTACAGTCAATTATAGAAACGATCAATAACTGCTAAAAATGCTAAAAAGTAAATCAAAAAACTTTTCCGTGGATATCCTAAGAAGCAACTAAGGGAACTTAATGGTCTAGCCAGTGTCTCCTAAAAAATCGCCAAAACCTAACTGTGGTTGCCATCGCGCCTGCCAAGCATGGTAACTACTAGCAAAACCCTGGTCAAAGGGAGGCCTATATTCAAAACCGGACAGTTAACGGCTGATATGATGATATGTATATAAATTGAAAGTACTTTCAATTGTACAGTACAAAGTGCAGGTGCTTGCATGAACTTTGTCAGAATAAAACCCTTTGAAGTGACGTGTGATAATTTATCAACAATAGTAGGAATTGTGTTCGAGTTCAGCCAAGTGATGGCATACATTCGCAAAGCCTGATAATGTAGATTAAAAAATAATCGTTTACTTATATCGCGACATCAGTTAGACTTGTTCTTGAAAACGTTTCATGCAAAAGTTTAAAAAAAAAATAATCACCTTTTAGAGTTTATTATTAATAATAACGGAATGGCTATATTACGAGTCGGACTCGTGTAATGAGGGTTTCCATCAAGTTTTATGTTTTTGTGAAATAACTACAAATTTACGATTTTCTGATTTTTTCCTATATTTGTGTTACATCACATTGCTTCTTGCCAAATTTCATGATTCTAGGTCAACGGGAATGGTCCCTTTTTCTTCTCCTTTTTCTTTTGGAGGTACGGAATCCTAAAAATGACTTTCGTAGAAGTACTCCCTTTTATGGCAAATATACAAGGTAACAAAAGTCATTTGTTTAGGTAATAATAGCTGAGTGGCTATTACTACCCAAATGACTTTTGTAAAAGTTTTTTCTTGTGTTTCAAATATACTAGGTAATTACCAAGATTGTTTCTTTTTTACTTGGCATTTTTGTATTCCAAAGTTAAACATTTTTTTTTTGCGTTGTAAGTTCTACTAGATTTTTTTAATGGATGATAATAGAATGGCAGCCCCGCCCGTGCTAACGGTATACACCGGCGGGGCACCAGTGAGGGTTGACAAGTGAGAATTAAATAGGTCAGTTAGCCTTCGTGATGAATCCAACATCATTATTTCCATGGAGAACCGCGTGGAGGTCGACCTGATAGAGTATATTGTTAGCTTTGGGGTTCTTAAACCCAATAACTAACAATCACTTCTCCCCCCAGTCCTACAAGATTTGTACTATGTGTATTTGTATCTTAAGATCTCTATTGTAATGAGCTAGAGGCACTATACGATTTTTAATTCTTTTTTTTTTTGTTTTAGGGTCTATGTTCATATGTACAGAAGCAGTGCAATCAGAGCCAACTACGCAATGGCATTGTGGTTGGATATGATGGGCGTTACAACAGCAAAAGGTATATTTTGTTATATATTATTATTACCAGAAGGAAACTGTTCAAAAGTCGTTTGCTTGGGTACCTCTGTCCCATTCGTATTTCTACCGTAAAGCATGGTTGTGTTTGCATGGTTGTGTTTCGGTTTGAAGAGTGGAATATGGCAGTGAATTTACAGGGTACAGAGGCATATCACCTGTGTCCTCATGAATGGCAACGCATGGGGGGTATCATGGGCGAAACAGTATACTCTGTTATGTCCATGATACTGCTCATGCCTATAGGCAACGGTTACCACTTTCTATCAGGTGGAGCGTCAGCTTGGCAAACCATTCTATATATATGTTATATTTACATAAAGGGCTCGATCTTGACATTTCGTTACATCGATCAAACGTAGGTATTTCCGCCCTTGACAATGACCCCTATATGACAGATATTGTACTTAGTATATAAATGGTATGTAAAAAAATGTAACTTATGAATCGAGTGCTCATAGTATATGGTAGACGACGTGCTCACATTTATTTACATCATCATCATCATATCAGCTTTTAACTGTCACTGCTGAATATAAGCCTCTGAGACTTTGCCAATAGTTGCCCTGCTTGGCAGGCGGATTAGCAACCGCAATTTCGTTTTGAAAATGTTTTAAGAAGGACGCTGCTGCCCATCCCTCGCCCTGTCGTAGTCTCCTCTTACGAACTCCCACGGGAAAGAAAAGGATGGCCTATTCTATGCTGGGACCACACGGACTATTTATTTACATGACATCCTGAATTTAAATTGTTCTGCTATGAACATTTGCCACCCATTATTTTGTCATTCTCAAAATTTGCTACCCTTCATTACCATTTGGATATTCGTTCTACATTAAAATATATTAAATAAAATCTTCATCCATATATTTTTTTTTTTTTTAATAAAAATAGTAATTATAGTTCTGATTTCTTTTTTGTCTCTATTAACATTGTCAACATTTTTTGCGGACCAATGTCTTATTTGTTCACGCTCACTATATATAGCTCTGTAATAAAAAGGAGTAGGTACTAACGAATCTTGAATTCTATTTTATCAATCGTTATCATAATATTTTAGCCGCCGGGGGTCACTGTAACTCAACAACATATTATTTAATAATACAACTAAATTTATTGATAAGGGAAATTGTGACTTACAATATATTATACCTAATGAGATTGCCCATTTTTTTTAAGACCCATATTAGAAATAATGAGTTTTTAATAGTCACATTAATAGGCGCTTTTAAAGATTCTTAGAGAGTACTAGTCTTTACCTGCGACTTCGTCTGCGTTACCTAGATATATTGATTGAAAGATTGATTGATGGATATCTATCCATCCCATATACTTAGTACGTGTATGCCAAATTTCGCGAATTGAACCGATAAAAGGCATGTGTGTTAATATTATATTATATGTAACGTTTGTTATATATGTTACTAGCTGTTGACCGCGACTTTGTCCGTGTTTCCGTCGTTTTTCGTAAAATAAGTATAAGCCTATGTCCTTCCTCACGGTTTAGTGGTTTTGATGTAACAGACACATTTCCCTTCACTGCTCTGCTCCTATTGACGGTAGCGTGATGAAATGTATACTATAACCTGCCCAGGAGTATGAAGAATAATTGTACCAAGTTTCATTAAAATCCGTCGAGTAGTTTTTGTTTCTATAACGAACATACATACAGACAGACAAAATTTTTACGGATTGCATTTTTGGCATCAGTATCAATCACTAATCGTCCCCTGATAGTTATTTTGGAAATATATTTCATGTACAGAATTGACCTCTCTACAGATTTTTTATAAGTATATAGATAATGCAATAAGCTATTGGTGTTCATATACATAAATAAATATTAGGTACATATAGTTTTCTAATTCATAAAAACAAACTGATTTCTTTATAACGCCAGTCACAAATTTCAGATAATAAAGTTATAGACGTAAATGATTCAATATCTTGTCATGTTACATTTCGCTGTGTATACCTAATCAATTGGCTACACAGAGACAAAATATAACAATGATTATTAATAGAGCAGTCTATTTTATTGTCATAATTTATAAAAATCAAAACCTTCTACAAACTAAAACAATTAGTTTTTAGTCATTAGTGTTTTGTTATTTCCATCCTAATTTAGCGTTAAAACGGAAAGTCGATACTCCAATTCTGAATCGATTTTGATAATTCGTTCTACAATCGATAAGGTTTATTCCCGTGATTGTAAATGATATGTAAACATTAATTTTGTAATTATTAAATGTATGGGCACATACACGTGCACTTTATTTCAGCAAACATAATTTTAATATCTAACAATAAATTAGTGTACGAGTGTATTTAATTCGGCCGATTTTATTTACGTAAACCCCTGTTAGTATTATCAATTAGCAATATCACGAAATCGCTAATTCTGCTCATCCCCATTTTTGGTCCTTCGAGCCGGATCACTGCTATATTCTTAAGCAAAATAAAGAAAATGTTGATTATGTAAATGAAATATAGATTATTAAATCACCACTCTTTTTGAATATCCACGTTTAACCGTCGATACCTCTTAACTAACATAAAATAGTTGAAAATATTTTTTCCAACTTATATTTTTCCTTTTCTATGCTACGTAGATAATAAATTTTTTATTTGAGACGTTCAGAATGTATCTTAAAATCAATTAACTTTTTAATTTTATCATATTTGAAATAAATTCGTTAAGATGTTTTCTGCAACTAAAGTTTTTGGCAGTTAACCGTCGGTAACAGTTACTTTTAACTACTAGCAACCCGTCCTGGCTTCGCACGTGTGCTATTTATTACAAAACATTGTAATCTACTTATACAAAAAGTTAATTAAGATGTATAAGTACTACAAATATTAAAAAAAAATTACAATAAAGTTTAGAAGAAATAAGAGGAAGACAGACAAATGACATCAGTAACTTTTTTTTCTATTTAAAAATTAATTTATTAGATTATTTAGATTTTACTATTTAGCGGTTGACATGGTTTTAAAAAGTACTGTATTGCATTTATTATCGTTGCAATAAACGCTTGTCTGTGTACCGTGTATGTACTTTAAATACATAGTGGATATTTGACGCGTAAATACCAATGTTATTTATAGACTACGACGTTATTTCTTACATCACACTGAAATAAATACATGATTAAATTGTGTTCCACAGAAAAGAAAATTTCAATTGTGGCAGAATCAGTTATTTTACTGTAAAAACTGAACTATTGTACCGATTTTAATAAAAATTCTATGGCAGAATCAGATTATTTTATATCTATATAGAGATTTTAAATCTATATAAATTAAAAACTTAAAATGTATATGTATGTATATGTATATATTACATGTATCACATCTATATACTTTAGAAATAATAGAATTTCATCTTCGTGCCTCCGATCAAACTATTTATAATTACTCCTCTCCATCCAAAGGTTGCCTGGAAGAGATCGTTTTTAGCAATAAGGTCGCCCATTGTTTCCTCATTGTGATTATTTCTTGTAATTGTTTATATTTATAATAATGTTCCTATTGTAATCTTTTTGGAGGAAACAATAAAGAGTATCTATCTATCTATCTATGTTAACATCTTGTTTACTTATCTACAGGTTTGCAGAATTAACAGCCAAAGTGTTCGTGTCAGCCTCTATTCCCGTACACCTGTTCAGCGCAGTGTGCCCAACGCCCTATGTGTCATTCGCTACCATTTTATATGGCGCCGCGGCAGGCGTGATGGTCACCGCCTCCCATAACCCGAAAGATGATAATGGGTACAAGGTATATTGGGGGAACGGTTCGCAGATCATCACACCACACGATGATAATATATTGGACGAGATACGACATTGTTTGGAGTGAGTAACTCAATTTGTTGCTTTTTATAAAACAATACAAATGATACGTAATAGCTATTATGGGCCTACTTCAGCACGCTCCCTTAACTCACGCATAATGGTTATTAAATAATATTATAAACATCACCATAACCATACACATACCATATATTTAGTAGTAGCCTGCCAAAGATATTAGAAGCGGCTCACAAATATCTAGAGTCGGGTTAAATACATTTATTATAACTTTGTATGTTAGCACACTAGATTTATAACATTGATTTGGCTTTTGCTGTTATAATGTTATAATTATTTTTAATGAATAAATAAATAAATCTTATGGATTTTTTAATTGATGACAATGGTATGGCAACGCCGCCTGCGCTAACGGTATACGCTGGCGGGTCACCAGTGAATATGAAAAGGCAGGTCAGTTAGCCCATCATGACGAATTCCACTAGAATTAATCATGATGGTTTCCAGGGGGAACCGCGTGGAGGTCGACCTGATAGGGTATATTGCTAGCAACGGGGCAGTTAGATTACTAACATTCCCTTTCCCCCCATCTTACGGATTACAACAGATTGTGTTCTGAGGAATCATATGAAATAATTACAACCATCTTTTATCTGCTGAGGGGAAAGGGATTGTTAGAAATTCCCCCCATCTTACGGATTACAACAGATTGTGTTCTGAGGAATTGTATGAAATAATGCCCACAACCAATGGAATTTTCTCTCGCGAAGGCTCAGGCTGTAGAATGAGATCCCTGCCGAGGTTTTTCTTAGACTACTACATGCGGTTATTCCAGACAACTTTAATATACCCTATATTAACGATTCTTTAGGATCAACAACACGCACGTGACACCTCTAGTGTTGCAGGCGTCCATAGGCTACAGTGATAATTTACCATCAGACGAGCCGTATGAGTGCTTGCCACCTTTGTAGTATAACATAAATGTTTTCCGATTTTGGACAATAATAACGATCTTTCGATTTGAATCGGGAAGTCTGAGGTTGATCCATAAGAAAATCGATGTTCGAAAGATTCATTACACGAAAATTGATCTCGATTACCCGACTTCAAAAAGAAGGTCCTTAATTCGGTTGTAAAAAATACAATATAATATTTGTTATGTCATAACTCTGTCAATTGTAAACCAATTTGGAAAATCTTTTTTTTTTTTACTGAAAGAATATACTTACAGATTGTTATACTTTAGAAATTTTATCAAAATTAATTCAGTTAAATTTTTAGATAAAAAATAACTGGTTTTGTTTTGAAGTCGATTCGTTTTTATAGGACACAATCTTTAATTATTATAAAACAATATTGCAATTATGTCGGGTTTACTCAAGTTTTAATAATCACAATACAGTATGACTCACGATAGTTATTATTCAACAACTTTTTCTTAACAACAATACGTATGGCTCGCCTTATGGTACTGGTTTCCGATCTTGAACAAAAATATCGATCTATTCAATCGATTCGAATCGGAAATTCTGAGATTGATCTGTGAGATAATCGATGTTCAAAAGATTGTTCTCACGAAAGTTGATCACTATCTTTTTATGTACATTTTGACGTCCAAAAAAAGGAAAACTACAAAAAAAGATTTTGTTTTGAAATAAAAAAGAAATCAGCACGGTTTATATCAAAGGTCCTATCTATTTTTGGTATATTTTTATCTTACATAATAAATCCGTTATACCGCAGGCAATGAAATATGCAACACCAATATATAGGGTACAGAGGAATAACACCTGAGTCCTCAGGAATGGCAACGCATGGGGAGTATCATGGGCGAAACAGTATACTCTGTTATGTCTATGGTACTGCTCATGTCTATAGGCGACTGTTACCACTTTCCATCAGGTGGGCCGTCAGTTTGTTTGCCTTTCTAAGTTGCATAAAAAAAAACAATGGATGTCTTAGACGTTTTTGATTAAGTAGGATAAAAAAACCTGTGTCCTTCTCTATGCCTCTATATACTACAATAATTTATGATGATTGAGTCATCAAGGCATCAAGAAGTAGGATTAAAAAACCCTTTAATAAGAATCCTTACTAATGTTATAAATTTGCAAATGTTTGTTAACACACTTAAAGATCTCACTCTTGGTGGTTTACCGACTTAAAAAAAGAAAGTTCTTAATTCGGTTATATCTTTTTTTTTGTTTATTACTTCATAACTATAGTTTTTTTTATACCACTGAAGTGGCAAACAAGCATACGACCCACCTGATGGTAAGCGGTTACCGTAGCCTATGAACGCCTGCAATATCAGAGGTATTACGCGCGCGTTGCCGACCCTGAAGAAACCTCTTTACCCCCTTTTGAAGAACCCCATGCTGTAGTCTCTTGGGAAAACCTTGGCAGGGAGCTCATTCCATAACCTTAGTGTTCGTGGAAACAAAACATTATTTGGAAAACTTTTTTTTTTATCTAAAAAGGTATACTTTCAGATTAATCCCATAGATATTTTATCAAAATCGGTTCAGTAAGTTAGGTTTTAGTTTAAAATAATTAGGTTTGTCACACTTGAAGCCGATAATTTTTCTTAATCAATTAATATGCCACGTGTTTTATACACGTTGCAGATATAAACAAGTAATTTAATAAATTACTAGCTGACCCCGTAAATGTTGTTTTACCACTTATTGCAAAATATAAAAATCGCGATTAAAATACAAGGATTGATCGTAAAACGATGAAAATTTAAAGTTGTATGTATTTTTCAATCCTAAATCATATATAAATAAAAATAAAAAAAATTGTCAAAAAAATAAAAAAAAAAAAATTTTTAGTAGTGGGTCATCATTGAGGGGTTTAAAAAATAGATGTTGGCCAATTCTCAGACCTACCGAATATGCACACAAAATTTCATAAAAATCGGTAAAACCGTTTCGGAGGAGTTTGGTAACAAACACCGTGACACGAGAATTTTATATATTAGATATTTTGTAAAGATTTGGAATTATTTGTTCATAATAAATTTAGTAGTGAATAATGTATGTCTGAAACTTATAAATATTTATTACCGTCTAAATAAAGGTTTAAATAAGCGTATATTTTTCATGGACAAATTCTCAAATTAGTTGTGGTCTAACCGACTTGTTGTTCTTCTCTATGTGTATTTATAGAACTTAGCTTAAATATCAAATAACATTATTAACTGTATAAAATCGCATATTATTCTTAAACAACCTGTAAGTAATTTTTATGTAAAATAGGTTTATTGGAGGATTTGCAATATTATGTTATAATCTTAATATAGTGCATTGGGGGGAAAGGGATTGTTAGTAATGGAGACTGCGAATCCCATTGCTAGCAATATACCCAACCAGGTCGACCTCCTCGCGGTTCCCCCTGGAAACTATCATGGTTAATTCCTTATGAATTCATCACGATGGGCTAACTGGCTTGTTTTCATTCTCATCTATCACTCTTCACTGGTGCTCCGCCAGCGTATATCGTTAGCGCAAGCGGGGTTACCATACCATTTTCACCCATCAAAAAAAAAATATAGTGCATTGACTAGAAACAGTAAAAATATTGCATGATTTAATAAAATAATAATACTGGTTTATTTTTTAAAATACTATTATTTATAAATAATCTTCTATCTATACTTATAATAAATATGTAGAGAGGTCAATTCTGTACATGAAATATATTTTCAAAATAACTATCAGGGGGTGATTAGTGATCGATACTGATGCCAAAAATGCAATCAGTAAAATTTTTGTCTGTCTGTCTGTATGTTCGTTATAGAAACAAAAACTACTCGACGGATTTTAACGAAACTTGGTACAATTATTCTTCATACTCCTGGACAGGTTATAGTATACTTTTCATCACGCTACGATCAATACGAGCAAAGCAGTGAAGGGAAATGTTGAGGAAACGGGAAAAGTTACTCCATTTTTAAGCTTCCGTCGCGTGTGCAGCCTTAATGGCCACTTTTTAAAATGTAAAAATGTTCACCTGTGCGAAGCCGGGACGGGCCGCTAGTTATAAATACATTTAAATGATTTCTAGTACTATTCTAGTTTATGTTTTTCATATTTTTTTTTCATTTAGTTTATACTTTTCATCACGTCTTATAAATGTCTTACATATGTCTTATAAATTCACTCGCCATATTCCACATTTAAAAATGAGACATAGCCATGCAAGAGCAACTACTTTACAGCAGAAACACGAGTAGGATTTTATCTATCTTCACGCCAAATCAACGGGGTAGGCAGAGTGAACCGAGTGCTAAAGGCCTCTATTTTTACTTCTCTCTATATCTATCTCTCTCTCTCTCTCTCTCTCTCTCTCTATATATATATATATATATATATATATATATATATATATATATATATATATATATATATATATATATATATATATATATATATTCTCTCTCTCTCTCTCACACACACACGATTTTTCAATCTCTAATTTAATCTAATTAAAATTATTTTTCATCGCAGCATTCCAGAAGACCATTGGGACATTCAAAATATAAGATCGCACCCTCTCGTTACCGATTGCCTGGAAGAAGTGACCACTGAATACTTGAAGTATATACAGAATAGTTTGAACGAGAACATTCTAGAACAGAACAAGACGGCGGCAATAGATGTGGTGTACAGCGCGATGCATGGCGTCGGATATGAGTTTGTGGTTAAGGCGTTTGAAGCTGTTAATTTAAAGGTATCTGTATACATAAAATTGTAAATGAATTATGTATATATGTCTAATATTATACTAAATTCTTTATTAAGGTTTGGTGACCCATACTTTTTTTTATTTTACAATTTATTACAATTACAGTTATAGTTGGGTTCTTTCGACGTGCAACGCAACACAATGGTTTATGTAGAAAGAATCCAGCTTTGTTGCAAACATGGTTTGGTTAATATATATTAATATCGTCTTAAACAGAGGGAGACTTTGTACAAAAGTCGTTTGCTTGGGCACCTTTGTCCCATTCGTGTTTCTACCGTAAAGCAGTTGTGTTTGCACGGCTGAGTTTCGGCTTGAAGGCTGGGATATGGCAATGAATTTACAGGATACAGAGGAATAACACCTGAGTCCTCAGGAATGGCAACGCATGGGGGGTATCATGGGCGAAACAGTATACTCTGTTATGTCCATGGTACTGCTTATGTCTATAGGCGACGGTTACCACTTTCCATCAGGTGGGCCGTCAGCTTGTTTGCCTTTCTAAGTTGCATAAAAAAAAACTAATAAAGAGGAAAATTTTGTTTTTTTTTTTAATTAGATAATCTCAAAAAATACTTAAATTGTTTCATCTACAAAAACCTACATTATCAACGAGTAACAAGGGCTGTATTTTATTTTTAGTAAAAAATAAAAGAATTTTTAGTATATATACATATATGTTAATATTAGCGCGTATGTTCTAGGCACCAATAAGTGTCGTACAACAACAAGACCCAAACCCGGACTTCCCCACTGTGAAGTTTCCCAACCCTGAGGAGTTGGAGTGTTTAGAGCTGAGCCAACGGTTAGCGGAAGAGAGGCGCGCCAAACTAGTGCTAGTCAACGATCCAGACGCAGACAGGCTCGCTGTCGCCGAGTATGACGTTGAGTAAGTTTCTCTTGCAATGCTTATTAATATCATATTGATTGTTATCTGTTGATTTATTCAATACAAGTGTTGCTTGAATTATTCAAATTTATTTATAAATATTTATCGATTTATTTATATTTAAAGGAGGATCAGTGACATGTTAGTATTATATATATTGAAATATTTTAGTATTACAAACTAACATCCTTATTCATAAAAAAAAAGTTGTATAAATCTATTTTAACTGTGGATGTGTTTTGTCTTTTTCTTTTACACTAAATTCTCAATTTTAACGAAATTGACAAAATAGCTTTTGAATTCGACATCTTTAATAATAATAACATTTCATAATACCACAGAGACATAAAATGTAATAGTTGCATACACATAGCCATAGGTACGTGAGGATGCACATGCACATGCACATGCTTGGGCGCGCACACGCACACACACAGAAACTCACACACTGCACTTACTTGGTCTCGGCCCGTAAGTGCAGTATACGCAAAGTAGCGTATATACCAGCTATAGCTGAGTAATAAAGTTTACATAAAAATAATAATAATATAATATTAATAAAATAGGATTAAAACAAAAAAGACGATAGAAAATAAATTAAATATTAATATTAATGCTTAAGTCCAATGTCGCTAAGGGGTTGGCAGAAGAAACAGAGTGCTAAAATCAGTCCTAATTACGACTTAAAGAAACATAGTTTAATAAATTGTCGGCTGATATATTGCCGTCAATCATGCATAAACCAAGTGGCGAGATTGTGGTCTCTAGATAAACGTTCTAACAACAATTATATATTGATGCCTAATCAGTTTATATCGTAAATGTGGTAATTATGCGTATATATATATATATATATATATATATATATATATATATATATATATATATATTCTTGTAATTATTTATATTTATAGTTTACTATTGTAATCTTTTGGAGGAAACAATAAAGAGTATCTATCTATCTGTATACCATCTGGGAAATAAGTTAAGAGTCTCCGCAACCAATGTTTTTTTTTTTTTTTTTACAACACAGGGGGCATGGTCACCCATGGTCACCCACAACACCTACGGCATTGCAGGTGTGCTGCCGGCCTTTTAAAAAGGAATATGCTCTTTTCTTGAAGGTTATGTTGTCGTATCGGTTCGGAAATACTGCTGCTGGAAGTTGATTCCAAAGAGTGGTTGTGCGAGGAAGAAAGTGCCTTGAAAAACGCACGGTGGAGGACCGCCACTCGTCCAGATGGTTGGGATGAAATTTTAGTTTATGGCGGGTTGTACGATGGTGAAAATCTGCAGCAGGTATCAATCCGAACAATTCTTCAGAGCACTCGCCATGATAAATTCGGTAGAAGATGCACAGAGATGCAACATCTCTACGCAGTTTCATACAGTAAGACGCCGATCGTCAACAATTCGAGCTGCCCGACTTTGAATGCGGTCTAACGGAAGGAGTTGGTACTGTGGCGCTCCTGCCCACAGGTGAGAACAGTATTCCATGTGTGGCCTCACTTGAGCTTTATACAGTTTCAGGCGGTTTTCTGGCGTGAAATACCGTCTCACCCTATTGAGCACCCCCAACTTTTTGGAAGCTATCTTAGCTTTATGATGGACGTCGCTAGATATATCGACGCCAAGAATCCCCAGACTCGACTTATTATCAAGGGAAGTGCCCTGAAAGTGAGGTGATACGACAAACGGTGTCTTTTTTGCGGTGAACGCGCAGACTTGTGTCTTCTTAGGGTTAAAGTGAACAAGATTGCGTTCACCCCAGATCGATATCGATATATATATATATATATATATATATATCTCCTATATATATATATATATCTGTATATCATTGATATGCAGAAGAAACAGTGTTGGAGATAGTACACAGCCTTGCGGGACACCAGCATTCACAGGTTTTAAGTCAGAGCATATCCGTACTACGACCTTAATGCTACGTTCCTTAAGAAAGCTGGCGACCCAACTGCACAATCTCGCAGGCAACCCAAACGAAGGTAGTTTTGAGATTAGTGCCCTATGCCACACCCGATCAAAGGCTTTCGCAATATCCAGACTAACAGCTAAGGCCTCTCCCTTATTCTCGATTGCCACTGCCCATCGGTGTGTTAAATAAACTAAAAGATCACCAGCCGAGCGTCCCCGTCGAAAGCCGTACTGGCGGTCTGAGATCAGCTGGCGATCCTCTAGGTACCGGAGCAGTTGATGGTTAATAACTGATTCCATGACTTTCGAGAATAAGGAAATGATAGCTATGGGCCTATAGTTAGCTGGATCTGAGCGGTCTCCTTTTTTAGGGATCGGATGCACCAAAGCAGTCTTCCAAAACTTGCAAACAAAATGTGCATGAAATCCTTAGAGATAAATTTGAAACTGAGTTTATTACCTCTTAGCGCTATTGCTTAACCAGAGGGAGACTTTGTACACCAAAGGGAAAATGTACAAAAGTCGTTTGCTTGGGAACCTCTGTCCCATTCGTGTTTCAACAGTGATGCAGTTGTGTTTGCATGGCTGTGTTTCAGCTTGCTTAAACCTCTATACGACCTTGGTAGTTAGTGGTTTAAGACATCATCCCGAAGGTCACGGGTTCCATCCCCGGGTAGCAAACACATTTGTATTCATTAGTGCAAGTCCGTTTGTATATTGTATCAGCCATCCATTGCTTAACATAGCGTCCGCCATAAGGGAGGTTTTGCCAATAGTTTCCACATTTGACAAATGAGTTGGCAACTGCAGTTTGACTTTTGGTGATGTTTTAAGAGGGATGCTGCTGCCCATCCCTTGCCCTCCCTTAGCTGGCTTTTACGATACCCACGGGAAAGGAAGGGGTGGCCTATTCTATGCCGGGACCACACGGCAATTCACCATATCATATTCAGCCTATGTCTATAGGCGACGGTTACAAGGTTCCATCAGGTGGGCCGTCAGCTTGTTTACCATTCTAAGTTGCATAAAAAGTCAGTCGTTAACTATATACTATATTAATTCTAAATTAAATTAATATAGGAAGGCACCATAGGAATGTCATTTAATTTAGTTAAAATCAAATAAACTTAAGTACCCTCCCTCCCAAAATAATTGTATGATTTTTGTTATAATGCATAATTTACAAATATATATTCTTTGTTGCACTAAAACATACAGTAACAACAATAAGTTAATAACAATGTTAGCAAAGGTGAACTTATCTCTAAATGAGATCTCTTCCAGTCAACCTAACACAGTGACATAGGAAGTAGTGAGTGGGCAGTAGTGTGTGTGTGTGTGTGCGTGTGCGTGTGTGTGTATATAAATATGTGCATTTTGTGTTTATTTTATGATTATAATTAATAAGTTACATCATGTAATGTAAGTTTCTTTATGTTGTGTAGAATTATAGATACTTGTATCTCTATTTTAAATGTTTGAAGGAGTGTATATTACTCGCCAAACGATTTATGGCTGATTGTAAATTCTAGGCTTACGTAGACTGGAATTTATTATATTTGTAATCACTTATGATAAATAAAGAACTTTTGAAAACAAATAAACTTAAGATTTTTTTGATTCCACCGTCCATTCAATCAAGAATGCGATTTTAATATTATAATTGTTATATATTTAGCTCGAACTCATGGAAGATATTCACGGGTAACGAGATGGGCGCGTTGCTCGGCTGGTGGCTGCTGCGGCAGCAGGAGGCGCGCGGTGCTGCAGCCGAGGTGTACGTGATCGCCAGCATAGTCAGCTCAAAGATGCTGCGAGCACTAGTACGCGGCAAGGGAGAGTTCGTTGAAACGCTCACTGGGTTTAAATGGATGGGTGAGCATTCGTTCACTAGTATTTTTTATATTTTTTAAGTGTACAAATTGATAGATAAATTTCTATTAAAAAGATTTTTTTATACTACAAAAATCTTTTAAATCTTTATCTTAAAAAAAAAATCACACGGCCTACCTGATGGTAAGCGGTTACCGTAGCGTATGAACGCTTTAATACTATTACGCGCGCGTTGCCGACCCTGAAGAAACCCCCCTTTTAAAGAACTCCATACTGTAGTCTCTTTAGTAAATACTCTTTATTATTTCCTCTAAACTTATTAATAATAATATAAATAATATACTATCTATGTGAATACTATTAATTTTATTATAATTAGATAGTAAATAACTTCACTAGTAACATATATACGTGTAAGTATGCGTTATATGTACACACGCAAACACGCACTCTCACACACACAAACACTTGGTAGGTATGCAATTAATACGAACATTTAAAAAAAATTTATTCAACCCAACCATGTTCAAATGATAATTTTATCAAAAGACAGCATTTACTTCTTAAAACTGTCGTAATTTATTTAAAAAAAAAATTCTTGCTTGTAATTTATTTAATTTGCAAATGTGGAATTTACAATGAATTATCAACAATCTCAACGTATGGGGGGTATCATGTGTGAAACAGTATACTCTGTTATGTCCATGCTACTGCTCATGTCTATAGGCGACGGTTACCACTTGCCATCAGGTGGGCCGTCAGCTTGTTTGCCATTCTAAGTTGTATAAAAAAAAAGGTTGAATCTTTTAATGTACAATAAAGATTTTACAATACAATATGATTACAACAAACTCATAAATTTCTAAATATGTTACAGGTAATACAACGTTACTGTTGGCACAGCAAGGCAAGTTACCGCTATTCGCGTTCGAAGAAGCGATCGGATATATGTGCAACCATCGCGTGCCTGATAAGGACGGAGTATCGGCCGCTGTGCAGGTAACCTGCAATGGAGTAAAAACTCCAGTAATTTTCATATTAAATGTCTAATATTAATGTACTTGTATAAAATTGTATTAGATGAGGCCAGCCTTACATTCGTTTTTTTTTTAATTGCCTAACAATTCATATTTATATTATATATTTACCTATTTATGTTACAAGAACTATGGAAATTACAGAAAACATTGTGGCATACATAATACTCTGAAGGATTGCTTTGCCATTCCCGAAAACTAGTGTTAAGCCTCCGTATTCTGTATTTTCAATCAAAACAGCATTAGCATGTCCATAATTATATTCCGGGGGCAGAGACGACAGGAGGGTACTGGCCATTTGGAAAAATTGTATGTTTAACTATCCGTTTCCCGCGGCGTTGCCAGCTTCTAACTATGTAGTTCCCGTATATTCCCATTGGAACTCTTCATGAATTCGGTCTTATACTGTATTACATACTTAAATGATAATTACGTATCTAACACCTTCATAAAGTCTCAGCCAATTCAACTGATCGGTTATTTTATAGCATTTTATATGTGATTCTTTAGATTGATATAACTTTTTTTATTTATGAACTAAATGTTAAGTGGAGCAAACCGTGACATATTAGTGAAAACCGCATTCAAATCGGTTAAGCCGTTTCTGAGATTAATGTGCACAAACTTACAGACAAACAGACATTATAACAATCTACACACTACTACTACAGGCTCACAAGTGCGATAGTCAATTGTTAATGTCAGTTAATGTAACTGTTTAATTCCAGGTGGCGTCTCTAGCATCGCAACTCTATTCCAAAGGGTCGTCACTCGCCGAACAGCTGGTAAATTTGTACGCAGAGTACGGATATCACGTTACACACAATTCGTACTATATCTGCCACGAGCCGGCCACAATTGAGAGAATATTTAGAAGGATCAGGAATTACCACGGTCCTGGAGAGGTGTGTCTTATTGTATTAAGTTTTAATAAAAAAAAATATCTACTTGGGTTGCTTTCAGAAAAATAATGTAGTTGGCAAATAAATTCATCATCTTTCTAGCCACTATCCCTCCACTGCTGGACGTGGACCTCCCCCTTAGATGGTGATAAGGAACGGTCCTAAGTCATCTGCGTCTACTGACTCCCTGCCTCCTTGACTTATCTAATTTACAATAAATAATAATTGTTTTTCTTTGCAGTATCCCAGAAAAGTTGGCTCCAGTGAAATAGTGCAAATCAACGACTTTAAAACTGGACACAGAATGCCTGAGCACGTCAATGGGAATTGTCGTTTAAGTGAGTTTGTTTTGATTTTAGTTTATGATTCGATAAATGATTATGTCCTGTATATAAAGAAAAAAAAAAAACAGGAAGTTCGATAGATAGATACTCTTTATCGTTTCCTCCAAAAGATTACAATAGTAAACTTATTATAAATATAAATAATTACAAGAAATAATCACAATGAGAAAACAGTGGGCGACCTTATCGTTAAAAGCGATCTCTTCCAGGCAACCTTTTATTTGGAGAGGAGTAATTATAAACAATTTGGTGGGAGGCACGATGAAAAATTTTGTTAGTTCTAAATATGGGAGTTCAAGTTCACTATTTGAACTTGTCTCTTGAGGTTTCCATATAAGTATGAGTTTTCCTTTTTTTTCCACTAAATCGGCTATTATTTACTTCGTTTTTTGATTAGTAAAGGAATTGATAAAAGCACTTTATATTTTTATATTAAATATCTAGATGGATATAAATAAATATACTAATGAATACAAATGTTTATATTATGCAAAAATTGACTCGCAACCACCGGAATGTGAGACATTGTCTTTTTTTATTAATGATAATGGAATGTAAATACGTGCGCTATCGATATATGTTTTTTTTTTTTTTTTATATCCGATAATGAATTAGCAATCCCGACTGTACTATAAGTATATACTGACGGGAACGGGGCAACAGGGAGGTATGATAGGTTAGATAGATGATAAAGCAAGTCAATTAGCCTATCATGACGAATTTAACAATAAATTAAACGCGGCGGTTTCCAGGGAGAACCGCGTGAAGGTCGGCCTGACAAGGGTATATTTCTAGCACTGGGACTGTTACTTTGCATTACTAATAATCCTTTTCCCTCAATATCGGTATATGTTGGCATGGGGTTCGCTACTAACATACAACATCCCTCAGTGGTAACTGGGTGATGGTAAGTGAGGATAAAGTCAGGTTGATTGGCCCATTGTGATGAATTTACCTAGAATTATTTTTTTTTATTTATTTATTTTTTATTGACATTACAAAAAAATGTCTGGTACACAAGACGGATTTAATATTTATATAGCATTCTCTCCCAGTCAACCTTTGGCTAAACAGAAATTTTATTATGCGGTGAAATAAATTACAACACGTACAATGGAGTACTACTGCACATTATGATTATATAAATGTACATACATGAATGCATGTGTATTTGTATATGTATATTTGGATTTGTATGTATGTATTTTTATGTAATATTACACAGAGGTGGTAGGCACGGGCCTGGACCAGGACTACACGAGCGGCGAGATGGTGATGTTCGCGTGCGCGGACGGACTCACGGTCACCGTGCGCACCAGCGGCACCGAGCCCAAGCTCAAGTACTATGCCGAGCTCGTCTGCCGCGCCCACACACGCACGTCAGTCCTACTTTATATATATATATATATATATATATATATATATATATATATATATATATATATATATATATATATATATATATATATATATATTGAATCCAAAAAGACATGTTACCATTATACATTTTGTTCAAGACTTCGCACTAGGATTCCCTGTGTCGTAAAGTCATGTGCCCTCTTTTTTCAACTTGGAATGGCAAACAAGCTGACGGGCCACCTGATGGAAAGTGGTAACCGTCGTCTATAGACATGAGCAGTATCGTGAACATAACAGAGTATACTATTTCGCTCATGATACCCCCCATGCGGTGCCATTCCCAAGGACTTAGGTGTTGTTCCTCTGTACCCTGTAAATTCACGCCATATCCCACCTTTCAAACCGAAACACAGCCGTGCAAACACAACTGCTTTACGGTTGAAACACGAATGGGACAGAAGTACCCAAGCAATCGACTTTTGTACAAAGTCTTAGTCTGGTAATATCTTCTGCTTAGAAATCAACGTATGCTGTTTCATCTCTGTGAATGTTGAGTACAACTAAATTTAAACTTATAATGCTATTGTTGTATCCTATTGGAAAAAAAAAATTGTTTGTAATCTATTGATGTACCACAGAAATAAATAAATAAATTTTATTGACTAATATATAAACTTTTAGCTACATAATCAATTTAGATCCATAATCAGAATCAATAATGTATCCCTATATTATTATATTATCCTGTAAGTGATGTAAATAAATTATATATCTATCTATACCATTATTATCGCCTTTACGCCTCAAGGCTTCAATTCTCACAAACAACTCTTACTCGTCCACTTTTATCGCATCTCATCTCACAAAAATAACAGTAGATAGGATATCTCTTCTGTTAATTTTTTTATTCATGTCTGTAGGCGACGGTTACAACTTTCCATCAGGTGGGCTCTTACCTTGTTTGTCATTAAATTGCATTAAAATATGACGACAATTTGAAATGCATATAATGACTATACATAATTAGAAATACACGTCGAAACGTCGGCAATAAAAATCAGTTATCTATATAGGTGGTATTTATTGCAACCGTGTCGGTTTAAGTCTCGATAGTGTATTTAAAATACCGTATCAACAACCCGATATTTTACATTTTGTTCATTTCAGCCGTTAACTGCCCACTGCTAGACATAAGCTTTCCCCATAAGGAGAGTTTTGCCAGTAGTTGTCACGCTTGGTAAGCGGATTGGCAACCGTAGTTAGTAGGTAGTAGGTAGTTACACATCCCTCTACCATGAAGTTCCCTTAGTTAATTCAGTCGCCTGTTAGGACACCCACAGGATAGCAAGGAGTGGCCTATTCTATGCCAGGACCACACGGCCAAAATTTAAAATTAACCCTTACTTTATATTTGCAATAGACTAGAATAATAATTTTGTTGGTTTTTGTTGCAGTGAACAAGAAGAGATGGATGTTAAAATGCGAGAAATGGTACAACAATTTGTAGAGGAACTACTCCAACCCAAAGAAAATGGGTTAATAGGGTAACTGCATTATCACAGGCAAATTGTCGCAATATAAAATAATTATTATATAAAACAATTTAATATAGATAGATAGGGTCCGCAACGCACACGTTAATACCTCTGGTATTGCAAGTGTTCATAGGCTACGGTAACCACTTACCATCAGGTGGGCCATATGCTTGTTTGCCACCTCAGTGGTATAAAAAAAAATAATAGAAAATCTTCTGGACACTTCATTAGTAATAATTTAAGAAAACATTTAAACTAATTCAAATACACTTTATAAGAGAAGAAAACAAATTACATTCCATTTGCAACAGAAATTTTGTGATTTAGAACAATGGAAAATTTAAATATCCTCCCTGTAACTACGTTGAATACATAATGTTACTTTGGTAATATAAATTTCTCATGTAATGTTGATTTGAGAAAATTAACAAGAAATCACCTTGTACTATATAAGTTCAATAGGAATTAAGTGAGTCAGTAAATTTAATAATTAGTGAATGTATGAGAATTTAAATAATAGTACTCGAAACCTTTTAAAAGCAATGAAATCTTTAAAGGTACAACTAAACCACACAAATGCTTTATTTATTTTTTATTATTTAACATAATAATAGCCCTAGAGTTACCATAATATGTATACAAAAAAGAATAAATGAAAACAGATGCCTTGTTTATAGTACTAAGATTTTAAAGACCAAAGAAATGTATGTATAAGGTATTTCAGTCTGTGATAGATATGTAATGTATGATAGGCCAGATATGTGTCATCAGAAAGTCTGCACCACGTGTATGGTAATCCTCAAATGCATTGTCAATGTCTAGACCATACTATGTAATAAGCCATAACTGTATATTCTGAACACAACAACTGCGTTAATCAGAATGTCTGAACTATGTGTTTAGTACTTAAGAACGTTCAAACTTTACCTTACTAAAGTGTGACAACGTCAGTCAATTTTCAATATAATTTAACTTTACTATAAATAGACTTATGTATGTTTTATTTGCATTACTTACAGCACACAAATAACAATACATATTGATACATAAAAATAAGAAATAAAAAAAGAAAATACACAAAGGAAGTTACATAATTTTTCATTTCGTGTGTGTGCCACAGTTACACAAAATTGTCATAACTCAGTTTATTGCTTTGCCTTCAAATGAGCAAAACACTGATATTGTCTTGTGGACAAAAGCTGATAACAAAAATATTACATTAGTATGCATATATAACGTATTCTATGATTAACATATCAACAAATCTGATGAATTTCAAAACTTTGCACCTACTTCATATTATGCATTAGAATTTTTTAAATAGATTTTTGCCATGAAAATTGTATAATTAACGTTTTGGCACGCTAGCACAGTACTTTTTAAATATTTAGTTAGACATTAAAAAGTTTTAAATTGTTTTTTAAAACACATAATTGCGACATTACCACATTTCGATGAGCTAAAGTTATGAAAACTCTTAATCCAAAAATGTGTCATCAGAATGTTTGAATCATGTGTGTGATCTACATTTGGGTCAGAATGTCTGTCAATGTGTAGTACTTAATCAATGGTGCATTATGTACATATGATCATTTATAGATGTATGATCAAAACGACTAAATTATGTGTGGTGGTACTTTAAAAACGTGTCATCAAAATGTTCGAACAATGTGTGATAATCTTAGATGTGTCATCAGAATGTTTGCACAATGTGTGGTAATCTTAGATGTGTCATTAGAATGTATAGACAGTGTATGGTAATCTTAGATGTGTCATCAGAATGTCATAATATTGTAACTAACAGAAGTTATCACTACCGCTAGATTTTGATTCAGAATTGTATATATATATATATATATATATATATATATATATATATATATATATATATATATATATATATATATATATATATATATATATATATATATATATATATATATATATCTTATTACTTAGCTTACTAACTTATCTAGATCGTTACTGACTTAAGCACATTAAAAAAATAACAGGGTTAAACATATTTTTTTCAGTGTTAAACTACATTCCTGTATAACTTTATACGTAGGGGGTGTTCAGGTCACAACGACGACTTTGTACTGAACTAGTGACTAACTTGTTTTTATATGTTACTGTAGAAGCTCGTACATTGGTAAATTATAGGCGACGTGGCTAACAAATTATTAAAATTATGTGATCATACTGACGTACCTATTGCTTTAGCTTATTTTTCTGTATATTTCTGGTTAGGACGGGTCCTGTCATTCGCCTATATTTTAAGAATTATACAAAAATTACCTAACTAGGAATATGTTATTACATATTGTGCTAATATAGAAAAAAAAAATATTGTAACACAATAAATTTAATAAACAAATATAAAGTATGAACGTGTTTTTACATTATATATTTTGACATTTTTATAGGCAAACGAGTCGCTAATTTATATCAAATAAACAGCTAATAATTAATAAATTAATGAGCAATTCATTTAATTATTGCTCATTAATTAATTAACTATTAATTCTACAGTAATTTCATAATTTGTAAAAAGAAAAAACACGACGTAAGATTGAAATATATTGTTAAAATGGTGTATAAAAATGTACTACAAATACATTAGGAAATTACGCAGTATTTAAAATATTTGTATAAAAAAGAAAATATAATGTACTAAAAAAAAAACGTTCGTAAACTAAGTGGGAAAAAAACATGAATAAACAAAAAGTAGGCATTTACAAGAAATTTACTTGTAAATAATCTAGCGAAGAGTTGTTTTGATGTTAAATTAAATATATTTTTATTCCCTTGTATCGTTTGCAGTACATTTTTAATGAGTACATACTTATTAAGTGAAAGCAATGAAATTGTTACTAAGCTATGATTGCTCAGCAGGTTGCTCGCCGGCGGCTACTTCAGCTTCGAGTCTTAATCTGTCTTTTTCTTTCAAATTCAGCTCAATCAAGTTGTCTAGTTCTGGACTGAGGAGTACAGACAGCCCGGCTGTCGTTGGCACCTGCAAAATAATAATAATACCATACCAGCATACCATAGCAATACTACCGTTCTATATGAGGAAGGGTTTTCAATTCGTCTGTATTTTTATACTTTACTCAATATTTTTGCCAGTCTTAAGAAGATTTAACCCACATTATACCAGAGGGAGACTTTGTACATAAGTTGATTGCTTGGGTACCTCTGTCTCATTCGTGTTTCAACCGTAAAGCAGTTGTGTTTGCATGGCTGTGTTTCGGTTTGAAGGGTGGGATATGGTGTGAATTTACTGGGTACAGAGGAATAACACCTGCGTCCTCAGGAATGGCAACGCATTTTCACCATAAAAAAAAGATAATTATACTTACTTGTTATGTAAATGGTACTGCTCATGTCTATAGGCGACGGTTCCACTTTCCATCAGGTGGGCCGTCAGCTTGTTTGCCATTATAAGTTGTATAAAAAAAAAGATGATTTAAAAGAGCTTGTAAATAAGTCCATAACAAAGATAATTTCTATTCTAGTCTCTTAATTTGTCACATTCGAAATTACTATCTTTGTATATCTTAAGTTATTCATTGGGAATTAAATATGCTTGGAAATTCATTCTTTTCAAATTACCTCTGCGAATATAGGCTTAGCCGCTTCCCACCTCTCTATGTGGTTTTCGATTATTTTCGTGCACACCGCCGCTTTAGGTATTATACGTCCCAATATGCTAAACAAAAACACATAAAAGAAATTGAGTCATCTATTAGATTAGTACGTAAATAGAAGTAACCTAATTGATACATACTTTGCATTTTTTTTAATGGGTGATAATGGAATGGTAACTCCATCCGCGCGGAGGGGGGGATTGATAATAATGGAGACTAAGGGCCCCATTGCTATCAATCTACCCTATCAGGTCGACCTCCACGTGGTCCATCCTGGAAACTATCGTGCTGAATTCCAAGTGTATTCATCACGATGGGCTAACTGACCTGTCTTTTCATCCTCACCTATCATCACTCACTGGTGCCTCGCCAGCGTATACCGATAGCGCAGGTGGAGTTACTATTCCATCATCACCCATTAAAAAAAAAAACCCGCGCTATCGTTATACACCGGCGGGGCACCAGTGAAGGATGATAGGTGAGGATGAAGCAGTTTAGTTAGCCCATCGTGACGAATTCATGAATTCATTAAGAATTGTTCACGATGGTTTCCAGAGGGAAGTACGTGGTGGTGGACCTAATAGGGCCTAATATTGCTAGCAATGGGGCTGTCAAACTCCATTACTAACAATCCTTTCCCCCACACACTTTGCATTATACTGCTCATCACAAAGTAGTTAATACCACACCATATCAGCCGTTAACAGCCGTTACCACTGCTGAACATAGGCCTCCCCTGGGGGGGGGGGGGGGGGGATTGGCATAAAAACTTACAAATATAAATATACGTTCATACTCGACAATATACTATAATACCAATAAAGCTATGATAGAGATCAAAGGTAATAATGATGAACTGCTTTCACAGTTTCTTCAAAGAGATTCGTAGACTTTTTTACAAGTAAATTTATTAGACACTTGTGTATCGCATTCCAGAGTGGTTCCATTTCTGAGAACTATGGTGATGATGCCTGCGTACCCTGGAATTTCAACGTCATATCCCACTCTCTACGTCGAAACGTAACCATAGTTGCTTCACAGCAAAAAACGAATAGATCAGAGGTATCCCTGCAGATGCCTTTAATATAAAATCTCCCTGTGGTAACTGGTCATATTCCCCAAAATGCTAATATGAAAATGTTAACCGAATTAGCGTTGTACTAACTCGAACAGCGGTATGCACGTGCCCTGCAGGAACTGCACCTCGAGGGCCGGTATGAAGCACTTGTCCCGGTCCATGGTGGTTGGTGGCAGGTCGCCGCGACTTTTCTCGACGTCTCCCTGCTTGAAGAACTCCGTCAGCACCGCTGCCTGCGGTCAGTGGCGTTGTTTTTTTACTTACCAACTGTTTCCTGCGACTTCGCTCGAGTGAATCAATATATCAACTATTTTTTATGCAACTAAGAATGGCAAACAAGCTGACGGCCCACCTAATAAAAAGTGGTAACTGTCGCCTATAGACATGAGCAGTACCGTAAACATAATAGAGTACACTGTTTCACTCATGATACCCCCATGCGTTGCAATTCCTGAGGACTCGGGTGTTATTCCTTTGTACCCTGTAAATTCACTGCCATATCCCACCCTTCAAACCGAAACACAGCCATGCAAACACAACTGCTTTACGGTAGAAACACGAATGGGGCAAAGGTGCCCAAGCAAACGAGTTTTATACAAGTCTCCCTTTGGTAAATTATTCCTAGCTTAGCACGTAGGATACGTGCTAATTTAGAAAATGACCTACCCTTATAACAAATTTCATCAAAATCCGTTCAATAGTTTTTACGTAAAAGAGTAACAAATATCTATCGTTACAAACTTTCTTAATCATTACATCAATAAGATTATCTATCAGGCGTAACGCTAACAAGTAAATGACGAGGTCGTATCTTCCCTGCCCCTCCCCCCCCGCCGGTCACAGTTAAACTATGCGACGATTTGCACAAAAATGCTAAGAATGATTGGATACGTAAACCGCTACGATTCCTTCCAATTTGAGGTTTCTTGGTAGCAAGGCAACCTTTATTTATTGCATAATTTTATCGAAATTATGTTATTATATAAGTCCAATAGTGGACTATTGCGGCTAATAATAATTATACAAATAAGAGAACAAGTAGATATGAACGAACAGCGGTTTTTTTAACACTGCCCCAGTCCTTCAGCTGGTCGCTGAGGTCGGCTGCGTTCATGAGAAGCGACTGCAGCGCTGCAGTATGCACTCTGTTGCCTTTCTGATAATCCATGGAGATCCCTTTGTAGTCATTCAGATTCCTGCAATATTTTATTTTTGAACCGAATTTTTTAAGTATAATTAGCAGTTTCCCACGAATTTGCCGGCGTAATTCAATAATAGGGGGAGAGGGGAAGGGATTGTTGTAGTAGTAATGTTGTAGTAATGTTTTTTTTCATCTTCACATATCATCTCACCGGTGCCCCGCCAGCATATATATATATATATATATATATATATATATATATATATATATATATATATATATATATATATATATATATATATATATATATATATATATATATATATACAGTTTAAATCATGATCACCGTGACTGACCACTGGGCTTTGGAGATGTTTTAAGAGGGACACTGCTACCCATCCCTCGCCCCCACTTAGTCGCCGCTTACGACACCCACGGGAAAGAAAGGGGTGGCCTATTCTATACCGGGATCACATAGTCAATTTAATTCATAATTTTTTGATGTTTTACTTAATTCTCCATGACAGAAAGATCAAACTGAAATTCGTTCGGGAGGCGCAAACAAAGTGCAAAATGGCTTCTTGAAGACAACATCCTGTTTATTTCTATTGGGTACCGAGAATAATAAACAAATTATTAAATATATAATCTCACTTGAAATAATTGGCTAAATCTGTTGCCAGTATATAGTCCCTGAGCAGCATGATGGCCCTGTCATAGTCTCTACGCGGCAATGCTTGCAGTATGTCGCAACCCTCTGTGTTGAGTATGCACATTGCTTGTGCTAGATGGTGACGTTCCATCACGCTACCCTCGCTCGAGTACAAAGCAGCCAGGGTTGTTTCTAATGCCAAAGGACATATAGACTGTTTGAAAGTGATTTTTTATACAACTTTGAATAGCAAACAAGCTGACGGTCCACCTGATGGAAAATGGTCGTCGCATATAGACATGGAAACACTATGGACATAACAGAGTACTGTTTCGGCCATGATACTCTCATACGTTGCCATTCCTGAGCACTAAGTTGTTATACCTCTGTACCCTGTAAATTCACTAAATTAATGATAAAGTGTAAAAAACTAATGGTTTAAAATGTTGTACGAACATGAACATGAAATGTTGGAATAAATATTTGAAAATTACCATATCAGTCGTTAACCATAGGCGTCCCACATAAGGGAAAATTTGCCAGCCTGGAGGGTTATCCGCTTGGTACCCAAACTGCCGAGCGGTTAACACTAGTCTCCGAGCAACAATCCCATAGATTAGAGGTGAAATACGTGCCGCAAAATATGCGTGAACATAATGGCAGTCGGAGATTGATAGTTAATATGGAAGGTTGTGGAACTTCTGGTAGTAATAGTGGTGGTCAATCTTGAAGTATTGACAATCACTCTCATACTAATGGTGGCGGAATTAAACAAAATGATTGTAATCAAATAACCAGCAATCAAATAGCATGGCAAGACCCCCCAATGGAGAGGCCTAGGTCCAGCAGTGGACATTTAACGGCTAACATGGTATGATATGGTAATAAGTATAATTTCTGTTTGGGTCTATAATCGAAAAATATGAAGACAAATATAAAATTTCTTTCATTCTTATTCTCGTTTTCGACCAAAACGTTGCATATATTTTTTAACAAAACTAGATATCAGCATTAAAAAATATGTGACTTACGGCCCTGAATATGAAAGCTGTTGGTGGTCCCGCGATGATCAAGATCGTGTACTAACCCAGCAATAAGGTACATCAGCGCTTGGAGGTCACTGAGCATATAAATAATAGACCGATTGAATAAGTAGGCATAGACTACGATAACATGGCACGAGCCTTCAAAAATCCAAAGAATTAAAACTTATGTGAGAAAGAATATAAGTTTTCAACCAAAGAATATACGAGTAATACTCCTATGACCAGATCGCTACTGAAGGCGTTTCCTCACAAATACGAACAGAGGACTACGCCTGTATATGGTCACACATTGAAGTAAAAGGTTTGAGGGGCATGCCATGTTAACGTAAATAATTTAAACTATGAATTATATAGTATGTTGGCTATATTGCGAAATAAAATCCCAGTAATACTAGACCCGTGGGGAGGGGGGGGGGAAGGGTTTGTTTATAATACGGACTACCAATCCCATTGCTAACAATGTACCCAGTACATTCATGGTGTGTATGAATGAATGATAATTAAACCTGTTTGTTCTAACGATGTACGCTGGGGAAGCACAAGGCAAAACATCTCCAAAGCCTAACTGCGGTTGCCAAGCGTGACACCTACCGGCAAACCCTAAGGAGGAGGCTTATTTTCAGCAGTGGACTGAAAAGGCAAGTCAGATAGTCCATCGTGACGAATACACATGGAATTCAGCACCATGATTTCTTGGGAGGACCATATGAAAGTTGACCTAACAGGGAATATTGCTAGCAATGGAGCTGATAGTTTATATTACTAATAATACCTTGCCCCCTCCCTTTTCAATGGGTCCTTTCGACTCCATTACTAACCTGAAGTATCCATGCTGCACTAGTTTATAGTTGATAATGGCTGCATACGCCCACTGGGCGACGTTGAATGCGTGCAACCAGCTGTGGTAGGGCACGTCGCGGTAGCCCTTCTTCACGTGCAGCACGAACCGAATCAGCTTGTGTTGATTTATATTAAACCTGATATGTTTAAACGAGTAAGAGTATCAATTTTCCAGAATTCCTTCCCGAATAGAGTTGACTGCTGCTGTATCAAGTATTAAAATAAATAATTTATCAGAATGATATGCAGAAAGCACATCGCTTTATTGCTGCAGAGAATGGCGAGTTCGAATTTAAAAATATATTCATCAAATAAAATTAATGTTCTAACTAGCTCCAGTGGGGGAAAGGAATTGTTAGCAATGGAGTTTGATAGCCCCATTGCTAGCAATATCAGGTCGACCTCCACATGGTTCCCCCTGGAAACCATCGTGAACAATTCTTGTTGAATTCCTCACGATGGGGTAACTGAGCTGCTTCATCCTCACCTATCATCCTTCACTGGTATCCCGCCAGCGTATACCAATAGCGCAGATGGGCTTACCATTCCATCATCATCCATTAAAAAAAAACTAGCTCCAGTGCATCAAAAATAACTTGCTTTAGGTAGATAGGATCTTACACTGTATTCTTTCTCTCTCTCTCTCTCAGATACCAGATCAGACACCAGAGGAATATACATAGACAGATTTTTTATGCAACTTTAAACGGCAAACAATTCTCAATTCGGTTTAAATGGTAAACAGTTCTCAATTCGGTTGTATTTTTTAAGTTTATTACATCAAAATGCGTTCATTACTTTAATTTTGTGATCATAATAACTAGTTTTGTCACAATTAATAAATTACTTCGTATCGAAGCCGATGTCTTTGAACATCTTGACGGCGTAGCAGGGCAGTTCACGCATGGGCAACGCGCGGGGGTTGAAGTGCAAGCTGGACAGGTGAGGATGATTGTGGAAACCGGTACACTCCAATATACGGCTCACCTCACCATCACTAACCTACAGAAAGTAGTTTTCATTTATGACGCCAATATTTGTTCTTATATTCTACCCAATAAAGACAGGGACATAATATAGACAAGGAAGGGAGTTAAGATAAATCAATATTATCTAATTCGTCCATATTGTTCCGGCATAGAATAGGCCACCCCTTCCTTTCCGTGGGCATCGTAAGAGGCGACTAAAAGAGGGCGAAGGATGGGCAGCAGCGTTCCTCTTAAAACATCTCCAAAGCCTAACTGCTGTTGCCAATCCACCTGTTAAGCGTGGCACCTACCAGCAATCCCTAAGGAGGAGACTTATGTTCAGCAGTGGACTGTTAATGGCTGATGATGATAAATCCAAAATTTACCTTCATATGATACATGACGAGTTCGTTAGCAAGCGTGTTCCTGATGTGGGCCTCCTGTATCTTCTGGTAGACGACCGAATGCATAATGCATACTCCGCAGTAGATGCTGAAAGCGAGCGCCATTTCCTCGTCCATTCCATCGAAGTATGGATCGCCAATTTTGTTTATCAGTTGACCGACACCTATTATGCCTGTTTGTTCTCGAATTGGGAAGCAGAGGATTGTTCTGGAAGATCGTATTGCCTTTGAATATTGTGTAAATGTACGAATTACGAGTATAGCCACATTACTACGCTTGTTAAAAAATAATCACGACTATTATCCCACGTGAGATAGCCAGAGGGCAACTGTTACGATTGTGGAAAATATTTGACCTTTCAAATTTCCAACGAATTGTTGCACTGTACTATTTGTAGTTTTAAGGCTGAGAATGCAATTTTTACTGCATATGCCTCTACTAAAAAATACTTGAGTTACAGTAGAATGCCAAAGCAAATCTGTGGCTAAGAAACGCTGTGACTATGGCTAAGAAATAAAAAATATGAATAGGTCTCCATTATGGATTTCTCAATCTTAAAAAAATATCATTTGATAATAAATCAAAGTAGATAATATTATTAATTCGTGCCTAAGTTAAATTCGTACCAACTGATATTTTTTTTCTATACAACTAACAAAAAGCCAAAGTTGCGGTTGCCAATCCGCCTGCTATGGCAACTACTGTCAAAATCCACCCAATGGTAAGCTGCCATAAAAAACGTTCTCGTTCCTTATGGCGGTAAAAGTATTCAATCTATGGGGAAATTTATGTTCAGCAGTGAACAGATAACAGCTGAAAGGATTAGAATGATGATGTAACTAATTTGCAATGGGAGGAAAGGGATTGTTAGTAATGGAGACTAAAATCCCATTGCTAGCAATATCCCCAACCAGGTCGACCTCCTCGTGGTTCCCCCTGGAAACTATCATGATTAATTGCTGATGAATTCATCATGATGGGCTAACTGGCCTGTTTTCATTCTCATCTATCACCCTTCACTGGTGCTCCGCCAGCGTATCCCGTTGGCGCAGGCGGGGTTACCATTCCATTTTCATCCACCAAAAAACAAAAAAAAAAAACTAACTTGCAATCGATGCCAGGAAAACCGTCGATAGTCGGGTCAAAAGCTGGATGTTCTTTAGCTGATTTTGCATTGACCACCGACCCACTCTGTATCACATATCCCGCGATACCCACGTTTAGTGGGAATCGGCGTTCAATCACCTCTTTGTCGAGCTAGGAATAAAAATTTTGTAATTTTTTTACGATGTTATATAATTTTAGTATGTATATATATCAATAATTACTAGTACCACATTCGAGTATTCTGACACTTCCCTATGGTTGACTGAGAGATAATAATTTTAGCATTAAGTCCGCCATGTACACATATATGTACTAATGAATAAATCAATAAAATTGAATCTAATAAAGATTTATAATTATACTACATACGCTTTCTGTTTTTACTTAATAGTTAGCTGGTAGAGTTAAGCTCGCCACTTGTACAAAATTTTGTACAAGTGGCGAGCTAGTGCAATAAAGAATAAATAAAAAAACAAATAAATTATAACAAATTTATTTATTCAAAATTTAAGACATGTTCAGTGTGTGATGTTCGTGGTCAGAAAGGTAGGTTAGGTTAGATTTGATTTGGTGATAGATACAAAAATGTTCCTGTATTTATAAAATATAAATATATATATGTCCGCATTATATACTTCAACATTTTTATAATATGCTCAATAAAGAATAAACATACCTTATAACAAGATTCAACTAATTCCATCCGCTCCACGTCGACCAACATCACCGAGCAATACTCCGCTTTGATGAGCTTCTTCGCTTGTTCCATCGCTATTTGGAGAAGTGTGTCTAACGATGCCACCTGTAGATTTTCACAAACCTTTACAAGTCTATACCTACCTTGTAAGAAACATGCGACGACCTTGAAATAAGCATGTCTGTCCCAGACATTAGTAAGCGTGACCGTAATCACGGAACATTTGCCCTATCACGGAACATTTGCCCTATCACGGAACAGGACATTTCATGCTGATCAGGCCAGAGGAAGACTTTGTACAAAAGTCGATTGCTTGGGTACCTCTGTCTCATTCGTGTTTCAACCGTGAAGCAGTTGTGTTTGCATGGCTGTGTTTCCGTTTGAAGGGTGGGATACGGCGTGAATTTACAGGGTACAGAGGAATAACACCTGAGTCCTCAGGAATAGCAACGCATGGGGGGTATCATGGGCGAAACAGTATACTCTGTTATGTCCATGGTACTGCTCATGTTTATAGGCAACGGTTACCACTTTCCATCAGGTGGGCTATCAGCTTGTTTGTCATTCTAAGTTGTATAAAAAAAAGGCGCCACTCACGAGGGCACTACGTCTGCTCAATGAGGTAGTAACGAGTTCCGATCTGGACTTTATTCACTTTACTGCCACAGAATTTTGCAGAGCGGTAACAAATTACGTAGAAATGCATTTTTTATATTTATTTTGTATAGCATAATTAGATTTATTATTATTATTATTTTCAAATATTGTATCATTATAATGTTTGATTTTTTTTTTGTTTTTGGTGAATGCATTGGTAAACCTGTAAAGCTCACCAAAAATATGAATATATATAAATAAATAAATAAATAAGATATCATATCAGCCGTCTAGTGTTTATTGCTGAATATAAGCCTCCCCCAAAAAGAGGGGTTTGCCAATAGTTGTCACGTTTTGTATTATATACTATAAATGATAATTAAGTACCTGATACCTTTATAAAGTCTCAGCCAATTCAACTGATCGGTTATTTTATAGCATTTTATATGTGATTCTTTAGATTGATATAACTTTTTTATTTATGAACCGATTGTAATAAAACAACGCTAAATGTTAAGTGGAGCAAACCTCAACGCATTGGTGAAAACCACGTTTAAATCGGTTAAACTGTTTTTGAGATTATCGTGCAAAAACGTACAGACAAACGGACAAAAATTTAAAAAATTATTTATTGTTATACAATAAAGAGTATTTATCTATTTATCTATTTTATTTATTTTTTATTTATTCATTAAAAATAATTAAAACATTATAACAGCAAAAGCCAAATCAATGTTATAAATCTAGTGTGCTAACATACAAAGTTATAATAAATGTATTTAACCCGACTCTAGATATTTCTGAGCCGCTTCCAATATCTTTGGCAGGCTACTACTAAAATAATTGTTTTGGGTTCTATTGCGTCCGTAACGCCCTCTTGTAATATTTTTTTTATATATATTCCATGTACAGAGAGTGACCAGTTACGATTTGATTGTATGTATTGAGGATCGATGACGTCATACATTTCATGCAACTCACTCTAGTGAACAGTCGTCTGGCTACTTTTAGGAGCTGCTGGCACTTCTGCTTGAGGCTACACTCGTATTCATAGCATATACTTTTCTTCAATGTCGGCCATGAAAACCTAGAACATTCTAGACTCTGGAAAAACTATCATTTATTCATCATCATTATTTCAGCCATTTTTTTAAATGGGTGATAATGAAATGATAACTGCGTCTGCGCTACTGGTATACGTTGGCGGGCCACCAGTGAGGGGTAATAGGTAATGAAGAAAACGGAGTAAATAGGTAAATTAGTCACGTGACGAATTCCACTAGAATTAATCACGATAGTCTCCAGGGGGCACCGCGTGGAGTTCTACCTGATAGGGTGTCTTGCTAGTTATGGGGAAATCAGATCTTATCACTAACAATCGCTTTCCCCCTTATCTGTCTACTGCTAAACATAGACCTCTCCCATAGAATGTCATAAAGAACAGAAGCGTTCCTTATTGCAGTTTACTATTGGGAGGATTTTGCCAGCAGTTGCCACACTTGGCAAGCTTGGTTAGTAACCGCAGTTAGGATTTGATGATGTTTTAAGAGGGACGCTGCTGCCCATCTCTAAACCATTAAGTTCCCTTAGTCGCCTCTTAAGATATCCACGGGAAAGGAAGGGATGGCCCATTCTATACCGGGATCACACGACAACCATTTATAATGGTAAAAAAATATGTCATGGAAACATACAAAAAACACTCGTATATGAGTGTAGCTACGTTCTCTTCGACAATTTTCGGCGCGACCACGCATACTATAATTGAAAACGGCTTGTCCACTATGGGGAACATTACAATCCGTTTTTTCTCATTATCCTTCACGACAAACTGGAATTAAACAAATAATTATTATATTGTGGTTTTTTCGTAATGGTAATTTTCTTTATGCAACTTAAAGTGGCAAAAAAGCTGACGGCCCACCTGATGGGAAGTGGTAACCGTCGCCTATAAACATGAATAAAATATACTGTTTCGCCCATGGTATCCTCCATGATTTACCATTCCTAAGGACTAAGATGTTATGTCTCTGTACCCTGTAAATTTACTACCATATACCATCTCTCAAACTGAAACACAGTCATGCTAATACAACTGTGTCACGGTAGAAACACGAAATAAAGGATAAATAAATAATGGAATGGTAACGCCGCCTGCACTATTGTTTTATGATCAAGGGGATTTAGTAAGGGATGATGGGTGAGTATGCAATCACGTCAATTAACTTATCGGCATCGTGGTGAACATTCACAAGAATTAACCACGATGGTTTCCAGGAGGAACGGCTCAGAACAGAGATATCAGGTATAGTATACAAAAAGTGACAAAATATTATTGCAGTATGTATGTGTTAAATTTCAATGAGTTTATTATAATCTAAATTATTACTCACAGGCGTAACAATTGCTTGAAAGTCCGCCTCAAAATTAGTCAAGAGATCTGTTTGTTCTGTAGGTGTCTTTAGAACGTCAGATAATTTCTGGGACATCTATAAATAATGTACATAAATTATTAATTGAATAAAGATTTTTATATCTAGATCAGTAGGGTCCAGACAGAAATAAATGAACGGGCAACCCCAGTTATTTCACTAGAGACTTTCGTTCCGACATTTTTTTTTTTGTTTTTTTAATTACATCCTGACACATCTATCATTTCGTCTTTTACCATTGTAATGAATGTGATACTCAATTTGCTCATCAAACATATTTGAATGCCATTTCTCAGATCATATTAATATGTTAACGGAGTTCTCTATCAGCGGCGAGTTAGCCAGTAATTTAAATAAATGTTTACATACGCAAATTTTTACTTTCCGGGGCAATGTTGATGCACCCACTGCTTCTATTGATGCCTCCATGCGTTCTCCGTTCACCACGATTTGCAGCACTAATTCTGCTTCGCATTCTTCACATAGCTAAACAATAATTAAAAATATAAAAAACCTTTTCATTTACATATTCTCTATTTGTTCGTCTTTTATTTTTTATTATCGTTATATTTTTTTATAATTGTTACTTTAGAATGTTATATTGTTAGTCAAGCAATATCAGGTAATTTAAAGTGAAGAAGAAAAAGTCAGTCTGCTCCAGCAGAGATGAAAGCAAAATACCATACGTAATTGAATAAAATAAAACTAACAAATAAATCATAATAATTAATCTTACATAAGTGTTTATTTTTATTTGCAACTGTGCACATGTCTCTTCATTCAAACTTATTATTAAATCTAAAATTTTTCCAGGATCACTGTTTTGAATACTTTTTCGTTTATGTCTTTTTTGTGTAGCCATAGATTTAATAACGTGATATGTTTATTTTCTATTGCAATAATAAACGTTGGTTTTTTATTTATACGCCCAACAAACACTTCGTATTTTTAATATTTACCGCCATACGCTATATACGTAAATAAAATAGTCGTTATTGACGATCATTTCTCATTGGCCAGTTACATCGAAATGCTCCGAGTATTAAAAACAATAGATTGAGAATGATAGTCGTGGATTGAAAATATTTTATTATCTGTGCCTGCGAGAAAGATAAGTTTAATCTGTGATAAGCTTTATTTGAAAACAGCTGATGGTTGATGATGAATGAGTTAATTTAGGAATTGGATTTTTAATAAAGATATTGCTATAAGTGTGAATTCTAAGGATGGCGGAAATACAAACTCTTGTAGAGATGGGTTTCTCTAAAGAGAGAGCGTAAGTGTTAACAATAATTATTTATATTTTATCTTTTACGGTTAGGTTATAATTTGTATTTATTTTTCGTTTCCAGGGAAAAAGCTCTAGCGATCACAAATTATAAGGGTGTTGAACCTGCCATGGAATGGCTGTTGGCACATGCTGATGATCCTGGAATGGAGAGTGGCCAAACTGTTGGTGGGCAAACACTTGCCAGTAATACAAACTCCGCTTCGACATCAGTTACTGAATCAACAACAGAGAGCAAGCCGGAAGAAGCCAAATCCTTTAAGTGTGATGAGTGCGGGAAATTGTTTAAAAATCAGGATGAAATGGAGTTTCATGCGGCGAAAACAAATCACAGTAGTTTCTCAGAGTCTACAGAGGAGAAGAAACCATTGACAGAGGAAGAAAAGAAAGCGCAATTAGCACTACTTGAAGAGAGAATGAAACAGAAAAGGAAAGAACGAGAGGAAAAAGAAAAGGTATTTATTCAATGGGAATAATTTTTATTCAAATTAATATAAATATTAAAATTCACATGAATTCTGATTTACATAGAATATTTATTAAAAATGAAATATAACTTCAAGTAGCCTTGTAAAAAGGCACTTTTAAATGGATATTTTTTATGATTCTACTATAATTCCATAAAGTTATTTAAATTTAAAGCTTAAGTTATTTAAAACTAAGATGAAAAAAACAGATATTATACAAATTGCATTTAAAAAATGTAATTTATCTATTAAGTTGAAAAATTAAGTATGAGTATATTGACAGTTATTTTTGCTTTAAGCTGTGTATAATTTAATAAAAAAACTTCACTAGGTATATATTTCAACATTATTGTATCCTTGTAGTTTATTTAAAAAAGTTATGTATCTATATTGAAAAAAGAATTCAAGCCTCACAAACTATAATATCCATTTATTACAATAGGCAGAAGCATTGGAAAGGGAACGTCTTCGCATTAAATCTGGTAAAGACCTCCAGGATGCACGGCTGAGGTTACAAGAGCAGGAGATGCAGAAACTTGTTGAGCAGCGTCGTCGGGAGAAAATTGAAGACCAGAAAGCAAGAGAACGTGTTCGAGCACAAATTGAAGCTGATAAACAGGCTAGGAAGTTAGTAATACATACTATATTTCTATGTCAACGATTGTATCTTTATGAAAATGATGGTTGTTGGAGCTAAGAATTATTTTTATGTATTAAAAAAAGAATTGATATTTTTTAATTCATTTAATAAAATTACTTGTTTAAGTTTCCTGTAATAATTAAGGCAATTTAGACTGAATCAGGAATAAATAAAAAGACTAGAACACAGTTTTTTAAAATATGAATTATATACTATGCTAATTGAAATATGAAAATGATATTGTTGTATGTTTTACATTAAAGATGTCAAAAAAGGCAAATCAAACTGTAACAAAATAAAAGAAATAGCTCTATTTAATTACTTATATCTTAGATCAAATTTGACAATCCTTTTTAGTTACTTTCTTCTTTTTCAAAGTCTTTATATTGGAAAGAGACATGTTGAAAAGTTTCCCCTTCATATATTACAGACTGGCTGCATCAGGTCAGACAGCTCCACCGCCAGTTGCTACGCCCCCACCGGCGCCTGCTGCTGCACCAGCACCCAAGGTCTCATATGACCAGGCAAGGATCCAGCTCCGACTACCTGATGGAAAAGCTTTAGCTCACACATTTGGAGCCAAGGAACAACTCGCTGCTGTTAGGTAATCTAAAGAGTTATTTCATATCACTAAAATCGTATAACAAGTTATTTATTATAGCTACAGTAGAGTACTCAGTACTGGCCTTAAGGAGGGTACTAGGCGACATCTGGGGGCACAAATCCACAAAGAGCGCTGAGGTATAAGAGAGGCATTATAGGGTTACTTTTTCGTCATCAGAGGGTGTCATAAGAAATTTGCCCAGGGCTGCCAGTATTTAATCTTTAGGATTGATAATTTATGTGGACCATCATGTGAAGTCCATGATGTATATATGCTGACCAGTTTCATTTGTCAGCATGTTTGTCATTCCCTGATATACAAAAGAATTTGACCTACATGTAGTATTTAGCATGATAATAATAATAAACCTGAACACTACACAGTGCTGTGATATAAGCTACTTTTTATATCATATTATTGTATGTTTTTTTTTATTGGATGAAAATGGAGTGCTAACCTCGCCTGCGCTAACGGGACATGCTGGCGGGGCACCAGTGAAGGGGTGATGAGGATAAAAACAGGCCATCATGATGAATTCATCAGGAATTAATCATGATAGTTTCCAGGGGGAACCGCGAAGAGATCGACCTGGTTGGATATATTGCCAGCAATGGGATTCTCGGTCTCCATTACTAACAATTCCTTTCCCCCCCTATTATTGTATTTTAGAACATAGGAATTTGCAGATACATTTAATTAATTATCATGTTTATTAAATATAATGTAAGCAATGTTTTTTTAATATACCTTAATGGCTAAATAAGTTCTACTAAATTGCTATTTCTATTGAATAGTACTAATTTAACTATAATTTTAAAATTGCACTGTCTTCAGATTGTACCTGCAAATGAATGCTCGGGAATTCGCACAAGATGACAGTTTCAAACTTATGACAACATTCCCAAAGAAAATCTTTACTAGCGAAGATTACGAGAAACCTTTGGAATTATTAGGTGAGATACTATACTATACTAATACTTACGCTTATCCTGTCCAACTCTCAAACCTGCGGTTTCGATAATTTATAGAAATAATGTTTCACCTTGTTGTTAATAAGAATTGTAAGATTGCGTAAATAAAGTGGTGGATTCCATTGTCCGTCTAATTGAGGACATTTTTTTTTTAATTGACCCGTTTCTGGTTTTAACACACTGTATCCTAGTTAGTTCTGTAGTTACAGGACCAAACTATTAATGTGATTGTTTGACATTTGGTCGTATTTATGTATCTTATATATTTTTATTATAATTCACTAGGGCAAAGCAGTAGGATACAGTTATAAAAAACTAGCTAACTTTTTTCCGCGACTTTGTTGATATGTTTACTCACCGAGATAGAATAGCCTATATCCTTCTTCCTCCCATATAAATTTACAATTCACCAGAGGGAGACTTTGTACAAAAGTAGATTGCTTGGGTACCTCTGTCCCATTCATGTTTTAACCATAAAGCAGTTGTGTTTGCACGGTTGTGTTTCGGTTTGAAGGGTGGGATATGTCGTGAATTTACTGCGTACGGAGGAATAACACCTGAGTCCTCAGGAATGGCAACGCATAGGGTGATATCATTGGCGAAACAGTATACTCTGTTATGTCCATGGTACTACTCATGTCTATAGGCGACGGTTACCACTTTCCATCAGGTGGGCCGTCAGTTTGTTTGCCATTCTAAGTTGTATAAAAGAAAACAAAAATACATTTATACCAAATTTCATAGAGATTGGTTGAGCTGTTAAGGCACTATAAGGTAACAAACAAAAAAGATAAAGATAGGGATGTAAAGTATCGCTAATATTCTATATAGTCTCTGTGTTGTAAGAGAATTATGATTTATTGCTATTTATATTTTTAAAATTTATATTTTTTTTTTTTTTTATTTTTATGAGAGTCAATTTTTTTTTAGGTTTGGTACCATCGGCTGTGATCATAGTGTCAAGAGGCCAATAAGTAAAAAAATAATCTTGCTACAGTTACCTGTTTATCAATTTGAGCAGTATGGGTTTATATGGGTGCGACAGGTATTAACATAAACAGTAACAATAAAGTTTGTGTATGCACATGAAGTTTCATTACAATTCATCATCATCATCCTATCAGCTGTTGCAGTCCACTGCTGAACATAGGCGTCCCCTATTAGGTGGATTTTGCCAATAGTTGCCACGCTTGCCAGGCGGGTTGGTAGCCGCAGTTAGAATTTTGGTGTTATTTTAAGAGAAACTGCTTCGAGCATTACGTTTTCTTAGTCGCCTATTACGACGCCCACGGGAAAGGAAGGGGTGGCCCATTCTATGCCGGGACCACAAGGCGGTTTATTACAATTACTTACTTACTTGAGTAAATTATATAATTAAAATGAATTTGAATTATATATCAAGTCTCAAACTAAGCAAAGCTTGTATTATGGCTATTAGACATTTTTTTTAATGGGTGAAAAAGGAATGGTTACTCCGCCCGCGCTATCGGTAAACACCAACGAGGCACCAATGGAAGATAGGTAACAATGAATGGAGGTCAGTTGGCCCACCATGATGAATTCGACAAAAATTAACCATGAGGGTTTCCAGGGGGAACCGCGTGGAGGTCGATCTGAGAGTGCATATTCCTAGCAATGGGGCTCTTAGACCTTATTACTAACAATCCCGTTCCTCCATTAGACAACCGTCAGACATGTCTCACTAATATAATAAAACTGTAAGTAGACGATATCTGTACATAGGAGATATTTAAGAAAAAAAATATAAGGGGTTGTAATGTAATGTAGATTGGAATCTCCGCGCTTAGCTTCTAATTTGGGTTGTTGTGCGTATGAATCGTGGCTAGTACAGCCAACCCAACTCCGTCTAGAAGCAGAAAAGCTTACCAGGAATCTTCAAAGGTCTCACGGAGCGACCTCACCGTTCCAAGGATTTCTAAACGTTGATGAGCCACAGCTTTACATTCCAGGGTCTTAATAATAATAATAATAGTTCATTCAATAAACATTGGTACACTTACAAAAAAGGTACATACAGAGTAAAATAACGTGTATAGGAGGTGAATCCTATCCTATACCAATATTTTTAAAAAAAATCTCTTCCGGTATCACACAAAAAGAATTGCACCAAATTGAACAGGGTTGTTTACATTTGTTTTTTTTTATACCACTGAACTTGTTTTTACAGATGTGTTTCTGAAATTTGGTGTATGTTTAATTTGAATACGCCATCTAGAAATGGTATGTTTTATTGCTTTCCCTATTTCTATTGTACATTAGGTATAATTTTATTAGGATTATCACCAGAGGGAGACTTTTGTACAAAAGTTTTAAGGGTGGGATATGGCGTGAATTTACAGGAATAACACCTGAATCCTCAGGAATGGCAACGCATGGGGTGTATCATGGGTGAAACTGCTCATGTCTATAGTCGACGGTTACCACTTTCCATCAGGTGGGCCGTCAGCTTGTTTGCCATTCTAAGTTGTATAAAAAAAAATTAAGAAAAAAATGATTCCAGTCCATTAATTTTATTATAACATCACAATAGGTAAACTCATATGGCTTATCGCTAATTATTAGTATAAAAATATTTATTACCCTATAAATACTATAGGTACAATTAAAATACAACCCATAAACACAAGTGAATTCTTTCAAATAACAGAAATACATTTTATTATATTGTATTTTATTTTATAGCCAGGTTTCGAGAATGTGTTATTGTAAAAATGCAACAAACAATAATAAATTACCACCAAAAGTAGTTAATTCAATTATTCGTTATTATTTATTTAAATAAAATTACCGGCTCTATAGCTGAATCAAATCTGTCAGAAATTATAGAGTAATAGACATAATTTAAACGAGAACCGAGAACCTATCAAATGATAGGAACTACCGAGAATTTATAAATACATACAGAGTTAATTCAAATTTAAATAAAGAATAAATTAAAATTTGATATAAAATTTAAGTATGTATATTATTATGCTAAATTTCATCAATTATTATTTCAAAGTTCAATTAAGTACATGCCTGTAAAAACATAATAAAAATATACACAGGTATTAAAAGAAAAATGTATAAAAAAATATCTAAATTCATATGGTCTTCAATGATATAAAAACAAGATAGATAAACGTCGACTAAAAATCGTACTAAAAACAGTAAAAATGATTAAATTATATTATAGCAGTGTATATGTTTATTGCACTTGTAAAAAAGATATTAAATTACACATTTATTTTTAACCATTAACTATTGACAGCCAAACATGTTGAAATGTTTTTACAAAGTGTAAAAATATGACAAAAAAAAATTCATCTAAATGGTAAATAATTCATAACTTGACTTGTGATAATTAGTTATTAAATTAAGAACATTAGTGTATATATAGTAAATATGTCTATGGGTAGTTATTAAAAAAAATTACTAAAAAATCATTATGCATTTTAAGCAAAACTCATTTTGAAAGATGTCATCTCGAAGAGCTATACATATAAATTACAAAAATAATAACATAATATTGACTTGTAACACAAATGGATAATTATATCTACTTATAAAAAGAATTATTACATAATGTACATTTCAATGTTAACACATTTTTTTTTTAATAAAATTAATGATTCTGTTAGAATTGTCATGCATACCCCTAAAACCCTGTCTGCTATAGGTACTGTGAGGCACAATACACAAGCAATTATTATTAATATGAATACCTAACAATATATTATTACGTTCATGTTATTATTAATTCTTACTTTCCTTATGTAATTTGGACATGGTTTTCCTTTAATACAGTATTTTTTAGGATTTTCTAATAAAATAATAAATTCAAACCTTAATGCAAGTCTAGATTATTATTAATAGTGTACAAAAGATTTTATGCTTATGTTAATTATGATTTAATAGTAAATTAATAAATTAATGTCAATGATATTTAGACACATAGAATAAATAAAAAAATACATTATTTATTATTTTAAATTTGCATATATAAAAAATGTATATAAAAAAATGCATATTGCTTTTTGTCTATTTTTTCTCAAATAAACCAAATTTCATTGAAAGAAAATTATTAAAATAAAATATTTGATTACAAATTATTAATCCCTAATTACATTGCAATATATTGTAAATAAAAAAAAAAAAAAAAACAAAAATAATCTGGCCCTATTGCATTTTAATGGAGATAGTTATTGTATATTGATGATTCAATATATTTTTCATAAAAAAAAATATCAGGATCCCAAATTGTTGCAAATTGGTAAAAGTGTATCTAAATTTACATAGACATTTTAGCAGTGGAAATAATTTCATATTGATTTTTTCCTACATTTTTATTAATCTTGATGAAACTGGGATCCCAAATTAAGAGACATTACATTTGAAATTCTAAATGTTACATCACAATTTTAAAAACGCAAATAAAGAAGAGAATGTAATTTCATGTTATTTTTTCCTCTATTAATTATTTAAAATTAAAGTAAAAATGATATCATGTCTTATATGGTAACAGGTAATAAATCTCACAGCGTAAACCACTGCAGCCAAGATATAAGTTTGTACAGTTGTACATATAATCGTTTTGGTTCCCCTTCATTGTGAGGATAGTATATATCCTGGGACGGGTCACAATTAGTCAAAACTGAATTATACTCACCAAAATATTTGACGCCATCGCAATCTGTCAATTCCAAACTCTTGTTGAAGCATAGACGTATCTCAAATATCTGATTCTTACCGTCAACTTTATTGCACTCTATTTGCGGTCTGACACCCAACTCTTTAACAATTGCATTATTGATATCTATAATAGGATATTCCTTTTCTTTTGTGGGGACAATGTTAGCAATTTTCAGTATATCTAACATGTTGTATTTTTCTAACCAGTCGATACCTTGTGAGAAGTATTTTAATTCAGAATTAAGAGGTTCTAGCACAGCGGCACAGGTGCCATGTTTAGTCCATTCATGTGACCACAAAGCATATGTTGAAGTTTCTGAAATATTTATAAATATAATTTCATTTCAATATCAGCATTTATGTTACAATCAGATAGGTTGTTCCTCATATTAATGAATATTTACGACTTACAAAAGTTAGCATTAAGTAGTGTTTTTATATTTGATATATTATTAAATAATTATAGCATGTCTTTTGTCAAAATAACAGTACATAAAATAAATATAAAGATACTTATATATTTTTATCAAAAATATTTATATAAAAAAGATGATAAATCTTAAGATTATAAATATAATCAAACATTAAACACTGATAATGTTTAATCAATCAATAACATTCTAATTTTGTATTCAAAATACACATAGTGACCAGATGACATTAAAATGGTTGGAGATTCAACTTCAAAAAAAGGTGATATTCAATTTTTTTTTATGGGTGAAAATGGTATGGTAACTCCGCCAGTGCTAACGGGATGCGCTAGCGGAGCACCAGTGAAGGGTGATAGATGAGAATGAAAACAGGTCAGTTAGCCCATCATGATGAATTCAACAGGAATTAATCATGATAGTTTCCAGGGAGAACCGCAAGGTCGACCTGGTTGGGTATATTGCTAGCAATGGGATTCTCAGTCTCCATTACTAACAATCCCTTTCCCCACAAGGGGAATATTCAATTATAATTTCTATGTGTATGACTCACTCTAAACCCATTGTTTTAATTGAAAGCACTTGCTTCAATAATGATCTCGTAGTTTGGTCAAGAGTAAAGTTTGTCAAAAAATGTCACAACAATTAAATATATGAATATATACTTACCAGCCTCAATATTAGGCCATACTTGCAACATTACAGGCTCAATAGGTTGAATTTGTTCAGGGTCAAAATGCCATGTTCTATTACAGAATGAAGGTTCTCTAGTGCCGAGCCGTGTTGGCCAAATGCCGTGAATAGACCATGAATCCGGCCTGGTGGGCATTGCACACGAGTGGGCAGGACTCTTCTCCTTCCATTCTGTACACACTGTCGCCGGCCAGAATTGTGTAAATATAAGCAAATCAAATTGATGCTCATCCTTCACAGTCGACGGTTGCACATAATCCACACTAGATAACAACAAATCGTTACTTTCACATATGGTATACAAACAGAGTACATTTAAATTCGAATAAATATTACCTGAAGTAAAGTAATAGTAAAATCAGATATGCATTGTATAGAGGCATGTTGACTAGAAGTAAGTTGGGTGAAATTAATAATAAATAATTTTGTTATATAAAATAAAAACCATAAATAAAATGTATACAATGCAAGATTTAAGAGTGAAATAACTATAAGAAATGAAATGTCTAAAATGAATGTCAAACGAGTAAATGTCATTCAAGACGTCAGTTTAGAAGTCATACTGTCATTCAGTCAACCAAGTTCCAGCTGTATCCGTCGGTGCTATTCTTAATCTATGATTTATGCATATCATAGATTAAGGATAGTATCTGCTACATATAGATAAAAAAACCTATGGATCAGTGTGAAAAAATAAAGTAAAATATATAGTATATATTAGACAGAAATAAATTCGTTTCAAATATATTGTACAGGAATTACAAACAAAACCATTTTAATCAACCATTTAATATTATTCAGAATACTTGTACTTTAATCCATGGTCTCTATTAAAAATATTTTTTATATAATTCCAACCAGTTCCATAACCAAAGTTGTAGTTAAAAAATGTAGAGCAGTGGTTCGGAATGAGCATTAAATCCTTTTTCAGGATGGCAGTAAATAAAATAAAGATCATCATGATGGTCGCGAAACTTTAGTAGGAGATGACACCTTAAGAAAAAGATGTTCCGTCCTTTAAACATATTTATAAGATTTACGCATTCCTAATTCAAGTCTATTAAATACCATACTTTAAATGTTGGTACTTGTGAGCACTTATCACAGTATGCCAAATATAATCTTTTGCAGGTACTATCTTAAATCTTTATGTTAACAAATTATAAATTTGTGAACATAAGGCGTTACCGCGTTATTCACTTCTTGTTCTGCTGTAAAGCAGAAATACCATGTACGTATGTTTTAAATTTTGTATTATAGTGCATGCTCCTAAACTTCATCGTATCTACTATCAAATATTTCTCTGTCCATAGCTAAAAGTTCCACTACTGATCATTAATCATTATTAACTTAACTTTTAAGCCTTTAACTGTCCACTGCTGAATATAAGCCTCCTCCTTGGGAGTTTTGCCAGCAATTGCCATTTTTGGCAGGCGGATTGGCAACCGCAGTTAGGCTTTGAAATTGTTTCAAGAGGGACGTTGCTGCCTATCCCTCGCCCTCCTTAGTTGCTTCTTACGACACCCACGGGAAAGGAAGGGGTGGCCTATTTTATGTCAGGACCACACGGCAACGCCTGACCATAACAATAGACAATTCTGGGGTGCCCCACTGCCCCACCCTTTCTCCTTAACTCCTATTGGCGAAATGCAACCTATACAAATAACTTTCTGATTATTAGATTTAAATCTCTAGTTATTCTATTATTACGAGTATTTGAACGCGTTTTAGACTGTACTTTAGAATTGTTTTTCACGTAGATCAAAATTGCCTACCTACTTAATTATGATATTTTAAAGGGTACCTGATTCATTTTTAATGCTAGGTGTTTTTCTAACGGCTTGAATAAAAGGAGGAGATTTTCGATTCGATTGTATTTTTTATGTTTGTTACCTCATAACTCCATCACCGATTTCTAAAAGAATATACTTTTAGATTGATCCCATAGATATTTTATTAAGTTTTTAGCACGAGTGCTTCCCGTAAGAGATAGCAATAACAGTTTAAAAATATTAAATTAAATTAAAAAAAAATAAAAAATATCCAGAGCAAATACAAGTAATTGAAAAGAAGACATGTTTGCATGCGACTGTCCGTGTAATCCAAGATTGAAGATTGATATGACAAAAGTATTGACTTTAAATAATCAAGAGTCAAAGTCAACAGAATGTGATGATGCGTGGATCATAGAATCAGAAGTATATGAGTTGCAGAAGAGTGTGTCTGGTTTTGATAACATCTGTGTAGTTAAAAAAAAAATGTGGAATAAAATTGTAAAATTTATTTACGGTGTTTTTATACCAATTTTAATCATATTATATATTTTTTTATACAACAGGGGCAAACGAGCATGCTGCTTACTAGATGGTAAGTGACTACCGCTGCCCATGAGCACTTACATCACCAGAGGTATTTCAAGTGTGCTGCCGACCTTTTAAAAAAGATTATGCTATTTTTTTAAGATTACGATGTCGCATCGTATCGTATGGAAATTGATTCCAAATTGTGCGTGGAAGAAATATATATAATATATATAAATAATTTACCTGAATATGAACTAAATTTATAATAGATTTAAGTCAAGCCAAATAAATTTAGTTTACGAATATCCATGATACAATAATTTCGCGAAACTATCAAATTAAAATATTAGGTTTACAGATAGGTTTAGAATAGCGCTACGGAATCGATGCGATTAGATAAACATAGCAATTTATCTGAGGGTTACCAATTACTACCACCACCAATGATTAAGTAATCATGGACAATATTCATAATAGACAATAATTTTAGTTCCTAAATTACTCTGTAGAAATAACACCAATATTAATTGTTGTTTCCTCGCTAATTGCTTTTTTTAATGGATGAGAATCGAATGGTAACCCCGCCTGCGATATCAGTTTACGCTATCAGTAAACATAAAAAAAAAAAATTTCGAATTGAAAAACTCTTTCTTTCTGAAGTCAGTTAAAAAAATAATTCATTAAAGGACAAATGAAAGGTTTTTTAATTATGGTTGATAATGAAATGGTAACACCGTTCGTGCTATCGGTATACACTAACGCGACACCAGTGATAGATGGTAGGTGAGGATGAAAGCAGGTCAGTTGGCCCTTCGTGACGAATTCTTCAAGAATTATCCACGATGGTTTACAGGGGGAACCACGATGAGACCTGATAGGATATATTGCTAGCAATGGAGCAGTTAGACCCTATTACTACACCCCCTCCAATGAAAGTTTAGACAGTATTTTTGCTGATATTGCATTCATAATTGTATTTATTATGGATTTTTTTTTACAACACAGGGGACAAACGAGCATGCGGCTCACCTGATGGTAAGTGACTACCGCCGCCCGTGATCACCCACAACACCAGCGGCATTGCAGGTACAAAATTGAATGGGACCAATCCAGTTCCAGTAAATAGATATTTAGCGGGAATTTTTTTTTATGATTTTAATTATTTTTAACATATTTTTTTCAGCGAATTATTTGTTTTGTTAAATATTGAATTTGTCTATTTTGTTCAGTGTAGTGGAGAACAAACTCCCGACGGTTTACGTGTTAATTGTTATACATATTGTAATATTACAATAAAGCGGACGCTGACCCAAGTTTTTTTCCAGACATGTAAACCGTTCGCGGGTAACCTCATTCCGCGTTTTTCCTCAGCCGTCACTCGCTCCGGTGCATCAATGAAAAAAGACAATCGCGTGCATCACGAAACTATGATCAACCGCTCAAGTATCCACAATTGCTTTGCAGATGCATTATGGACCTTTCTATATGACCGTAATTAGCGCCTGTGAGTAAGTACCTTAGGCTGTTTCTTTTTATAAAAAAAAAAAAAAACTTGCGCTAAGTATAATCTGTGCGTGTAATATGTATTTACAGTAGCGTGTGTTAAGTACTTTACTAATACCACAGTATAAAAAATAACCAGTAGTCTAATGCCTTTGGCATGCCTACAACGATATCACGATTCGGGACGCATTTGTTTCGGCTAGGTGTGTTCGTGTGCGATATGACGTGAACTGTAAATTAAAACGAGTCACTTGCAAAACAAATACAACGTTCAAATTAATTGTTCTCTGATAGATGAGCATAATAGTGAGAAGTTTCTACAATTTTTCAATAGATTTTTTTTTACACAACTTAGAATGGCAAACAAGCTGACGGCGTACCTGATGGAAAGTGGATAGATATGGTAACCATGTACATAACAGAGTATACTGTTTCACCCATGATACCCCCCATGCGTTGCCATCGACTTTTGTACAATAAATTTACGTCTTCAAACCGAAACACAGCCATGCAAACACAACTGCTTCACGCACGAATGGGACAGAGGTATAATCGACTTTTGTACAAAGTCTCCCGCTGTACATGCTCGCGGGGTATCCTGAGGTATGATAGATGAAGCTAACCACAGGTCAGTTGGGTCCCTGTTCACCAGGAATTAACCACGAGGATTTCCAGAAGGGGCCGCGTGGAGATTACCCTAAAGTCGTTGCAATGAAACCGTTAAAGCCCAGAATACTAACAATTCCCTATTCTATATTTTTCAGCAAATGAAATATACGATGAACTATTTTATTTATGAACATTTCATGGGAGATATAAGGTTTTAATGTGAAAATATTAGAAATATAGGTAGTTTTTTTTCTAATTATTTGACTTCACGACATGCCCTAGTGGAGTCTTTAAATACTTAGTTATATTTCTTGTCTCATCCAAGTTCATAACTGCTAATTCAAAAACTCTTGATTCTTCCCTTAAATTATTCGAATAATAAAATCATTCGGATTCGCCCTCTTCTTCATTTTAATCCTCAGAAACGTGATTACTTGCTTTGTCCTCAGAAAGTGCATTTAGGGCATCACATGTACCATAGACACGGCAGTATACTCTGTGATGTCTATGATACCATATTCCAATAGGTGAACGGTTATTTTTTTTTGCAATTTCAAGTTTCACTAAAAATATTCAGTATTGTTTTCTTATAGTTTCTGTATATCTAGGTTTTATATCAACATCAACGGCTGGAATACGTAGGTGGTATCTATCCCCAGTTGTCGTACTTTCGTAATTTCTCATCAACATTATTACCATAAATTCGTGAAGTTATCTGTATTACTACGAACCTAATTTTGAAATTAAAAAAAAAATAAGTCTGGAATAAAATTGGAACATGATCGTTTAGCAGTTAATGTATGCCTCAGATAGAGGGTAGGTCACCTTGTGCAATGTCAGTGGGTTCATCGACACCTGGCGATGTGACCCCTGTCCCACGGCAAGATAAGCTAACAACAAAGTAAATATATTGTGTAATTCTATTTTGTTAGCAACAAAGATTGGTTACTTTGATGAGCACTTTCACTAAAGTTTTAACTACTTACGATTCTGTAATTAGCTAGATATTTAATATAATATGTATTTAAAAAGAAATAACAAAATTATGCGACACTAGAGCTGCCCTTTGCCTACCTGGTGCC